ATTGGAAAGGTCTATTGGCATATACAAGAAGTGAATCCGTTTATCTTTGAATCCTGGTGTCAACGCCGGTAATGTCATGGAAACTCGTAAAATGTTCTCTTTTTTGCAATCCGATGGTATAATCGATAGTTCCGCCTATGATTTGAAGAAGGATAAAGTTAACAACTTCTTGCCCCACCCGTCCAACGATCCATTGTTGCCTCAGCTGTGGTCACCCTTTCACTGGCGGGTAAATACTGTAAAGCTGGGCCAGGTTGTAAAGCAAGCAAAAGAAAATCACAATCATACCATTGGCGGCTACCTGGCAAAAGACTGGCTTAAAGCACTCTCTCAATTTTCGATTCGTCTGACTGGTAATACTTTGGCTATTATAACTTCGTTTCATCAGCACCAATTTGTCAACATTTCTCAAAACCTCTGGACATGTGATAGTTGAGAATAGATTTTAAAAGAGAAAAACAATAAAGTACTTTGAGACTGCTTATAAGTTTTATTAAGAGTAAAAAGTAGATTCAAAGATTGAGAGGGTTCTATTCTAACTATCAGTTTGCATATTTATATATGTTAAGAGAAATCGGATTATGAATTTAGTTTGATGGATAAGTTACACAGCACTAAAATAGTGCTTGTAGTTGGATATGATATAATGTATAAGAAATTAGTTCGTGTTGTGATGTAATAACGTATGGGGTGATGAAGTGAGATTTAATTTTAATATTGTTTTATGGTGTGATTAGTAACAACAGTAGGTGGATCACCACAGGACAAAAAATCAAATATACATATCTGATTTGTGCAAATCGAAGAACGCAGCAAGTTCGCGTGGTGGTGAGTTTGTTATGTTTACTGCAATTCATAAAAATCGGTAAGTTGATGTTTGCAAATCAAAATTATTGTGATTGACTTATTGTAATTAGGATGTTTCGGCCTGTCGAAAACTGGTACGTGTGTAAAGTCTTGTTCTTTTTTGACTTTACATATCAAGAAGGTGCTCCGGGCTCGAACTTCGTTTTTGGTGAACTTATGAAGAATCATGACGTCTCACCATACTCAAAGGCTATCCCGCGCGTGAAACCTTACGATGAGGCTGAGCAAAAGAAATTTGTGGTCTTTGATGCTGAGGATCTTTTGTCTGCTGTCGGATTGGTGAATGCGGTTGACGGCTCCAATAACAAATATGTTATAAAGACTGGTGAGGCTTTTAACGTCGATATGAGTAGTACTGCCGGAAGTGTTGGAAACATTGTTTTCCGCTGAGAATAAAATACAAAAGCATTAAAACCCACAGTCACATGTCCCGTTTTCTCATTTTACTTACGTAATCTGAAGTTGTCTTTTTCTTCCCCTGGCTATCATCCCCATAAACATTTTTTTTCTTTAAAACATGACGTTTATCTATTAACATGGTATTATTACATCTATTTATTTATGTATAAGTTGCTTTTATAGAGATTTGAAAATTTGGCTTTGCGATCAGCGATCAAAAAATCAAAAATATCGGAGATATCGATATTTTCGATTTTTTGAGCGATATCGCCAATATCGACCAAAAAAAACATTTTGATCGCTGATTTATTTTAGGGTGATGGTTTTGTTCCTTCTCCTGGATATTTAAGTTACGTCTACTCGTCAATCATTGAGCAGATACGTCCTCAGTTAGACTGGCATATGATGTCTTTAGACGGTGACATTCTTAAAGGCAATCATTCTTTCAAGGTTACGGGCCATATGGGAAAGCTAAATGGAGAAACAACCTTTACAGCATTGTATACTTGCTTGAATGAATACGAGGAAATAAAAATGCAAGTACTAACTCCATCAAAAGCACTTTCTCATCTCGCTTTACCGTTTAATGCCATGGTGCAATCTTACAATCTTAATCGCTATCGATTACCTTCACTTTTTTACACTGACAATGTAAACAGCGATAGAAATTTTTTGGAAGGTGTACTACCAAGCTTGTTGAAAAATGTAGACAAGACAATTATATCTAGATCTACAAACAATGAAGTAGATTTTAGCTCTAACTATGGTTCAACACATTTACCTGTCTTGACACTGCCGGGTACAATGAGTATATCTGTATGCTCCAATTTGGAAGATATCAACAATGCATGTCAAATTATTTTGGAAGACGTAGAACAAAACATGTATGTGAACATTGGATTTGACTGTGAGTGGATAGCCAGAAATAATAGCTCTTTTTATTCCGGATTAAGAAGAACTCCTTCCTCTCTGAATGAAGTATCTCTTATTCAAATTTGTTACAAAGACAAAATATATTTGCTTCGTACATTTGAGTATACGACGGAGGACTATCCTGAAAAGTTGAAACACCTTTTGGAGTGCGAAAATGTCAAGAAAATCGGTAAAAATGTAACTGGTGATTTTACTCGCTTACAAAAAGGGCATCAAATAAACCCCAAACACCGCAAATTTTTTTTCCGGTCGAAGTATAATTTGGACCGCAAAAAAATTAGACCAGAGGTTGAGGTACATAATTTTGTACCTGAACCAGCGGTCGCGGTAATTAATTTGTACCTGAACTAGCGGTCGCGGTCCATGTACGCATGAAAACCGACCGCTACTTCCAGTTTCTAACGAATGAAAACATCATAACCTTATTATTTAAAGAGATGGTATTGGAGGATATTCTTTAAATGTATATTAAACTAGGGCTATTGACCCTTGCAATATTAAATGGGTTTTACAAAAAATAACATTGGAAATAATAGAATATGAGGGGCAAAAATAATGTTTATATTGGTTTTTATTTTATAACGAAATAATTTATGAATGGTTTATACACGTATAAAAACTACGAAACGCCTGTTTAAATGGATACTGTGTAGTGTAAGGATGACAACAAACAGATACCATACATAATATAGTGTTGGTTGTCCTGGTTGCATACGGAGACTACCAGATGCAGAAGTGATAACAAGCTAGATATATGACTTACCTTTGATAAAGCTAGATTGAACTAAGAAAGATACAGTTAGAAAATATAAGCAAGGCTTTCAATTTTTTTAATACTCACATTGTAGTTGACAATCACATGAAGTACCCTTTGCTGAGCTGTAAACAACTATAAAATAGAGTTAAAATATATAAACACGGTTTTCAGTATTTTAAAAAAGGCTTACTCGCTTTAGATGACAATCATGTATTTAGAGTGGACAGCAACCATGTACGCGAAAGAATGCAGTGGTAAGTTAAGCCATAAAAGCCAGTACGATATATAACAATATATCTAATAGTTTTTCAGTTAGTTATATGAGGATGTGATGTTTTGAGGTACTTACTATAATTTTTGAAAAAAAAAAAAATTTTAGAAAAAGAAAGAAAAGAAAAAAAAAAAAAAAAAAAAAAAGAAACAAGATTATTAACAAAAAAAATTAAAACCCAATGCGGATTAGGGCTTAGTTTTGCTACGAGAGCGTCCTTCTATTATCAACTCACCCCTTGCCCGTTTGGTTGCTGCCTTTTTTGCGGCCCTTTTTTCAGCTCTTTGGTCAATCTTTGAAGACGAAGTAGATGGCTCAGGGGGTGGAGGTGAAGAAGCAGGTGACAAGCAGACAGATGCAGACAGGCGAGGAGATGGAGAGGGAGAGGGGTGGGGAGATTGGACAGAATCCGTACCAGGCACAGAGAAACTCTCCATCAGCTTCACCACATACCCTACATGATCCGAAGAATGGGGTAAGCTACTAATTACTTAATCCTTATTCGATCATATACTAACCAACTTCTATAGTCCATTGCGGTGTTATTCTGCTAAGTCCCTTGAACGGTCGATTGGTACATACAAAAAACGTATCCGGTCTTCTCTTCATCCTGGTATTAATGCTGGCAACATTATGGAAACCAAGGAAATATTTAAATTCTTCAATGCATCCGGTATTTTTGACTTCTCTGCGTTAACGGCATCCCCTGACAGCAACGAGAAGAACTTCGAGCAGCATCCTCAAGATGCCACCTATCCTCAACTCTGGTCCCCTTTTGATGATTCTTTTACTAAGGTTGGTGTGCTCTTGCAGGGTTCTTCGGATGTCCTCATTTGTGGTCTGTATTGCACAATCCCTTGGTGTCGTGCGTTGATGGGTTGTATGACAAGGCTGACTGGCATGAGGCAACGAGTTGTATTGCCGTTTCATCAACAACAACACCTTCGAATTTCGACAAGGTTATTCCATGAAAATCAAGTCTACATTTCGGAGTTGTACAAGAAGAAGAATAGGTCATGCTCTCGTGGTGGTGAATTCGTCATGTTCGAAGCGATACATAAGAACAAGTAAGTATATGTTTTTGCTATCGCCGTATTGCATTTATTGACACTCTTCAAATTTAGTCTATTCGTGCCAGTTAAAAACTGGTTCGTTTGTAAGATTCTGTTCTTTTTCCGTTTCCAATTCTCCGCCAATGAACCAGGGTCCCATTATGTGCATGGTGAATTGGCAAAAACACATGGCGTGTCTCCTATCTCAAAGTCTATCCCACGGATTCAGCGCTTTGGTGATAGCGAGCAAAAATTCGTTGTATTTGACGCCAGGGATATTGTATCTTCTGTTGGATTGCTGAATTCCTCAGACAATTCAGCATACAAGTATGTCATCAAAACTGGTGATGCGTTTGCGAAAGACATGTCAAGTTCTGCCGGAAAGATTGGGACTCTGGAGTAAAGAGCTATTTTTTTTTTCTTTTTTTTTTTTGAATGTAGTAAAGGCTTTTCAACATCCGAAAAAAAAATTATCGCTTCATTGTGTCACACAAAATAACAGTATTTTCTTCAAACATCATCTTTGCCATCACCAAGGAACATATTTATCATTTTTTTTTCATAACACAACTTCCAATATAACATATTATCTTTATATAACAATTTTTTACAATTTTTATGTCATTTGCGTTTTTTTGATTTTGCGGTCCAAGTCTAAATGTTACTTGGACCTCTGGTAGAGGTAATTAGCTAAAATTGGACCGCAACCTCCGGTCCCGGTCTAAATTGTAAATTTACCACGACTAAGTTTTACGGTGGTAGGAGAAGTTCTATAGCAGTATACAAGAGTATGCTGATTATGCAGCATCAAAAGTTGTTTTAATTTCATAATTTATTTATTTAAACAATTTGCTTAATTATTTTTAAGTGAATCGTACCCAAATACGACAAATTTAGCGCACAATGACAGTGAAGAGAACCAATCGGCAGGACGAGATATCTCGATGTCCATGCACCAATTATAACAATCCAGTCCTTCCGCGAGGAAATAGGCATCGAATGATAAGGTTGGTGTGAGCATTGTATGGACTTTACTTGGGAAATATTTGCTAACAGATAATGTCGAGTTTCTATCAAATATGTAAATATCATTTAAGGCAAGGAGGCGAATATCTGAGAGCTGTGCAGGATCCGTGCGTGTAGCCAATTTGAGGTTTGCTTTCTTAAAATCGAGACATAAATTAGATATAGAGACATTTCCTAACATCCATTCTGACTCTGACTCCAAAGTATCTTCCAACTCGGTTGCATCATCCTCCTCTTCTTCTTCTTCTTCTTCTTCTTTTTCCTTGTCCTCATCTGATTTGTTAAAAGTAAGTGTGTACTCACAAGTACGGTAAGGATGGTGGTGGATTGACAAATCTGATGGGATCTTATACTCTTCATCGCTTTCCTCATCATATGAATCTACCAAGTCCAGTGTATGGCCGGATTCCCCTAGCCAAAGTTATATCAAACTTGGTAAAAAAAACAAAACTTGCAGCTCCACACACTCTTTCCTCGCCATCATCAAGTGCGAATGATAATGCTCATACGTCAAAATGAATCGAACCTGTGCCGAAATCATTAAATGCATGAATAACGCTAGAACCACTTGCTGTAATGCTAAAACTGATGTGTTGAGGCTCTGTCTCGGGTGATTTTAACGATGTTAATAGACCGTAGGCAGCTACGATAGTTACAGTACGGCTTCTACCGTCTTTGCTGTCAGGTAGCTGTGCTACGGTGAGCCTCTATTCCTGCGCAATTCGGTACATCACTTGAGCTTTGAATGCTATCCATTATAGATAAATACGTGTTTTTGATTTTGTTGTCATTTATCGGATAAAGCTTGTCTTTATTGATTGCATATTTCAATTCTGCGAAAGACCATTGACTGATGGGATGGTCAAGATTTACATTTTTGAAAAGACCGTGAACGTGGGAATAACTTTTCCTTAGAAGAGTATGCCTGAAAGTGATTGTGGCGACCTGTGTATGCGTTTGCTTAAATGCTGATTTTCGTAGAAATATTGGAAGAATGAGTTGTTTGCTTCGTTCTTCATTTTGTATGATTTATCCATAACTTGAAAAATAAAGACGAATCGTGGTAAAAACGTTTGCGTTCATACGCGTCTCATCCCACTTAAAAATTTCTTGATTGGATAAAATAAATGATGACGTTACTTACGCGCATGACCGACGAATTTTTGAGCGGGCTGCTTTGCTTTTGATTTTAGGGCGCGTTTATTATTAAAATAAAATGTTTTTTGTCATCTTTGTGAAGTAAAATAGAATTGGAAGGAATGTTTGTAGAATCTATATGAGAGAGAAACTAGTGATTGAAGCTGGTCGATTCTTCGAGCTCAGTTTCGTTCAAAGTATATTGTTGGCGTTTAAGTTTGTTCAGTAGGAGTAAGAAGAGCTGAGCTATCAGACGAGTTCTGAGGATTGTTTGAGAAAGTGGGGTCGAAAGAAACTATTCAATTTAAGGTTAGTAAAAATAAATGAAGCCGTAAAGATTTCAATAGTATTTATGTTTACCTTCAAATACAGACAACCAAGACATATCACACTTCAACAAATACATGTGTTTGCATGCGATATTGTTAAAGCGGAAGTCAGGGCAGCTGCAAGTGATCATTTGTAGATCGTCCACCACAACATCATAACTTACGCCAGAAGTCGAGAAAGAAGAAACAACATAAACACTTCTTCCAGCAGAATCAGTTCTCGCAGTTTCGATGTCATGCAGTGTTCTTTACTACATTTCAAGTGTATTTACTTTTGCTTAAGATATCTGGTCCTTTTTTTTTTCAGTATAGAACATCTCTTTATATATCCATAAAAATATGACAGTTCAAAAAGAAAAACAAGACGGGAACAGGCTACAGACTTTTGATGGGCAAAGCAACCATGTAGCTTCTAAACCGGTTTTTGAAGCTGATGACTTCATTTATTCCCGCGTTAGATCAAATGCCATCTAATTTTTAGGTCTTTTGGATGAGCCTTTGGTCCCTAAATAAAGTTTAGTATCCAATAAAAACTTTACATATGCCACTTACTCTCGGTCAATCTCTCACTTAATTTGAAAGAGTTTTCGATTCTCATGCAGCTTCTTTATTTCAAGCCGAAAATCATCCACTTAATCTGTAAGATATTTTGATTTCCAGTCAGATCCACAGTCTCATGTTTATTTTATCCTACAATTATATGATACCATTGGTAAGAACCTGGAAGCTTAAGACAGATTTTTCTACAAACAAAAACTAAATATAACCTAAAACCTAAAACCTGAAATTGATCCTAATAGTAATATATTCACAAACACCTCTTTTAGAGCCGTGTAAAGCATACACATCAAATCAAATTCATAAACCTGGTTCCCACCATCACAAGGTAGAGAAACTATTTTTCTCAACTTGTCGTCGAAACCCCTTATTATACAAAATGACGTCTCTAACAATATTTGATTTGATATATTATTATTTTTCCTTATAAAAAAGCCTCTTGAGATTTTTTTCTTTCTTTCTTTGTTCACTTGTTCACCAAAAGAAAGGAAAAAAGAGGACGGAAATATCGTAAAAATAAGCAAGTATAAATGATACATGACCTATTTTATTTAATTTTGTAGACAAAGGATCTATTCAAATATCAAAATGTGGTTGTTTACTTTTGAGCTGATCGTGCTGACCTTTGGTTATCTTTTCCTTTTGTACTGCCCAATTTTTTCCTCATAAAAGGTTTTTTTTAATAGAGGCAAAAGGTTTTTACTGATGCCGGGGTTGGTACCAATACAACATTCATCTATCAGAGGAAGAAGGCAGTCTAGAATTTGGTTTCCGTTACAAACAGTGTCTTACACTGCCACAGGTATGATAATTTTTATATATGTTCTATGCAAAAAGTCAGTCTTAAAGTTACTTTTATTAATTTATAGCATTACTTCATGATGTATAGCCTATTGGAGCTGTTCCCCCAGTGTCCAGTGGGTGTTCTCTGATTAATTGGTAAGTGATATAACTTTTTTTTTTCTCTATCGTATCTGTGTATGTTTATACTAACGCGAAATTTGTACTACGGGTAGCTCAAGACGATGCAAATTACAAGGAAACTTAGAAGGGTTTCTATAGCCGTGGTTTCAGCACTGTTCGGTCCTATCTCTTTACCAAGAAGGTCATTCCGCATGAAAGAGCCAAAGGAGAACTCTGACGTCATTCTTTTTTTATTCGCGTATTTAAGGAGATGCGCATGTCGGATAACAATCATAAAAAAAAATCACCTTTCTCTTTGGCTTTATTATTCTTACATTATGGACGTATTTGATTAAAACTGACAACTTTTCTTCCATTGGACTTTACTTTTACTTTTATCTGTTGGAAGTTAAATAAGTAAACGCCATGTTGTGGCCTTCTTGAAGTACTCTTTCACTCTTTTCATAACTGTTATTTTATTTCCATGTAGTTTCAACAATCAACAAAGATATCAAGTCAAATTCCGCAAGTAATTTTTGTCCTTGTTTGTAATTGTATTTCTCAATCCACTTCTTTGGTAATGACATGAATTTGCAGTAATTATGGATTATTGTTTCTAACATAATGATAGGTAACAATATTGGTGATTTATGGTATACTTCTTCAGCATATTTCTGCGCCTTATTTTGATCTGACTTGGTTCCGGATATGAAGAAGGATTGACACACGGCTGCATGCGTCTTTAGGACTTTGTTATGATGCATGTAACTGGTCAGATTATTTTGCTGAGCTTGGTCGGTTTCCTATGCCGTTGACGCAGAACATTCTTTTATCCTCTTCTTTATAATATCGGATATTAGGATGCGGCTCACAGAATAATGCTTGTCTCTTATAAACGTCTTGTTGCTCTGTAATGCAATACAATCCAGGAGATCACATTCGAGTTTTGGTATAAATTTCTCTGAATGAATCTGGTGATGTTCTTGCTCATCCCTTTTCTAATATAGGTATGATCTCTATTTAAAATTTTCCGAATTGTAACTCTACGATATCATATACATATGGATAACCTAATAAATGAAAATCAGTTTATATTTACATCTCTTTCTGTTACTCTTGCATTGGTAGAGTAGCTTAAAGCGTATTTTTGTTGGCCTAACATACGTCCCTTATTGCTTATTTGTTTGTAATTTCTTTGTTTATTTTTTGTCTTAATGAGCAATCCTACCAAAGAATAGGGTCCTATAGTTATGGACACTCGCGTTTCCAAGTCATACTGCGCCTGGTATTCGTCAATTATACCAATTGATGGCAGCGAAGTATGTGGAGGTGATGGAGTCTCTGAAACAACAACATGCGATGTAGCAAGCAAACATGGAACGTCATTTTGACCAACAAATGAAGAAATTCGCGAGTCGAGAGGAGGCAGAAAGAACACGCACTACTGAACTTCACCAAGACCAAATGGAAGAATTGAAAAGTTTCTATTCTCAACAATTACAAGCCCAAGGTAATATCTACGCTGAACAGTTGAAGGTCACTCAATATATGGTCAAACAAGTTCAGGCAGATGTATCTGATCTGGGACGTCAGTTGAAAATAGCTCACCTACAAGGTCTTGAAAAGAATAGTGCAATCTTAGGATATAAGACTCAACTTATAGGATTGAACGATCATTGTGACGAATAGTTTTGCCGTCCCCCTCCCCCTCCCCCCTCTTTCCACTGCAAGAGTAAATTCAATACAGATCAAGCTGAATCAATTGACTAGAGATGTTAAAGGGATGATTTCGGTTGAATATCCAGAAACACAGCTTGAGAAGGATATACTGATTGTATATAAGACATTTTATGCCATGAACCTGGAAGGGTTTGCACATAAAGAGAAGATCAACATTTGTTTATGCGATTTTATTTTTTGCTGCGCTAACCTTTACTTGGTAGGACATTTAAATCCGTTAAACAAATGGAAGCAAGAAAAATAAAGAAAGCGACTCAAGAGGTAGGTACGAAACTATCAATTATCGCTCTTAATTTATTTAAATAACTATTTTCTAGACTACTGAAGCTGATGGCAGCGAGTTGGAGGGTGAAAACAAAGCTCCAGTGGCAATGATAAACACTTCGAAGCAGTATTACCTTTTCAGGGAGACGTTTCACTGTAAGCAAGATTAAATTAATATCAATCAATTCAATACTGTGCTTCCACTCTTAATTTACCATTTTTTTTTTTTTTTTTTTGAAAATGCTGCCTACTTTCTTAAATTATTTTAGACATATGTGTGAGGATAAGTTGCCCATAATAATGGGACTAACTTGGCCAAATGATTGAAATTATCCTGCCCAACATTATGAATATTAAATAACTGTACTTTACAAATGGTTTGACCAACTTCTGGTGGATAAAGGTTTTCAATGTTTAATGATGAATTAAAAAGATAAAAATAATTTATGTCTTTTGTTTTTTTTGGTGTACGGGAGAGAACGGCGTTCCCACTTGATATCCAGTTTACAGGTGGATTCGAGGCTGGGCGTTTCAAATTACTATAACTAAAAAGCGAAGCAGTTTCAATCTTGGCGGCAGTTTCTAATGCGATCTCCTTTAAACATAGCAAGTGTTTAATTAGATTCGGTAAAAGTGACATTTGATCCGCGTCCTTAAATAGCTTGATTTTTGATGCGTTAACCGATCTGTACAGCTTGGGGGAGGGGAGATCCATGACATATGTCTGTACATTAAGCTGCTAATGTCTAAGCTAACCAAGAAGAGGTTATGGTCTTTCCAATTGAAATTCCATAACACATCTATTTTTGTTGTGTTAATATATACCTTAGGTATCAACTTCACCCCCTTTTTTTTTTGGCATAATACTTACCATTTCCAGTCTAGCAGTGTCCTTGTACACAAGTGTTTCCAGCAATCACATCATATCATATACCCAAAGTTATATCAAACTTGGTAAAAAAACAAAACTTGCAAAAAGAAAAAGGGAAAAAAAATAGTGTGGGAACGGGTTTTATAAGATTTTTTTAATAGGTTGATAAACAAGCTTATGTCAGGATGATTTAATTGTTCATTTAATCATACATAATGTTTGGGCTTTTACTTATTTTAGAAACATCCACAAATAACTTAAGCAGGTTTGAAGCTGGTAGTTGTCTATCAGCATTTCAGTAGTAGCATATACTGATAGTGAAGTATATTTTATGAAAAACAAAAATCCATCATCCTAAAAAGCTACGATAATATGTCAGTTGACACAAACATTTTTCATAGACTATAATGTGTAGACCGTGATTTTAAAAAATACGGAGGTCTAGTTGTTTCTGTATAAATAATCATTAAATAAACAATGACATAAGTTAGCTGTTGTTTATCAGTCTTTGGATGAAACTTTTTCACATGCTTTTATTTTTATCTAAGAATATTGTCAATAGGGGAAATATTATTTACTACAACAGAAATAATCTGGAATCATGTTTTATTGATAAAGTTTAGTAAACGATATTTATGATGTTATATTCGTAAGAATATTCTTGATGTTTAACGAAGTGGGATTTCGGATGTGATACCTTAGTGTGGCAACTAGATGCAACCCTTCTTTAAATCTTGTCAATATCCAGTACCTAAAATGACTGAAATCAATGCTTTTTATTTTTCGGTAATATTGGAGAGAGTTATGAAAAAGATCATACGGTCAAGATGACAACGTGAGGAAACGTATGTGTGATGATTGGAGTTGTTTGATGACAATGCATCATGACAATTATATCCAATCACCTTCTCCCCTGGAACAATTAACTTGCTGGGCAAAGTGGAAGAAGCTGTATACGTGGAGATGGTACAGCCTCGTATTATCCCAAGTGTGCAACATGGTTGAAGGGCAAGGTATTTTTGTATTACTGACCTGCACAAAAACCAGCTGTATATCCTCAGAATTTGCGAAGCATGGTCTGTGGTTAAAGGAGCAACACTAGCCAATAGGAGTGCGTTATTTGAGGTTTTCCCGGGATTTGCCCTGTCTACTTGAATATTGATCGATCTTACCCCTACGAAACACAAAAATAGATATAAGCACGGTCGCACGCTAATTAAGGGTGATTATCATTCCGTACATACAACGGTGTGTAGCTTAAAATGCAATCATTGTAAAGAAGAAAAATGTCGTTACTGCGCTTTTTTTTTTAAAAAATGTGCAGGCACGTGTGATGCAACTGTTGCTCACAGGGGGGGTTGGAAGTGGCAAACAGTAAAAGTCTTAAAAGCGTTGGTAGTACACACACCCAAAAATCAGATCGTTTTCACGAGCTCAACTAACAAAGATCGCTTTTTAAAGATTGTAGCTGACACAATACTTAAATTCTTCATTCAGAAAACATCTTGTGGATACGTCACCGGAGTAAATAACTAGAATTTCTGCCATGTGAAAATAAACCAATAGTATTTGTTCGGTCCATCTATTTCCGAGGTCTTTGAAAGGTTTAATATAAAAACCTTTTTGAATCCCTGACGGAAAAACGTTTTTATCTGTTTTCTTTTCTTTAGATAATAAATGGCTCGTACAACTCACCAGTTTCTGGATACTTTGGATATCATCTTCCTAGGTACTATCGGCCTTGGTACGATTGCTTGGTTTGCTAGACATCAGATTGCAGACAAGCTTTTCAAGACCAATGCTAAACCCGAACTTAAAACTGAAGCTAAAGCCGGCCCTGCAAAGAAGGAACGCAACTTTGTTAAAGTCATGCAACAAGAGGTAAAAAGAAGAAAGAAAAAAGAGAAAAAATAAACATCATCTCTCATAAACTAATCATAATTCCAGGGTCGTAAAGTCATTTTCTTTTATGGTTCTCAAACAGGAACAGCAGAAGACTATGCTTCTCGTCTTGCCAAAGAGTGTTCCCAAAAGTACGGTGTCAGTGCCATGGTAGCTGATATCGAATTATACGACATGTCTTTCCTCGACCAAGTCCCTGACGATTTCCTCGTCTTTTTTGTACTTGCCACTTATGGTGAAGGTGAGCCTACAGATAATGCTGCCGACTTTTGGGATCTTATCACCGATGAATCTCCTCAATACTCCAATGGCGAAGAAGATAAACCCTTAGAGAATTTAAGATATATTGCTTTTGGTCTTGGTAATAAGACATATGAACATTACAACGAGGTAGTGAGAAAGGTTGATAATCAGTTGGTTGCTGCCGGAGCAAAAAGAATCGGTGAACGTGGTGAGGGCGATGATGATGGTTCATTAGAAGAGGATTTCTTGGCTTGGCAAGAGGATATGTGGCCTGTATTCTGTGAAGCTATGGGTGTTGATGAAAATAGTGCTCAATCAGGCCCCCGTCAAGCTTCTTATAGCGTTGAGGAATTAACAGAGTTTGATGCCGAAAAGGTTTACAACGGTGAATTAAGCGAGTGGCTTCAAGAGGGAGCGTAAGTGTTAAATTTAAATAAGCTGTAGATTATAAGTAATCTAACTTTCATTTTCTATTCTACAGTCGTGTTGTGTATGATGCTAAGCGTCCTTATTATGCTCCTGTCACATCTAAAGACTTATTCAAGGGTGGAGATCGTCACTGTCTTCACATCGAAATCGATATTTCCAATACCAATTTGGCTTATCATACTGGTGATCATGTTGCTATCTGGCCCATTAACAATGACGTTGAAGTTGAGCGTCTTGCTAATGTTCTTGGATTAAAGGACAAACTTGACACTGTTGTCTGTGTCAAGGCAATTGATGCAGGCTGCCTCTAAGCAATTTCCTTTCCCTGTTCCTACCACTTATCGAGCCATTTTTGCTCATTACATTGATATTTGTGCTGCCGTTTCCCGTCAAACCTTGATGTCTTTAGTAGAGTTTGCCCCCACCGAGAAATCTAAGGAGGTCCTTCGTAAATTGGCTACCGATAAAGATGAATACCGTGTTCGTGTTGGAGATGTCACACGTAACTTGGGCGAGGTTCTTCAAATGCTTGCTGAATCAGAGTCTTTGGATGTTGAGGGCTCTTTTGCTTCCGTTCCTTTTGATTTGATTGTCGAAAGTGTATCTCGCTTACAACCTCGTTATTACTCCATCTCTTCTTCGTCCAAGGAAAACCCTAAAAAGATTACTGTCACCGCTGTCATGCTCGAATATACACCTGACGCATCTCCTCGTACTGTTTATGGTGTCAATACTAACTATCTCTGGCGTATTCATGAAGCCATCAATAATGTTGAGGCCAACACTGTAGCACCTACGTACAGAATCCAAGGTCCTCGTAACGAATTATACAATGCAGAGACCAAGGTTGCCCGTATTCCTGTTCACGTTCGTCGATCGCAATTCAAGTTACCTAGAAACCCTACTGTTCCTATTATTATGGTTGGTCCTGGTACGGGTGTTGCTCCCTTCCGTGGATTTGTTAGAGAGCGTGTACTTCAAAAGAAGGAAGGTAAGCCTGTGGGTCCCACCGTACTTTTCTTTGGTTGTCGTAGCCAAGATCAAGACTTCTTATATGATAATGAATGGCCTGAGCTCTTTGAGACCTTGGGTGGTAACTCTCGTATTATTACAGCATTTTCTCGTGACTCTGCTCAAAAGGTGTACGTTCAACATAGATTGATGGAAAATGGCGAGGAAATGTGGGGTTTATTAGAAAAGGGAGCTTATGTGTACGTTTGTGGTGATGCTAAAGTCATGGCTCGTGATGTGAATCAAACCTTTGTCCGTTTTGCTCAACAGTTTGGCGGTTTTGCAGAAGACAAGGCACAAGATTATGTCAAAAACTTGAGAAACACAGGTCGTTACCAAGAAGATGTTTGGAGTTAAATCATTTTTTTATTTTCGTTTTGTTTTTGCACATTATTTATTATTACGTTAATTGTTATTCCCCCCACCACTCTTTATTTCAAAAAAAAAAAAAAGGAAAAATACACATAGAATATTATTTTTTCACTATTCATTTTATATACTCTTTTTGTCTTTTGATTCTTTAAATGATTTGAAATAGCAGGTCGGTTCTTTAAATGTTGATTGTATTTAATGATAGTTACTTCAGTTGACACGAGCGACATTGAAGCGTACAGTAAACTTAATGACGCTTGTAAAGTGGTCGAATCCAGTGTTTTCGCATTTCCAATTATGACTTAAACAAAGACATAACTGCTGACCAACAAAATTATATTTTACTGTAAAGCAAATTTAGCGGGATGGGAACCGTCAAACTCAAAACGTGTGAACATTAGTTTTTGCTGAATAATTGCTATTCTCATAGATAAAAATTCATGACTAGCGTAATTTATGCAGCCATAATAAAGTCTGGTAGCTGAAAAAATAAAATATAAAATGTGTCGTGCAAGCATTTTAAGAGTTTGAGGGATCCGTGCACGGTCCTTTATAACAGAGTTGGTGATGAAACAGTATGCAGTACCTATTGAATCATTGCATGTATATTTATACCTGTTGCATTTACAGGACAAGGGCGAAATCTTTCTTTCATTGAAACGTTTAGCTTTGCGTAGATGTATAAGCAGTCTTGATTAAGACAAATTTTAATAGCCATAAGCCCGAACCGTATTGACTTTTTTTTTTTTTGTCTATAAAGGTTAAATTGCGCGGTGTGGATCGAAATGCGCCTTTTTATTTCTCTTTTAACTTTTATTTCTTCTTATAAAACCCCCCACTCTCAATGAGCCTTAAAACTTTTACTCGTGAAGAGGTGACACGCCACAATGTTGAGGGCGATTTATGGATCATTATCGATGCTAGTGTCTATGATATGAGTCGTTTTGTTGATATGCATCCTGGTGGAGCATTCCCTATCTTGGAATTTGCCGGTAAAGATGCTACCGATGATTTCTACGGTCTTCATCGCCAAGACGTACTCGTCAAGTACGATCGTTACCGTATCGGTACCATCGCCAATGAACAACCCCAAATTGAGTTTTACAAGAGTGGTGAAATGTCCAAGGTTCCTTATGCTGAATCTAGTGCCTGGATGGGTTTCAAGTCCCCTTACTTCAAGTAAGTCCTTTACTTACTTGTTTATACTTCTTGACTAACCTTCATAACAACTCCCCAATAGCGATTCTCATTTCAAGTTCCGTGTCGCTGTTCGCAAGATCTGCGATTCTTTAGCTGATGAGGCTCGCGCTTTTGAAGATGCCGGTACTAAACCTTCTGACGAGTTCATGAAGAAATTAGGTGAGAATCATCTCTTGTCTATGAATATTGGTCCCGGTCCCATGTTACATGGTTTGATGCTTCCCAGCGGTCTCAAGGGCGAAGACTTTGATTATTTCCATGAGGTAAGCATATTTACCACGCTTTTATTATTAAAAGTCCGGGCTTTTAAAGTTTCTCTTTTTATAGATCATTGTTCACGAAGAAACTGCACGTTGGAAGGTGCGTGGTTTTGATGATGGTTCTGTAGCCGGTATGGTTATTTCCGCACCCACAATTATTAACTTTGGAACTCCCGCTCTGAAGAAAAAGGTACAGTAATGTATATGAGAGAAATGTACGGCTCTAACCCTCACCGGTAATAATAGTATATTCCTGATATCTTTTCAGGCAAGAAGAGAATCTGCCTTGCTATTACTGAAGCCTTTGCTGGTTCAGACGTAGCACGTATCAGAACCACTGCTGTCAAGACAGCTGATGGTAAACATTATCTTGTCAATGGTACAAAGAAGTGGATTACCGGTGGCTGTTGGGCCGATCTTTTCTCTGTTGCTGTACAGACCGATAAGGGTATGTCTATGCTTTTGATTGAACGTAGCGAAGGCGTTGAGACAAAGCCTATCAAGACTTCTTACTCCCCTAGTGCTGGTACTGCTTATGTCACCTTTGAAAATGTAATATATCTTTACTTTATTACAAAACCTATCTTTTATATTAACTTGTTTATAACAGGTCTTGGTTCCTGTCGAGAACTTACTTGGTAAGGAGAACCAAGGTTTTGTTGTTGTCTTATCCAACTTCAACCACGAACGCTTTGTCATGATCACACAAGTCTCCATGTCTGCTCGTCTTGTCATTGAAGAATGTTTCAAGTGGGCCAATCAACGTAAGGTCTTTGGTAAGCGCTTGATTGATCAACCTGTTATTCGTAATAAGTTGGCCAAGATGGTTGCCAGTCTTGAAAGTGTTCACGCTTGGATGGAAAACATTGCTTATCAAATGAACAACATGACCTATGACGAGCAATCAGAAAAGTTGGCTGGTCCTATTGCCTTATTAAAGTATCAAGCTACACGTATGATTCACGATGTTTCCGATGATGCCTGTCAAATCTTTGGTGGTCGTGCCATTACCAAGACTGGCATGGGTAGAACTGTCGAAACTCTCCAAAGAACTTATAAAGTAAGAAACACACAAATGACTATTTTTTAAATCATACTTAACACACACACATCATTATACTTAGTTCTCTGCTATTCTCGGTGGTGCTGAAGAAATCATGGCTGATCTCGGTATTCGTCAAGCCATGAAATATTTCCCCCGTGGTGCCAGACTTTAAAAGAAGTGGTCGCTCTTTATTTTTGTACAATCACAAGGAAATAAACTTATTTATTATTTTAATTGTCGTCTGTCAATCTTAAAATTTCCAAGATACGAAGGAAAAGGTTAATAACGTCCAAATAAAGACTAACAGATGCCATGATATAATCCTCAGGAGAATACTGGTTAAAGATGAGATAGGTATCAAACAGAATATAGCCACTAAAAATAATCACGCCACCCACTGCTAGAGCAAGTTGTACACCCTTTGAGAATGGAAGGAAAATCTGAACAATACCGGCAATTAATAATATCCAAACACCAGCATATAAGCTACACATTTGTTAGTTTAGTTCATCTCTCTCTCTCTCATTATTTCAATCATATACTTACAATGGTCCCAATCCTGTGAAATCCCACTTTGATTGAAGTGTAAATAACGTCAATCCGATAAAGACACCGAGGGTGATCAACAATGCTTGTAAAACAATCGTCTGTTTATAGAAGGTTACTAAAAAATATAAAAGGAGTCGGTAAGTTAAAAACGCCCCTAGTCAAAAAGAAAGTGTTACACATTTACCAATGGTGCCTACAGCATGGGCTTCAAGTAATGTAAATATCGCTAATAATCCATAGTTTAAAGGGAATGATCTTGCCTTCCAGAACAAGGCAAAGAGTATACCAATCGTACCAATCATGGAAACGATCAACATCCATTGACTACACGGCCTTTATTAGAGTCTCTATCATTACTGCGCACATAACAAATACTTACTTTGATTGAACCCAGGATCGAGCAGCATCATTAAACATGTAAAAGGAAGACATGACTGAGGTGGCAAACAATTGCATGGCTAAAATCGAATAAACCTTTCGAACAAATTCTATAATGTGTTTCGTAATCAGTTTCACATGATCTCGGGAATCATTCTCTTTACTTACGCAAACGCACTTCTTTGGAACTGTTTGCAACAGTCTCCTTGTACATGTCATCGTCATTGTTGGAGCCAAATAAAGGCTGGTTGGCCTCTTCATCATAGTTTGGCGGTGGTACTGTATATGGTGTACTTCCGTAAGACATTTTTTGTAGTAATAAATGATAAAAAAAGAAAAAATTGTTATGGATGAGACGATGATGAAATCATGCAAATTCTGAACCAATCACACGATTTATTACTGTCTTTTAATTGAAGCCACAGACTTTTTTATTGTAACTACTCCGTTCATTTTATTTTAGTCTTAGCAAGATCATTATCACCTTCTAACGCCTCTCTAGGACGATCTAAAGCCTTGATGAGATTCAGCAGCATAGACGCTCCTTTTGAAACCAGCCGAATAACCTATTACAACTTTACTGACACGGATATCACCAGGGGCTGCGTAGAACTCAATGGCGTTTAAGCGGATAATCTTGCTCAGCATATCTTCTTTATCATAATCTCTTGCATAGTCTAAACTCAGTGCTCCAACAAAAGTAAAAAAAAAAAAAAGATGTGCCCTTTGAAATAGATGATTCAAGGTACCTGTATCACCTGGTTTTAAGTGGGGCGAGAAAGAGAGATTTTAGCTTGATTGAATGGGGTGATTGGGTCGGTCAAAAGCAGTCCATAATCCCCGCTTATTACGGCACTATATAAAGCATTTTTTCCATGCTGCAAACAATCAAGCGGAGTGACAGAGAATACCCTTTTCTTTTTTTATAAACATTACTTTATAAAGATGGATGGCATGGATATGAGCACACAGGCTACGCCGCCGAATATAAACGAGCCTTACGCCAACAATCTAATCACAATTATTACATCAATTATTGGATTCTTTATAGTCCGTCACCTATGTCAGATAATAATGGTTCCTACCACACTAGGAACTCAGTACCGAAAATACGAAAACCGGATCATCAACATATTTTCGTACAGTCCATTCAACGGAGTCTGTCCTCCTTTAGGAGCCTTTTTACTTGTTTGTGCACTCTTATCGGCAATTTTACCTTTGCTTTTATTAAACGTGGACCTGAAGCTTAACTCGAACCGAGCTGGCTTTCTAGCTTTAGCGCTTGTGCCTTTTTTACTATCTTCAACTGGTAAAAACTCGGCCGTTTCATTTTTGACGGGTATCTCCACCATCAAGATGAATTTTTTGCATCGTGTCCTGGGTCTGGCACTTGTCGTATGCGCAACCGTGCATATGGCTTTTATGTTACAATCATGGGCTAAATTTCCAACATTTATGCAATCTCAGCTGCAAGTCACTAAAGTGCAATACGGTCTTGCGGGATATGGTTCACTCTGTGTGGTTATTCTCGGTAGCTTTTTACCTGTACGCAAATACTGTTATGAATTGTTTTTGGGCACACATTTACTTGGTGTGGTTTTTATAGGGCTCATTGCAGTGCATACGCCCTATGCCATGCGGTACTTTATTAGTGGTTTATTTTGCTATTCTTTAAATCTAGTAGCAGTTTGGTTTGCCAAGACGTACATGGCTCAAGCTCGATTCGAAGTGCTTCCGGAAGGTTGTACCAAGATTTCGATTCGCTTATCTAGTCCCATCAAAAAGCATCATATTGGGCAACACATTAATTTGTGCATTCCTACTATATCCGCCTTCCAATGGCACCCATTCACCATCACCAGCGTACAACAACAACACGCCAAGCACCAATATTCAATAGAAGTATGTGTGATTGCACGAGGAAATTTCACCAACGCGCTGTACAAGAAGGCGAATCCATCTCAAGAACTGCCAGTGTTCGTGAGTGGACCGTTCGGTAGTCAATGTATTCTATCGATGGATATCCTTAACAACCAAAGCTCTGTAGTCATTGCTTCTGGTGGCGCTGGTGTTACATTTGGAATGCGTCTTTTACGTGAATTAACCGACACTCTGATCACGTATGATGAAAATAAGTCAGTCAATGACACGTTAAATCATTGGAAGACCAAAGATATCTACTTCTATTGGACAGTTAAGCGTCCTCTTGAACTGGAATGGTTCCGACATGAATTGGAGCAATTAAACTACTTGTATGAACAGAACAAGCAGTTTCCCCGACTCCATATTCAATTACATGTGACTTCAAAAGAAGAGAGTGTGAATGAAACTTCGAGCTGTACATTTGACGAGTCTACTACTCATTCGAGTGGTGTAGCTTCAGAAGGGTTTTTAAATGAAAAAAGCAACAGTGTTGCTAGAAAAAGTGTTGAAATTACACAGGGTGAGCGCCTTGACCCTAAATCACTGTTACCTCTTGAGTCATCTACTGGTGCTTTTGGTAAGAAAAAAAAAGATATAAAAAAAAAAGAAATATTTTTATTAATTTTGGTTTAATAGTGTGTGGTCCGACTGGTTTTAATGCGTCATTTAAGAACGCTGTTGCCTCATTATGTAACAGGAAATCCGTCAATGTAACTCTTCATTGTGAAGATTTCGGATATTAAGTTTTTGTATCATTATCTTATTGCCAATCAATGGACTCTATTCCCCTATACATATTGTTTAATAAAAATCTTGTTTGAATCATGATTGTGATTCAATCAAACCTTTTTATCTGTAATTTCTGCTCTTTTTTTTTTCTTTTTAGTATTTCTTTTCCCTTTTAATAATTATTTCTTTACAAGATGGTACGTTCAAGAAGCAACAGTCAAAGTAGCACACGAAGCGTAAAGAAAAGAAACTTGAACAAAGTGTTAGTGTATTTAGAATACGCTTGTTTTGTATGCGGTAATATTTTGGGAAATGCCACAACTTGCATCAATCACGTCAGAAGACTACATGGTTATGTAATTCCACCTCGCCCTGCTGGTGAAAAGCGACCGCGTAATGCCGATTATGGATATGTAGATGATCATAGCGACCCGTACACGATTATCGAGTACGCTTGTCCTTGTTGCTGGTTTCATTCTCCAGAAGGCGATTTAGAAATTCTTAACGAACATATTCGTGAAGAACACGAACCAACTAAAGTAAAAAATCACGACATCAGTGATGTAAATACCGAATTTGCCAAAAATATCGCTAAAAAGCTTGACGAGTTAAATGAACTTTTTAAAGACCTATTACAATAATTGATTGCACAAACATTTGTGACTTATATTTGATTTGTAATGTATGAACAATAAAGTTTATTATTATGCTGCGGTTGTGATTGCCACTGAAAGTTTCTTTGGCTTCATTTCATGATGTATGGTATCCCAAAGTTCTGGTAAAACCTTGGGTAGGTCATGGATATCATCGATTTGATAATCACCGTGGTTAGACTTGGATGCATCATCAGCTACATGGACCGTAATCCATCCTAATTTCTATAGAGGTTGTTTGTCAGTGTAAAATTAAGATTTTCTGCGGTATTTTTTTTTTTTACTTGTGCTGCATCGATATTGATGGCTGAGTCATCCACGAAATAGATCAAATTTGAATCTGTCACTCCGGCATCTTGCATTGCTCTTAGATATGAAGCGGGTTCTACAATTGGTATGAGTTTAGATTTAAATCAAACGTAACATGTATATCTTACCTGGTTTGCAATTGAAATCAGGCACCAAGTAATTCGTATAGGTCAATCCATCAAACTCATTTTCAATCCCCAACAATGTTAAGCATCGAAGTGCGTGCTATTTTTGCACATGTTAGTAAATCAAGAGTACATTAACACAAAAAAATTAACTTACAGGTCGATATGCGTTGGTAAAGACCCATTTTTTGCAGTTAAGAGTGCTAAGCATGTGTTGTAGAGCATCATCCCGGGTGATGAGGCCGTCTAAAGGAAGTGCCTGATCAACATGTTCATCTGTTATTACGAATATGTCAGCCTTTCTGTATAAATATATTACATGTAGTTTGTTATTACCGAAATGAAGTGGGTCTACGTTATGATGCTTGGAGAGTCCTCTTAAAGAAAGCCCATATTCCTTGTAATATTTTGATTGGATTTGGACCACTTGATAAAGTTTAATTATTTTATTTTGACAGAGAGTATTTGAAAGCTTACCTTCGTCTTCTGAGACACCTACAATATTGATAAAGTACTCTTGGATCCTAAACAAGATCGATCAGAATGTGTGCTTCTGCATGGACAGAATAGGACAACTTACTTTTTTTTCATTAAAGCATTGACGTTTAAGTTTTTACTCTGTGGGTAGGGGGGGAAGGTTAGCTTGGGCAAGCACTTTGTAAGAATACACTTTACGTATAAACAGTTATCGCAGTCAAAGAAGAAGATGGGCTTGACGGTCATTTTTTATAAGGCTGTGTCACAAAAAAAAAGAAGAGGAAGTAAAGAATGCAGAAAGTGGTAATTTATACTGGAAAAGAGAGAGGGGCAGCTGAAACTGAAAGAGGAGCTATCCAATGAAAAATGATTTATGAAAACAAACATCGTAAATAACCGATTGTCTAAAGCTGTATGGTGTCTCAAATCAACGCTTTTTAAACTCTGCTTGTGTTATTGTGTCTTTTTATTTAGGTTCAGATGGTGAAGTCCAAATAGCCAAAGTTGATGTCTTTGTCATGTAAATTTTCCAAGTGTCTCTTCTTAGTTACATCTTTTGCTGTATATAAATGCGTAATTTTTTGTTGATATCTTTGACCAAGACTACCCACCAACTTTATATACCCCCATTTTATATCAAAGACTAATCGCAGCCATGGGCTGCCGAACAAGAGCTGGACTATGTCAGGTTGATAATATGGAAATATACGCATGTGCAGGCTTTATCTTTCAAATGTCTTCTGAATACCAAGCATTACGTAATGCACCATTTATGACACTGTGGTTGTACTATTTATCCATCTAGCGTATATTCACTGTTTAAAACCTCTCGAAATAACCGTGAGAGTAAGAGTAGACAGAAAACATCAAATAATAGCTGTGTGCGACATCAAAGTGTTAGAAATGTGACGTGTTGTTGAACTGTTTTTCCCCAGCTTTTTTTTCCAAGGGGATATAATAATATTTTTCCCGCTTTTTTTTTTAATCTATACCTTTTTTTAGTTTTCAAAAATGTTCAGATTAGTCACCTCCAAGGCTCCTTTGGCCAACGTAAATATGGATGAAAATATGTCGATATTACATAATTTTAATAGATTTTTTTTTTCTAGATTGCTATTCGCAACAGTGCTGTCAAGACTGTTCGTGCCCCTATGGCCTCTCAATTCTATCGTCTCTACAGTACCCCTGCTGGTAAAAAGAAAAAATAATAGTCTCTCACACGGGAAAAAGATTACTTATATTATCTAGATACCGAATACGATGTCGTTGTCATTGGTGGTGGTCCCGGTGGTTACCCCGCTGCCATTAAGGCTGCCCAACAAGGTCTCAAGGTACAACGCACACATAATATATGCAAAAAAAACATACTAAAAAAATAAGAAACAATAGGTCGCATGTATCGAAAAGCGTGGTGCTCTTGGTGGAACCTGTCTTAACGTTGGTTGCATTCCTTCCAAGGCCATGTTGAACAACTCTCACATTTACCATCAAACCAAGCATGGATTAAAGAGCCGTGGTATTGAAGTGTCCGATGTCAAGTTGAACTTGCCTCAAATGCACAAAGCTCGTGTCAAGGCCATTACTGGTTTGACCAAGGGTGTTGAATTCCTCTTCAAGAAGTATGGTGTCGACTACCTTAAGGGTACCGGTACTTTCAAGACCGCCACCGAGATTGCCGTTGCTGGTTTAGACGGTACTGAGTCCTCCATTAAGGGTAAGAACATCATTATCGCCACTGGATCTGAAGTTACACCCATTCCCGGTATTGAGATTGATGAGAAGCGTATTGTTTCTTCCACTGGTGCCCTTGAGCTTGCTCAAGTCCCCAAGAAGATGGTCGTTATTGGTGCTGGTGTCATTGGTCTCGAATTAGGTTCCGTCTGGGCTCGTCTTGGTGCTGAGGTCACTGTTGTTGAGTACCTTGATGCCATTGGAGCCGGTATGGATCCTGAACTCGCAAAGAACTTCCATAAGCTCTTGCAAAAGCAAGGTCTCAAGTTCAAGATGGCCACCAAGGTCAATGGTGCCAAGGTTGAAGGTGATATCGTCAAGGTTGAAGTTGAGGCTTCTAAGGGTGGTAACGCCGAGACCGTAAGTAATCAATTGGGATGGGAAGGGAGAGATATAGTGTGTGTGTGTGTGTTAATGACCCGACTTTAATAGCTCGAAGCTGATGCTGTTTTGGTTTCTATCGGTCGTCGTCCTTACACCACCGGTCTCGGTTTAGAGAACGTTGGTGTCGAAGTTGATAACCGTGGTCGCGTTGTTATTGATTCCGAATTCAAGACCAACATTCCCAACATTCGTTGTATTGGTGATGCCACCTTTGGTCCCATGTTGGCTCACAAGGCTGAAGATGAGGGTTTCGCTGTTTCTGAAATCATTAGCACTGGTCATGGTCATGTTAACTATGATGCTATTCCTTCCGTTATTTACACTCACCCTGAAGTTGCCTGGGTCGGTAAGAACGAGACTCAATTGAACGAAGAAGGTATCAAGTTCAAGACTGGTTCTTTCCCCTTCGTTGCCAACTCTCGTGCTCGTACCAACGATGACTCTGATGGTCTTGTCAAGGTTATCGCTGACGCTGAGACTGATCGTATCTTGGGTGTTCACATTATTGGTCCTAACGCTGGTGAGATGATCGCTGAAGGTGTCCTTGCTGTTGAGTATGGTGCCTCTGCTGAAGATGTGGGTCGTACCTGTCATGCCCATCCTACTTTATCTGAAGCCTTCCGTGAAGCTTGTTTAATTACCTCTTTCGGTCAAGCCATCAACTTCTAAAAAAAGTCACTCTATCCATTGTCACATTTCTCTACCTCAACTTATCTATTCACAAATTTAAAATAAAATCAAAAAGTAGCAATTTACAGCTAAAAGCAGTCGCATTTCCGGTGTTTGAATAATTAAGTCGCGTTTTGGGGCGCGACCCCTTTTCTCTATCCAGTCCTTTTTTTTTTTTTCTATATTTTAACCCAATATGAGCACTTTAGCAGAGACAGAAGACATTCCCGAGATTGGTATGCTTACAGTTCATTGAAACTCTATACAAAACTGACACGAAAGTTTTTACAGAAAATTCTGAGAAGCAAGGATTCGCTAGTTTTTATAAAAACTTGGATATTGTAAGTGTTACAGTTGGCCTGTCAAAAAAAAAAAGAAAAAAAAAAAAGAAAAAAAAAACTAACGAAAAGATAGGCGGAAGCAGGTACATTGCGCATGTTTGAACGTGACGCCAACAACAGTACCTATTTCACTTTTCACGAGGATGATGCAAGATATGTAGCCGAAGTAGTTTACCAAACACCTTCTGTCATTAAAAACTGGGGCGGTAGGTGACAATTACATTTAACAGTAACGACCTTGGCTCACGTAACTTTTTTTTAGGCCTCGCTACAACCAAATTAACAGAGACAGCAGCAAAGGGTTTTTTGAGAGACTTGCTGATCAACAAACAAAAAAGAATTCAGATCTGGACCGGAAGTCGAACCACTTGGCGCATTAGTCGTGAGGCCTCGCCTGGTAATTTGCAACAAGTGGAAGACTTTTTGTTCTCTAGCGTGGAAATGACCAGTGCGCCTGTTGTTATTGCTGTCAAATATAGTAACAAATCTGGCACTAATGTAAGAAGAAGAAAAAGAGAATTTCGAGAAAGGAACTAAAAATATACAGACTGTGGGTGTCTCTTTTGCAGATACTACCATCAACCAATTAGGTCTCAGTGAGTTCACTGATAACGATTCCTATTCCAACTTGGAGGTAAGTAAAGATAGAAAGAGCGTTATTAGAGAATGAAGTTCTCATAATAGCATAGTCCTTGATTGTTCAATTAGGTGTCAGAGAGTGTATTTTACTGGCAAAAGGAGCCGAAGAAAAGGATTTTGATCGACTCAAAATCCAGAACATCCTTGCCCGTTGTGATGTAACTGTGACAGAAAGACCTAATAGTAAGAAGCAACTGGACATATTACTACAACAACAACAACAAAAAAGATGGATACTTATCCCTGTATATTATATAGGTCATTTCAACGCCAAAAATATTGAACAGGATTTAAATAGACTTTTGGAAGGCGATGTTAATGTTCAAGCGTTACGTAAGCTGTCTCCTTTATTTATTTTATGAATAATTATTGACAATCTCATGTTATACTGTTATATTTAGCCGAGTTTGAACTAGCCGATGCATTATCATCGTGCGCGTGTATTATCCACTATTTACAATTACTCAGCAACGATAGTAATTTTGGAAAGTTCACCTTAAAAAATCACGACTTGTCACAATACATGCGATTAGACGGATCGGCTTTGACCGCCTTAAATTTGTTACCTACGGCCGAAGATGGCCCCAGAAAATCCACCAGTGTATATGGATTGTTAAACAAATGTAAAACTGCGCAAGGCAGTCGATTATTCGCACAATGGTTAAAACAACCTCTTTTAAGCTTACATGAAATCACACAGCGTCAGGATCTTGTACAGGCCTTTGTCAACAATACGATGCTGAGACAAACATTACAAGAAGTACATTTAAACCGTTTACCGGATTTACATCGCATGACGAAAAAGTTTTTAAAGGGAAATGCCAAGCTGCAGGACGTGGTTAGAATCTATCAGGTTGTGATTCGGTTACCTCAATTGATAGATTGTTTAATGAACGGTGTTGACTCTGATGAAAATCTGTACAACTTGGTCAAGGATACTTTCACAACAAAGATTGAAAAGACTTATGGAAGTTTAGCGAATTTGGAACAGTTGGTTGTTACCACAATCGATCTGGAGGCTGTGGACAGACATGAATATATTATTAAGGCAGAATACAATGAGGAGTTGAAAGGTAAAAAAAAAACAGAGGGCAGAGATAATCATATGAAAAACAGAGAAATATATGTTGATCGCTCGATTACTAGATATTCATACGAACATGAGTGTGGTCTTGAACCAAATGGAAGAAGTGCATGACCGCATGTGTTCAACGCTTAGTCTGGAAAAGGATAAGAAAGTGAAGCTTGAGATACATGCAACATATGGCTACTGTTTCCGTGTGCTTGGCCGTACTGAAGCCAGCAAGGTCCGTAACAAATCCGAATATTTTGAATTAGCTACACAAAAATCAGGCACATTTTTCACCTCCAGCGCACTTAAAGGTTTAAGTAAGACTTATTCTCAATTATCTAGCAGTTACAACGAAAAGCAAAAGGGATTAGAGAAGGAAGTACTCGAGATTGTTGGTAAAAAAAAAAAATCATGAATATCATTGGCAAGCTGATTTTTATTTATTTATTTTATTTCAGCTACCTACTGCCCAGATTTGGAATCGCTCGGTTCTGTACTGGCACATATGGATGTATTGGTTAGTTTTGCTCATGTCTCGGCTATGTCATCTATACCATATGTGCGTCCCACACTCACTCCATGCGGTAATACATAGAAGAGAGAGAGAAAGTGTGCGTGTGTGTGTATTGAATAGAAACTGATTTATTTTAGGCCAAGGCAATGTTATGCTTGAGAATGCCAGACATCCATGTTTGGAGACCCAAGATTACGTTACATTTATTCCAAACGATGTTGAAATGATTAGGGGTAAGTTGAAAAATGAACTATTAACTATTAAAAAAATTAAAAAAAAAAATAAAAAATAAAAAAAAAACTTTGTTGATATAGGATCGACAGAATTTAAAATTGTGACGGGTCCAAATATGGGAGGTAAATCTACTTATATTCGACAGGTGGGTGTGATTGCATTGATGGCCCAAATCGGGTGCTTTGTACCTTGTTCCAGCGCGACTTTGTGTATCTTTGACTCTATCTTGGCTCGAGTAGGAGCGAGTGACAGTCAACTGAAGGGTGTGTCTACTTTTATGGCAGAGATGCTAGAAACAGCTACTATCTTGAAATCTGCCACCCAGAATTCGTTGGTTATAATTGATGAGTTGGGGAGAGGCACAAGTACATCCGATGGTATCGGCTTAGCTTGGGCTATTTCCGAGTAAAGTATTAAATTATATATCTCTAGGGCTTTGATGACTAATAACTGTGTGTGTTTAGATACATTGCAACCGAAATTCGATCCTTTTGCTTATTCGCCACACATTTCCACGAGTTAACAACGCTTGCGGAAAAGTTTACACACGTTGATAATTTGCATGTAGCTGTACATATTGGTGAAGGCACGAATGTAACGCTCTTATACAAGGTCAATCGAGGTGTGGGTGATAAGAGTTTTGGTATCCATGTAGCAGGACTTGCCAATTTTCCCGAGATGGCCATCAACCTAGCGAAACGTAAAGCAATCGAATTGGATGAAGAGCTGGATATTGTTCGTGGAATCGAAGCTCATGATTCTGAGGAAGTGAGACAGGGTAAAGCCATCTGGGCACATATTATGGATGAGCTTGCGTTGAACGACAGCGAGCAACACTTTCGAGAGGTCAAGGAAAAGTACTGGGCACAAATTAGGGGAAATGCTTACTTGAACGATCTGTTGGGCGATGCCCAATAAGAGTATGGGAGCACAAAGAATAATAATAAAAAGATTTTTTTTGGCTTATTTTTATAACGCCTTATATTTTTAAATAATGACAAATAAGCGTGGATTTATGTCTTGGATAGGGTTATTACTAAGCTTTGTGGGCATGGCAGGACTTGTGTTATCTATCCTTTCTCTATTACCACTGAACGGATACAATATCTATACAACTACAATGACAGTACTGAGATTAGTTGAATTTGAACAAGACAATGGAGAGTTTTCTCAAGATGCAAAATTATACTTGGTGTTTCTAGGAGGATCCTTTTTTTCGAGTGTCATGGAGATGGTCGCTACTTTAGCTGCCTGTTGTCGAAGGGATACAGCAGAAACGGATCAAGAAAGTTGTCAGACCAGCCATAGAAAGACCAGCAAATCCTGGTTCATTCGAATCATATGCTTTACTTTATTAATACAAATTATCTTTTCGTTATTTGGTAATATATGTGTAGCAGTGGAAATGATAAAGGACTGAACATTGTTTCTTTCTGATATATAGGCACGCATCTTATATACAAGCTGGAAAAAGATGCAATTCCTGTAGATATTCAACACAACATATTCATATCATGTGCTATACTGTGGATAAACTATTTATCCCTGACAGTATTTTCCTTCATTTTATTATTTGCATCATTCTGTATCTTGATTGGTACCTCAAATCAACAAAAGAAAAGTGCCCAACAAGACGAGGAAACAAGGCCCTTCATTCTCATTTAAATTTAAAATTCAGACGATGGACTTTGGTGGTATTTTTTTTTTTTTTTTTGGGACAGATCAAAATTAATTTTCCAGATGTTTGGCTCAATAAGACATTGAGACAAAATAAAATTTAAATACTTTGCTCACCTATTAATTGGTACAAAGTAATATAGTAAAAAGAATGATTTATATAATTTTAAAGAATACCAAGCGAAAATGTAACCCAGACCCTGCCGCTCTGTCCCTGTTAAAAAGCCTTATTTTATCATTGACTAAACAGGCAGGCCTCAGATTCTTTGCCAACCTCGAATTACACTGGTTGCAATCTATTTTTCGGTGCTCGATGGAAACGGTAAAACTAGGAGCTTTGGCAACGTTGTCTACTTGATTTCGGCATTTATAACTATTTATTAATTATATCCCGTATAACCAACCGAATGGCATAAATGTGTATATAAGTAATCTTTTTTTTTCTTGTCTCTTTCTATTTTATTATCATTATCAATCAATTTTTCAGATGCTCTCTCAAGAAGTCGCTATTACCACTCCCAACGGTTTCAAGGTTCGCCCAGTTACCAAATTCATCAAGACCGCCAGAAGTTTGAAGTCCGACATTACTTTGTCTTGCAATGGCAAGACTGCTGATTCCAAATCGCCCTCCAACTTGATGGCTTTGGCTTTGACCAACGGTGATGTTGTCACTATTTCTGTCAATGGATCTGATGAAGAAAAAAATCTAAAGACCATGGTTGAGCTCATGAAGAAATTGGGAGGACAATAACCACCTCATCTACGTGTCAAAATCAATTAAAATTTGGCCATTTTTCATTGGCTCATATTTAAATAAAAATAAAGATAAAAAACCAAATTAACACATTCCTTTTTATCTTTTCTTTATTCCACCATAATATGAGGTCAAACCGTCGTTTACTATTTGCATTTATTTTGCCCCTCTTTATCAACAATTGCTTTGCCGAAAAAGACGTTCAACAGCATTTGGCTGACGGAAACGTGTATTTAACCACTGGTAAATTCAACGACGCCATTATTAGTTTTGATGCTGCCATTTGTAAGTCTTTTTTTATATATATATATAATGTATTTTGTTTCTTCAATCCGCTTGAATCTAACAATCATCATGTACAGCACAGGACCCTTCAGATTACTTGTCGTATTACAAGAGAGCAACAGCTTATCTCTCACTTGGTCGCACCAGCTCAGCAATTGACGACTTCTCCACCATTCTTTCGCTTCGCCCTGGCTTTGATAAAGCACTTTTACAACGAGCTAAATTATATGCCAGTGATGGTGATTTTTCGCTTGCAAAGACAGACTTGCTGAAACACAAGAACCACCAATTGGATGGTGAAGTGAAGGACCTGGTAAGGCTTTACTACAATATACTAGATACTGCCATAACTAAACGCAGAATTTAAAATTTAGCTCGAGTCAGTGGAATATGCAGAAAAAACAAGTCTATTAGGTTTAGACGCTTACAAGCACAAAAACTATGAGGATTGTATTGCCCACTTGACTAAAGTCATTCGTATTGCGCCTCAAAAACCTCAATGGCGTCTCACACGTGCCAAGTGCCATGTTGGCAAAGGAGAGATTGAAGAAGCCACCAGCGACTTGACGTAAGTTTCTTATTAGAACAACCAAACCAACACAAAAATTAACATTGTATGTGTAAATAGTCGTGTGGCGGTATTGACACCTTCCAACAAGGAACTATTGCTACAAGTAGCCAGTTTAAACTTTTTCTCACTTTACGAACCCGATCGGGCTTTGACTCAAGTCAAGTCATGTATTCATTACGATCCAGATGACAAGCAATGCAAAAGCCTGTTCCGCCTTATTAAGCGTCTGGAAAAGGAAATTAAAAAAGCTGAGGATTTCCGTCAGCAACAGCGTTATGCCACTGCATTGAATGCGTTGGTAGGTGGCACAGGGATTGTGAACGAGATTGATGCTCCGCTCAAGCAATTAGAGGTCACCATGGAAACAAAATTACCCAACCGTTTAGCACTGAGAGTATACTCGTTAGCATGCAGCATTGCAGCTGAATCCAAGGATCTGGACAGAGCCGAAAAATGGTGTGCGGCTACACTGGAGTTGGACCCTAACCATGAGGAAGCATTGTTCAGTCGTGGTGAATTGAAGTTAAACCAAAATGATTTTGAAGGTGCTGTGATTGATTTAGAAAAGGCCTTTGAGGCAAGTGAACAACAAAATAACCGTATCAGACAAATGTTGCAGCGCGCACAGCAGTTATTACGACAAAGCAAAAAGAGAGACTACTACAAGATTCTAGGTAATACATAGATGTATAGATAATGCCTCAAATTGCCTCAATATTTAACCATTGTGTATAATTGATAGATGTGGCGAGAGATGCAGACCCCAGAACAATCAAAAAGGCATACCGTAAAAAGGCTCATGAATGGCACCCAGACAAGTACAGTGGAGAATTAGATAAGACACAGGTAGAGAGTAAGATGGCAGATATCAATCAAGCATATGAAGTTTTGAGTGATCCCGAAAAGAAGGAACAGTTTGACAATGGATTTGATCCCTATGATCCTGAATCTGCACAACAACAACACCAGCATCACAACCCATTCGGACATCAACATGGAAACCCATTTGCCCATCATTTCGGCGGTGGACAATTTTCTTTCAATTTTTAGTTAAATAAAATAAAAACTATGTGTGTGACTCCCCCTTTTATATTTACACCAACTATCCTTTATTTATTTATAATTTTCTTCTTTTCTTTCCGACCTGTTCATCATGGGATTATTTTCCAGGAATAAACAAGATCAAGATGAAGAAGAAAACGAACCACTTCATCAAGGCGAGACCATTGAAATGAATGAAGCCTCATCTTCTTTTTCAAAATTCAATAGAATGGCCGAAGACGGCTGGAATTCAGTGACCCATTTGGTCCTTCCGCAACAACAACGACCTTCAACCCATATAGACGTTGACGATCCTGCGCCCCCTGCGCTCGATATAAAGAACGATGTCAAGAGGCATCTTTATTTGCTGTTGGAAGAGCCTGCCAGCAGTCGAAGTGCTTTTTGGACAAATGTGATCGTCTCATTTCTGATTGTCTTTAGTGCTGTAACAACAACCATTGAAACTATTCCTTCGTTTCGCTCTGCCAAAAGCAACAAAGTGTGGTAAGGGAACAATAACTATCCTCATTTATTTTGTCATCTCACAAATCCCATAGGTTTCAATTAGAGTCAGCTATGGTTGCATTATTTACACTAGAATATCTTCTTCGAATGTTTGCGCACTCGGATTCCTTTCGCATGCTTAAGAAGTTTTTTCTGTGTAAAGTGTCAATGACAATTTAAATACACAAAATGCTAAACAAATTTCTTTTGTAATTTATAGCGCCGCTTTCAATTATTGACTTTATATCGATTATCCCATTTTACATTGAAGTGATTGCCAAGCATGACACAGTAAGATAAAGAAGAAAGGCACTATATTTTACGCTAAACAAACAAACTCCATGGTGGTTAGACGTATGAATTTAGATTTACGATTTTAAGATTATTCCGTTTATTACGATTGTTTCGCTCGTACAAGTATTCGAATGCGATTGTGATGACCATTGAAGTTATGATGATGGCCTTCCGAAGGTCGGGTGATGCATTATCTGCCCTCTTTTTTTTCACAGTCACCTGCGTAGTACTGTTTTCCACTTTATTGTACTTTGCCGAACGCGGAATTTGGGATGAGACCTTGCAGACCTTTGTGGCTTCAGATGGCTCACCCAGCTCATTTGACAGTATTCCAGCTGCCTTTTGGTTTGTATTAGTTACAATTACCACCACTGGTTATGGTTAGTGGTTTTTTAATTATGTTTCTCTTTAGCGCCACTTTTTTAAACATAGTTATTTTTTTATTTTTTTAGGTGATATGGTGCCAACAACATTTATTGGTAAATTAATTACGTTTCCCGCTATGATGTTTGGTGTCTTGGTAAACAATTGTGAAATGCTACCCCGCAAATTTTAGCAGGGAGTTACTGAACTTTATTTTTTGTTTTAGCTTATTGCTTTACCATCCATCATTGTGGGTCGAAATTTCACAATTGTATGGGAAAGTATGCGACGGCGCCAATTCTCCAACCGAATGGGAGAAAATCCTATGGGAGGAGGGGAGGACGTGCTTTCAAACAATGTAAACGAAACTCCCGTTACTGCTACAGGTACACACACATAAGGCGGGGAAAGAAGGAAAGGGAAATTAAAAAATCTTATTTAGGTCCTGAATCTAATTTTGGAATTCTACCCAATAACAACGAAGAAGAAATTTTAAACCAAATCCAACAACTGTTAGCTCTGACATTACAAAACCAGGCTGCCATAAATAGAATCGTAAGCGTGTTAGAACCCACAACACACGCTACCACAGAAAACCAAAGGGGAAAAGCTCCCATGCGAGAAGAAATAAATCCTTTTGGCGAATAGTTAAATAGAAAGAAAGAAAGAAAAAAAGTTTATTTGAAAACATAAAAGTACATATAATAGTTACTTAATTGGCAGTGATGGAGGGATATAATTATGATTACTTTGAATCCGATGTGTTGTGATAATGTCTCCAACCGTTTGGTAATTCACCATCATTACAAAGTTCGACAGACCTTAACCAGTTCGATTCTAATACTTGGTCTACGGTCCATCTAGTTTCTGGGTTAGGATCCAACATGCCAGCTAAGCACTCTATTTCATCTTTGGTAAGTCTCTCCGTGCCCGTATCACCACCAAAACTATCCCAAATATCACACGTTTGCGATTTATTTCGTTGTTCAACGTACAACCCATATGCCTTATCTCCTCCATCTGAAGCCGCGGCAGATACTGCAGCAGGTGATCCTGCCTTAGCCCCCTGAGGTGGACTTGTTGGTCTGCCACCTGGTGTATAAAAGGCTACGGCAAAAGGTAACTGCTGAAAACGAATACAAAAGTAGGTAATAGCCGCACTCCAAATATCTAGCGCCTGACCATCATAGCCATCCTCCTTGTCTTTCAAATTCCAGAGCTCAGGCGACCAGAAAGGCTCAGAACCACACCATTTGTGACACACATGGGGCTCTTTTTCAAAGCATGTTTGAACCACATCGGCCACACCAAAGTCGGCAATCTTTAGGGTGCCACCTTTAGTCAGGATTAGATTTTCAGGCTTGATATCTCGGTGAGCGATGCCCAAGTGGTGCAAATGGGCAAGCCCTAGCATCAGTTGTTTAAATAAGCAAGCGCACTCCATAACTGTCATGGTGGATTTTTCAGTTAATAGATTAAATAAATCACCTCCGTCACACTATAAAGAGAAATTAATATGTTTTTATTCCATATTTATCCCTATTTTCTACTTACGTATTCCATCACGGTGCACCAGCGATCATGTTCATCAACCACTAAATCAATTGTTTCCACCACATTGACATTACCACTTACAGTTTTACTGATACAATATTCATTGTGCATGCGTTTCAGATATTCCTTCTGATCCTCATTCTTGTCCCGCTTTATAAATTCTTTTACAGCTAGTGTTCTCCCATTGGATTGTACAAGACGTATCACGGCTGTAGCACCACTGCCAATATTGTTCTTGTTTGTAGCACCCGCAGCTTTTGTGCTTGCCTTTTTATTAGGCTTTACATAGTGGCCGTACTTCTCGTTAAGTTTAGGTACATTTGCAGAGGGTGATGAAGGGGAGGCTGGCTCAGATCGATGTTGGTGCCAGTGTTTACGAGTCCAAGAAGCGGGACTAGCAATTAAATTGCCAATGGATTTACCGAACCGATGACGATGCTCGGTAGATTCTACGCTAGCAAGGCTTTGAGCACCACTGCTTCTACGTCGATTTAATGGGCCATCATTTGTCGTAGGAGTCATCTTGAGTGATTGTGAGCTGTGGCTGGAGAAAAGAGATCCAAGTCGGCTAGTGCTGTTGCTTTTTTGGATAGGAATTGAATGGCTGGAACTTGTTTCGTTTGAAATAGATGTACTGAGTTCGGGACAAGGTTCAAAAGGATCGGGAGTTACTGAAATATGAGGCTGAGTGACTATTGCAGACATTATAAGAAGAAGAAAAAAGTAACGAAAGAAAAACAGAAGAAAGAAAAAGTGAGTTCTTATTTATATCAAAATGCACAGAAACAGTGAGAGATCGGAGTATCAACATTTAGGGTTCGTCCCCGCCTTTCGTAAAATATAAATGACGTTGCAATCTAAATTTGGGAACAGCCCGAGTACGAATTTTCTCTTGTGGAAAATCCAGCACTGAATAGTTTAGACGATTTTCGTAATCTTTTGTTCTTCCCATTCTCCAAATTAATCCTAGGGATTATCTGCTAAGTAACCTTATTCTTACTGATAGACAAATCAACTAAATGTCCCATTAACGCACAAAAAATACACCAACGGAATTATTAAATAATTGTGCGTGCAGTGTAGTACATATTCTTCTTAACCCACATTATACTGAGAAGCTCCATATTTTAGGCAAATCAGCATTATAACGACATTGTTGAAGACTACAGCTTCTTCACTATATATTTGATCGTCAGTCATAAACAAAGTTGATGAGCTCTTAGAACCCCGTTTCTGAAAAAAAAAACGCAGTAAACACTATGCTCTATGGACGAAAAAAGTGTATCACTATCAGCTGCTTAAAATGTAGATCGATCCTTCATGTGGTCTCATTTCTTTAAATAAAGGATTGTAACTGGTTTCTCGGTCTGAGTTACTATTTAGCTGTATGATATCATTTTATTTTCACTTCAACAGTTTTCACAGACATTTTGTCAGACCAATCGAAATGTAAAAATGGAATAAAATGCTTACCTTTTTTGGAAAAAATGTATTCAGTGCCAATTTCGCTCTTTAGCAAAATGAAGGTTGCCTGGGACACAGTTATTCCTTTTTATCTTGCCAGTCAATTTCATGCTGCGTCTATTTGCTTGAAAAAAAAAAGAGCTGAGTTATATTGTTAATCCAAACTGTACCAACCCAGAAATTATCATGAAGAAAAAAGCCAGGTGCTGATATTCTTATCTATTTACACACTCTGGACTAAAACAATTTTTTATTCTAGTACGGCACTTTTAGTTTGGCAGAGACCTATATTTATGATTCATAGATGGGGGATACTTATTATTAAGACATTGGTTATGGCTCTCAAAGGAAGAGATGTCCCCAAATACTATTAGAGTTCGTTAAAATAATGAAGTATAGTCATGATCTTGAGTAATGGTATTAATGCGACTTACAATAATCAGATAAACATCCACAGTTTTTAGCAGAGCGTTCTAATAATATACAATCATACTCAACCATAAACGATATTAAAACTGATAAGCGCTATGGCTTTTTCTCATATTTGTTACAAAATTCACGAACTAGCAATCTCGTTTGGAAAAGAATATATGTTGTAAATATAAGGCATGTAACTTAAAATAAAGAACATCGGGAATGACCTAGAAAGTGCAAAAGCAATCAGTGAAAACTGTTAAAAACTACATTGGGGTATTATGAGAATTACATTAGCCAATATAATACCAGGCTATGCTACATAAGCAGTAACATAAATTGTAACTCTCTCAGAAAAGAGAATATGTCGAAAAGAAAATAATCTGACGGTAACTTAGTCATTTTTATAACCTGTCATATGAGGGCGATGATGAAACAGATAAGAATAGCATCAATGCCTTAAAGTTACAAATCGATCCAGACAGCATCTGATTTCGCAATAACGTTGATTCACGTTTTGTTTTCTATTTATTTCTAATATGCCGTCTAATTACAGTATATCTTAAGATGCCTCATTTGAATAAAAGACATCAAAGTTTTTCTTTTCTTTTTTAAAAAAAATGTGGCCGGATGATGTTGAAACTACAACTAATGAAATATATCTAAGCTACTTGTCTTAATATGGTAGTATCGCCAAAGCACCTGTTCTAATTATGATAAACGTAAACGATTTTACATGAACTAGTTACAGTAAATATATATATATATATATATATATATATATTGCGTAGCATAGGTGGCACAAAAATGAGAGATGTCTTCTACAATGCATCTATTTTAAAAATAAACAATTTTTGAAATGACAAACAAGAATTGGCTTGAGTCAAAATGAGATTGGTTACACTTTTTCAAATAAAAGGAATGTCTACCAAATTATAACAAATGTTGATTACATGCTTTTTGTAAACATAATTTTGGCACAAGGATGACATTGGCGTTTGAGTATTTGATAATTTGTTTGTGTTAAATTTACCAACAACCCACGGAACTTTTTACTAAAAGCCACTTATAATTTGCTCGCCTTTTGATCTAGAAGGGATATATACTTCACCCTATATCAGTGCGCCTTTCTAAAATTAATCCTTTGAGCTGTTAATATAACTAAAAGCAATAAGCATGTATGAAGCAAATTAATGGATTAAGGATCTGGTGACTCTAAAAAATATGTTTGTCCTACTTTACTTGTGTAATGTACGATAGATAAAAATTTAAAGCCATCTCTCTTAGAATGGATTCACTTTTCCCTCTTTTTCCTTTTTATTATCATGAAGGTTTTTGACTATAATACTTATGACTTTATTGTCAGCATTGGTAAAATTTATTGTTTTTTCATACATGTATTGAAATAAAGTTTTTCTTGAAAAATGCGAATTAAAAATATGTACTAGATTTCGGCACGACCTATTCTGGCTGCTGCTACATAGATACGAGTGGTAAAACTATGAAGGCAGCAATTGAAAATGACCAATACGATGTTATTATTGATGGTGTTCGAAATATTGATACTTGGTAAAGGCATTCACAACTGATAAAATAATAAACTTCTAATTTTAAATATACAGGGAGTCAGCGGACAAGAATAAAGTCAAAGTACCCACGGTCGCTGTTTATTCAAGAAGGAACAAAACTTTAATCGAGTGGGGTTTTGAAGCTTATAGAACGTGGAAAGGTATCTCAGCAGGTTTTACAGACGACGAAACACAAACAAGAAAGGAAGAAGATATAAAAGGCCAAAAAAGCATTATTCTACAGAAATTTAAACTGAATATTGCTGCCAGTAGAACCAATAATAACGAAGAAGATAATCACGACGATGATTATCTCAGTGTTATGGCTACCATTGACTACCTAAGAAACATGAACGATACAGCATTTAATATGATTGTTAAAAACTTTTTTACCGACGTCGATAAATCTAAAATACGATATGTCTTGACAGTACCAGCTCAATGGACGGACGACGAAAGAGTCGCCATGCGAATGATGGCTACTGACGCTGGTATTATTACAAAAACTGATCACGAGAATAAATTAATTATCATCAATGAGTCTTTTGCTGCCACATTGTTCTGTGAAAAGGAATTGGCCTCGAAATGTTTTGCATTCGAAGAAGGTGCAAAATATTTAATTTGTGATGCTGGCGGAGGCACTGTAGATTTGGCCACATATGAATCTACTATTATTTCGAGCAAGGATAAAAACTCTATTGGTCGATGCCAGCTAACCACAGATAGTGGCGATAAATGTGGATCTGGATTTGTTGATGACCATATGGAAAATCTTTTGTTGGATCTGCTCTTTCATGGCTGTAACCAAATCGATAAGGCTCGTAATAAAATATGGCTGGCATCGTTAATGGCACATTTTATTGAAAATTTAAAGGTACGTAAATATATAAATAAGGTTTTTTAAGACAATTGACTTTGACAGGTATTAGCCTGAATTCGATGACGACGAACTAGGTAATAGAAGTTATAGTCATAAATTGAACAAGTTTTTTATTCCATCTTTGTCGCAGAAACTGTATTTGATTTGGATTTGGTAGGTTTACATAACAGCGATTATCAATTAAAACCATGTGATGAAGGAAATGAGGAATATGAAATCAGGGAGGATGACGAATGCAATTACTCGGAACTAGTGATACCCAATATCATCATGTGTAAATATGTATTCGATCCAGTTGTAAACGCAACCTTAAGATTAATCGACAACCAAATCCAAAAGGCTAACTCTTCGGAAATACAAGCTATCTTTTTACTGGGTGGATTTGGTGAATCGAGATATCTTTTAAAAAGGGCCAATATATGTTTTCAGGACAAGGTCAAGGAGATTATATCATGTGAAAATGGCGACAGAGCTGCAATGCGAGGTGCTATTTATTTTGGTATTGATGGTATTCAACGATCCCATCATGATAAAAGTATTATTTCTCGTAATTTTAAAGACAAGAAATTCGATCCCGAATCATTTGATGTCCTAATTTGTATCGGTAAGCTAGAGTTGAAATAGATTTTATATGGTATTAATATGATAACTTTAGACATCGGATACGAATTCTCAACGTGTGGCTATTTTGTAAATATGGGTAATAAGCAGACGTATTTAGATTTAGATTTAATTCGAGTTGAAGAAGAATCTTTGTGAGTTGTAATTAGAGCCTGCAGCACTTTCTAGTTTGTACTAATGCAAAGTAATATAGACCTGGCAGATGTCATGAAAAGCCTTACAAAATACCAACCGTTCTTGAATATTCTAAGCATGGTGCAGTGAAATGGGGTGCTCAAGTGGATCCTCATAGTTGTGATCGTATATCACTTAGTCACTTAATGTCTACAAGCAAAGACGACTTCGAAAAGTTTATAGTGGATTATTTAGAACGAATCCATGAATATGCTTGCCGTGTTATACAGAAGAGGTACACTTTATTCAGTCGCGGTCAATTTCGATATTGCTTGACGATGGAAAACTGCTTCAATTTTTTCACAAATAAGGCCAAGATGGCGGAGTTTGCGGTAGCTGCTAAAGTCTTGAGGGTAGAAGGAGACGAGCCAATCATGAACAAAAGGCTGTTACTAATTAATCGAGAGGATGCTTCGGCTATGTTTTATGAAAAAATGTATTACACGGAAAACAACAGTTATTTTTGGACAATTAAGATTGACATGGAGGAAAATATTTGCTTATTGTCGTGTCATGAAATTAGAAATGCCGACGCCAGCGTACTTGATTTCGTGCCTACAGAAGAAAATTTATACGATTCCAAGAGGTCCGGAATTATAGATTCGGGGGAGCTTCAGTTTGACTTTAGCGAGAAATTGGTATCTACACTAAAGTACTTTAAGCTCGGAAACAATTCCTCAATGCATTATGGAAATTATGGTAAAAATTCATGTAATCAAAGTTTAAAAGAAGCGTTCAAAAATTTGATTGAGGTGATTATGTAATTTAAATTTTAGGTAGAAATAGGGAAATAATTGGGTTTATTTATCTTAGGAAGAAGAAATTATGGAGAGAGAAGGTAATACTTTAATTACCTTCACAAATGGGTGTTGTGAATACACATGTACCAAAGAGCAGGTTGTCGATTATATTGTTCAGCCAACTATCCTTGATTTTGTTGATCAAACTTGTAAATTTGTTGTTAATCGAGAACGAATTCCTCAAAAAATTACTATCGATAATATATATATTGTCAGAAGACAAGAAGAAACAACAGAATTCAAACACCGGATTGTTAATTCTTTAGCCGACTGTTTAAAGGAGCAGCTAGGTAAAATCTTTGGAAAGCAATGCCGTATTCAAGCTTTATCTTCGTTGAATGATTCACAAGCGCCCCAGACGGAAACCGGCTACCGTCCCGTCGTTCGCGTGCGTGAAAATGTAGACAAGGAATACATCTATCACTTTTTACAGATTATTGTCCAAAGAAATTGCTTTCATTTAAATCTGCATGAAACTACATCTATTAGTGGTGACAACGAGCGAACATATCAAAACGTTCGTAAATTGAGATCATCCACATTTGAGTTTGATTTTAATTCTGCTCTCATAAAACAAGTGTACGATTATATCCGTCAAAAGCCAAGGAACTATTTTTGCCAGAAAAAAGCATCCCACAGAAGACGCACACAAAAGTACGATAACGCTCTAACAAAAGGTTTACTATATTTTATAAAGGTACATATGTGAACTAAGTAATCGAGACTGTAATTATTTAGCTTCTCTTTCTTTTTAATAGAATAACTTGACACTGGAGAAAAATAAGGCTACCGAACCCATTTATATTGATGACTGCTGCACAATCCAAATAGAGCCTCACGACTGCCTGGTTAGCATCTTAAAACCTGCACTTATAGAGCTTTTAGAAACCACTATCATGCATATGATTCAATCCGGTATCACACGAGATTATACAGGTTTTCACAATTTATTTTTCTTTGGAACACTAGTTGAGGCCACTGACGATGGTAATAATTTTATCAAAACGTTCATCAAGGGATGGATGTACGATTCCTTGCCGGGGATGTTAAAAACCAAGGATAATATCTTGTTTACCATATGCGATAATAACGAGGTGATAAATGGCGCAGCCATGTATGGGCTTGATACTACACTTTACATGGAAAGAATCTCTCGAAGAACATACGCCATTAGTGTTCAAGCACATCCATTTTTAATTGACTCTCAAACAGCAATGCCGTTAGCCAATACAAAAGAAAACACATCAGTTCATTTTCAATCTCAAAAGGAGTCTTCAGAAACCAACAAGATTGATCCAACAACCAAAATAAAGTTAATCAAGCAGAATGATAAAATAACAATGGATATGCAATCTATCGGCAAATTTGAACGCTTCTTTGTCGATCAAGATTGTATAGTATATGCCAGTAAGTCTCTTATTACAGTACACAAGATATATTAGCTCACAATTTCTCGTAGCAATCTTTGCTAAAGAAGACAGCTATGAAGAGGGTAAGTTGATATTTTGCTCTATGTTCCAGCAATTGAAATTAATTTGATTTCTCCGCAAGTTGAAGACAGCGGCAAAGACTTAAATGAAGGTATTGAAGAGGAAGAGGAAGTAGATGCCGGAGGAGAATTTGAAGAGGAAGAAGTGGAAGAAGTTGACGAAGATAAAGATGAAGATAAAATCGGTATTGAGGAGGGGAGCAGCAATAAAAATGATTACAAAAAAATCCACCAATTTGAAATCTGCTTAAAACGACAGCATGGTGATATAAATAACACCAGTATTAGATCCCGTTTAAGCTTTGAAATTCGGTTAATGTTTCCCAGCAAGAACGAAGCTAAATTTGAAGTCAATATTGGACAGTCCAAGGAGAGCAATATCCCAAAGTTCGAATTTAGGGATGAAATTTTAGTTACTAATATCTATTGAGTAAAGATCAAAATAAATTATTTGAGCATAAACACATAAAATACGATTCCTATCTATGATTTGAAATAAAAAAACCGCCCCTGGCAAGCAGTGTCCGGCCCGGATTGGCAAGAAAATGTAGGACTGCCAAGCTGCCATATTTAAACTCTTTAAATATGTGGCAATTTCAAGATCCTTCCTTCAGCTGCAACACCTTTTGTATATCCATTTGGTAAGACATCCATCCATCTGTCTCTAGAAGCGCCTATTAACATTATTTGATCATTAGAAATGAAAGACATCTACAAGCAAGACGAACTCGCCATCCCCGAAGGTGTCAAGGTCGAGATTAAGTCTCGTCAAATCACTGTTGAAGGCCCCCGTGGTGTCCTTAACAAGAACCTCCGTCATTTGAACATCGAGATCACCCTTGTTGGTGACAAGATTCGTTTCGTTGTCCATCACGGTCTCCGTAAGCACGTTGCCTGTATCCGTACTGTCCGCTCTTTAATCAACAACATGATCGTTGGTGTCACCAAGGGTTTCGAATACAAGTTGCGTTATGTTTACGCACATTTCCCCATTAACTGTATCATTTCCGATGCTGCTGATGCCGTTGAGATCCGTAACTTCTTGGGTCAAAAGGTTGTCTTCCACGTCAAGATGCGCGAGGGTGTCACTGTTGAGGCTTCCAAGAACCAAAAGGATGAGCTTACCATCACTGGTAACTCTCTCGAGAACGTTTCTCAATCTGCCGCTGATATCCAACAATCTTGTCTTGTCAAGAACAAGGATATCCGTAAGTTCTTGGATGGTATTTACGTCTCTGAGCGTAATGTCATGGAGTCTGCTTAAATTTTACATCCTTAAAAATTTAGCGGTTCCTGCATAATAAAGATACACACACGGTTCCCGGGAAGACGGCAGCAGCCTTCCCACCCAATTTTTTTTTTAATGTGATCCTTTTTCCTAAATGTCTTTTTTGCGTGCTTTGATAATAAGCTGTCAAAAGATGGGAAGGATATGGTGGTATATGATGTGTAGGAAGAGCTGATATGTTATTTATTTCATTCGATCCTTTCATAATTCCCCTGTATCTCTTTGTTTCCCTCTTGTTCAAAATGTTGTATTCCTCCTTGATTGTAAGACCGTTGCTAAATTTCAAAATATCTGTGACTTACCGTCCCTAAATATGTATTCACTACCTTCTGAAATGATTCCGATAGCAGATAATGACGATGATTTTATGTTTTATTACACTACTTGTTCCTTTGAAGTTCTTCTGATCGATCGCAACCATTGTAAAACTTTAAAATGTTTATGGTAACACTGGCACACAAACTCACAACTTTGACTAGGAAGAACGCTGCTCAACCTACTTACTGTACGCTTCAACAAAAGAAATAATGTTAGAAAAATGATACATTTGCATTTGCAAAGTTGTTAGACTCTTAGGATAATTCTATAGCCTATGTACCTGTAATATGCGAAATCCTACTTAAGCAAGTAATAAATCCTGACATCTGGCTCCTTTTAAATTACCTTAAAAGTACTCCAGTAATACCGGTTCTGATACCTTAAATCCAGCATTCCAGTGCCAAAAGAGATTATAGTAGCTTGTTTTTGGCTTGTCAATCTTTCTCAAGCTCTCCGTATTTGTTTTCTCTATTAAAACAGCTTATGAACATGCAATATAACTGATAACAATTCGGCTGAACTATTATACTCAAGTAACTCTTTCTTGATTACATGTACAATCTATAGTTAGATTGCTATAAATTAATTGAAAGCGTGTGTAGGTTAAAATAGAAAATATGATTGCCTTTTCAAAAAGTTCTTCGATATTTCTAAAATGATATGTTGATAGCCAACCTTCAAAGTACAACATTTGTAGTCATTTCGATACAAGCAGTCGCTGCACAACTTCTATACCCATTAATTTTTTCCTCTTGTCATATTTCACTCCATGCCTAGCTACATTCGACTTAAAAAATTGATCTGTTATTTGGCAGAGCTTTGGTATGTTTTGGTGTAAAATCATCGTCATCAAAAAGCTTGATCGGCATGAGTAATTACGTAATTATATCTAAAAAAAGTTGTGAACGTATCATTATGCTTCATTCTATGATCCGTTTTATTAGAATCTTTGAGCAATGAATTCGCTACACAAGCATGTTAAATATAGTAAAAGTTATAATGTACCGTGCTCTCCCTCTGCCTCCTTTTTGCGATTCAAAACTATTTGTAAAATATCATCGACTTCTGCATCTAAATAGACATTTATTTTGAAAAAAATTTAAAAAAGAAAACACGCAAGTGCTTGTACGCATTTATAGACTGAAAGCCCTTTGTCAAATCAACATATTAATAATCTTACGCCATGATCTGCCTTTTCTTTTTAATTATTGTTTAACTCAAATGTTCTTTAGCTAAAGTACATCCACCTTTTTATTGTGCTTTTAAACTCTCTTTTTGTGGGGTTCTGATCAAAGATAGGATATGAAATCGATGTAGTGAGCGATCTTTCGATACTTTGAAGTTTATTGGGAGGGATGCCTTATAATCCAATGCCTGAAAATTATTTTTATTCTGTAGTATCCATTTAGATATTTTTTTACAATTGCCTGAAAAGCATTGTCATGTGTATCGAAAAGTCTTATTGAGCCTATCTAAAAATACCTCTCAATTGTCTGTATTTATAGTGCGAATTCTGTATTAGTATGATGAACAAGTTATGATTTGGGAGTGAATTTTTTTTTTTTAAAAAAAAGAGTAAAGTAAGAGCATTAAAGTAATGAATTATAAAGGTATAGCGGTAAACGAGTTATCGTTTCTTGCCAAACTTGATTCCAAATATTTTCCTTGAACTTCCGCTCCCGTTCATAGTGGAGGAATGTCTAGAGTCGCCATCATAGAATGTGTTGTCCTCTTCTTTTACGCTGCGAGCATTAGACATTGGTGATGGATAGCCATTATCTCTTGATGGGAGTGAAGGGGGTCTTGATACATTGGATCCCGACGCATTTCCTGAATAACCGTAAACACCATATGAATCATCATTTTCGTCAGGTTTAATAGATAATATATTAGTTTGTGTATTTAAAGCTTGCATCATTTCTTTTTCCATTGTCTCAAAAGCAGAAGTGAAGGTGAATTTACGATCACGGATAATAGCTTCGATTTTGATTTCGGTCTGACCAAAGTACATTTTGATGGTCATGAATATTGGCTGTCCTTTTTGAACATCGGTAAATTTGGGCATTTTAATTGGGAATCTAGCCACTTTAAAGACGTTTGGATCAGTAGTTAAACGTGGAATGGGACCATCGCCATCATACGCAAATAAATCTATATTCGGATAGGAGTATTATTATTAGATGCTTGACACGATTACAATATATTACTAACCTGTATCAGTATCGTTTGGATAAGCAATCATAAAGTTTTTTGATACACAGTAATCGACATTAATAGTTTGACCCTTTTGAACATACACACTGAATCTTTGCTTGCAAAACAATCGATTGTCATCACCTTTGATACACTGCTCTGGTGGATCATTTCTAGGATCGAACACCATGCGAGTTTCGAGACCATATGTTCTTCTTGATACACGTTCAGTCACCATATGTGGATTCAGACCAAAGTACACGGCACCTCTAACCACAGCTAATTCACCACGAGGAGGTACACCAATAAAACCGACTCTAGATTGAAATTCTGCTAATACACGTCTATAAAGATATGTAGATTGACCAAAACCACCGACTAAAAATACAGCATCTAGTTTTGTTGAGGACTGATTGACTTGTTGCTCAATTAAATCGATGACCTGGTTGATAACTGGTTCAAATACTCTTTCACGAAGTTCGTGACAAGGAATATGGAGAGTACCGTCTTCAATGCCAGCGTCAGGATCATCCAAACCTTCAATACCTAATGCTGCAGGAAGAGCAAGATACTGATCCTCATCTCCGTCAAATTCGGGCTAATATGAAGAAAATAAAAACGAGGGATTATTATATAGGGATTATTTTAGGAGTGTGGATTTGCTCCTATTTATAATTACCTTGATAGTATCAATAAATGTTTCCATCATTGACTCCATGGCAGTATCGCTGACTTTACCATGATGATAGAATCGATCTTTAAGATAATCACGCATACGAATATCCAAAAAAGTGGAACCACACGAATCACCTAAACCTTTCGTTACTTCTTTTAATGCTCTTCTTTCACCAGAATCGTCAATTTCAAACACAATCAGATCGACGGTACCACCACCAGCATCACAAATTAAAAATCTCTGGCCATGGCCCAAATTGAATTGGTCGCATTTTTTTTCACAGTAAAGAGCTGCTGCTTCTGGTTCACTAATCAACATTAATCTATTTGGGTGGTCCCAACGATTAATAATATTAGCTCTGATAGCTGCTTCTCTCATGGTTGCTTTTGCTTGATCACTCCACATGGCAGGCACAGTTAAGCAATAACGAAATTTACTCTGATCATAATTGTTGGCAAAACCACGTTGAAGATCTTTACACACATGGGAATGAAATGATTCGAGGTAATCAGAAATAGCTTCTAAAGCTGTCAATCCGTTTGGTAAAGGAGCTAAATTTAAATTCTCATCCAACTGAAGTTTGAATCGTGAAAGTAACTGGTCATTGTTGTTACGCTTCATGGCAGTTTTTTTTGCATCTTGGCCCCAAGCAACTAACTTTGTCGAGCCGTTTCTATATAGAGAAAGGGTCGGTGTTTTTGGATACACATTTTGTTGCTTTGGCCTATATAATGAAACCAATTAGATAATTTGGGAATTTATGGTATCTTTTTCATATATTTTACCACTTGGTTATGTCGATAATTTCATCGTTTCCGTCCTTAGAAAAGGCGTAACAACAACCAGAAAATGTAGTACCAAAATCTTATAAATTATTAATTGATATTGTTTATATTCATCAGTATGTAAATATATTACCTATACCAATAACATACGAATAGTCTGATGGATCAAAAGGGGGAGTATCCATTGACATGATTAAGAGAGGATAAAGAAAAGAAAAGGGAAAAAGGGAAAAAAAATACTTTAGGAGCAACAGTAGTGCCTGGTGGACTTATATCTGGCTTTTAAACTGGTTTATATCTTATTGTATCACGTTTTATTATTCAACTCCTCAGACTGGTACAAAATGTAGATATCTGATGTCTGATCTACTCAACATGTCTTAATATATTACTGACAAAACAAGGGGAGATCAAAAAGCTAATTTCAAAGAGGACTGGCGAGTGGAAACGACCCATCTATTTTAAAAAATAAAATAAGACACTCTGGCAAAAAAATAAATAAAAAACAGGCTGAGTTGGGCCCCAAGTATAAACCAAGCCTAATTTATCAGCGGGTTACTACCTCAATCATGCCTATGCAATAACCCACATTTGTTCGGTCTTTGTATGTCTAATTAAAATCAATGTTTTATATAGTTGAGATTTCTACTTTGCTGTACAGTACATCTTTAGAATATTTCCAACGAATGTCTATTTCGCATAGACTAAGGCAGCCGAAACGCCAAGATCGTCTACATCATGCACCATTTTTATTTACTACATCTTTAATAAGAAATACTGCAGCTAAGCCTTTCTTGCAACTTGTCAAAGTGTCCAGTACAGAATAAGCTTAGCAGCACTTGGAGTAGCTCTGTTTTTTAATCAAAATCCTCGTCGAAAACATGAGGACTTTAGCCATTATAGGACTTATGATGGTTCGGTTGTGAAACACAATTAATAAATAATCCGACTGCAAAGAGGGTTTGGCTTATTATTTTGTTGTATTTTTAAGTGTAGAATAGAAACTGCATTGATCGTATATGCATCCTATACATAGCATCCGAACAGGCACAAATTTAACTATTAAACTAGTCTGAAAACCACGGTGATGCGTTTATTAAACATTTTCCTTATAAAACCAGTGCATTTATTTTTAAAAACGCTTGTTTTCTTGCTGAATTTACCCTACTTACGTAACTTATGAAAAAATACATATACGACCTGGGGAACACAAATAGCCTTAAGTAGTCCAGGCACTGAGACTCAATTCTTTGTGTGAATTAAAGTATTTTTTATAAAAAAAAACCTATCTTTTCTTCTAACCATGAACAATGTAAAGATTTAGTGAAAATCATTAATGAAAGACGTACCTAATTCTCCTCCTTTTTTTGTGTGTAGAATATTACACCTAAACGATCCAGTAGCTTACAACATTCAACGACGAATAAACGATCCTCAGTTGGCTCCTTGTTTGATCGTACAAGAAGTGCAATTAGCAAACGAGCATCTCAATCTCAGGAGCAAACAAATATTGGTGGACTCCATTCAATCTATGATGAAGATGAAGACGATAATGGAGAACCTATACCTAAAGCACCAAAACTCACATCAGAACACTTTAGTAGATATGAAATTATGACAGAGTTGTAAATACAAATTCATTGAAAAAAACAAAAATGAGAATGAAAATGCTAACGTTATGATTCAGCATCAATTTAAGAAACCCAAATCATTGTCCACTCGGTGTATATGTTATGCCTTCTTCTGATGATCTTTACGTATGGTATGGAGCACTATTTGTTCATAAAGGATTTTACAAGTCTGGGACCTTCAAATTTCGCTTGACAATTCCGAAGAATTATCCTAATCAACCTCCGTCAATCACTTTCTTAACAGATATGTTCCATCCATTGGTCGATGTGAATGGAAACGTATCGATTTCACAACAATTTCCAATCTGGAGACCTTACCAGGATTACATTTTTCACATACTTCATTATTTAAAAAATATGTTTAAGAAAGTTGTTTTAGATGGATTAAACGATAAATACTGTTTGAACAAGGAGGCCTATAGGTTGTATCGTAATGATGTTTCTGTTTTTGGTAAGCTTGCCCAGCAGTGCGCTCAATTGTCAATTACAGAGTCATATCTCTTTGACCATTTCCCTGATAACAACATGATACGATTTTCACCTTTAAGTGAGGCTAAATTTGGTAAAATTCATATTAATGCATTAATTAAACAGCGAACTGATTAAATACATTTAGACGAATTAAAGGCGCAGATACTCAATAGTGCTGTTGTAAGTGGCTGCTATGCCATAGAGAATTGATTTGATAATAACTAATGTTTTATTTGCTTATTTCTAACAGAATCCTAATCCGTCAGCATTTGATGATCATTAATGTGTATTTTTTAAACCTGTAATTCTATAATTTATAAACTTATTATTCTTTTGATACTCCTTCAGACATACGGGTCACAACCTTGTTTTTTGAAGGATGTGGGAATAAATCACCCCACATTGCCTTTCTGGCATCCCTGTAGGGTATCTTGCCTTGTGACTTGGGAATAACCATTCGCTGGATTTCACCGTTAGTTGAGCATGTGTCCATAACAATATGTCCATTTTTTTTCAATGGGGGTTGAATAAGTCTTGGCCAATGATATGCCTGATTTTCTATAGATGTTGACTTGGCAGGTCTATGTCCTCTTCTTAAAACTACATATGAATATTTCGAATCTTCAGTGTTGAACTTTGAATGTTTTGTCTTCATTAAAAATGAAGGACGTTGAACTCTTTGTGAGTAATGGCACCACAGGTCATCTGGTTTGGCCTCTGGGGAGAATAGTAAAGGACATGGTTTATCATGAGAACACTAACAAGAAATATTAGAACTACATAATAGGTCGCTATGTATAAACTTTACGGGTGCAACAACGTGAGCATCAGAGCCTTCTAAATCCAAAATCCATTGTCTAGCTCTTGCTATATTGGAAAATCCAATTGGAGTGCCTCGATCGATTAAAACCAAAATATCTCCTGTTTGTGCCCAAAGTTGCTCAACTGTCGATTTTTGAAGAGCTGCTGATGATATATCCCCTAGTGTGAATGAGCTGACGACAAGATCGGTTTTTTGTGCCTGGAAAATCTCGTTAATAAAAATAGAATATAAAACTCGCTGTTTGACATACTTTGGGATCGAAAGCAAGATATCGCTTAAACTCGACTGGTGTACTAGTTTCTGTCTTTGTTGATTCTAAGGAAATGTTAAATCTCTGATTGTATAATAATACTTATCCCGTACCTTCTAATTGTTCTGCTACCCTCAACATATCTTCAGAGAGATCCACACCTACACATTTTTCTAGCTTGAATGTCTCTTTTGCGGCCCTATATATTATATGAGATCTCACATGGCATATTACACGGTGCTTCTACTAACCAAATTGCTGTACCAGGACCCGTACCAAAGTCAAGCATGGATCGTGGTCTAAAATCAGATATTCTGTTGGAAATTTCCTTCATAACATTGGTAACTGCAGCGTATGTCGAAGGTAACACACCGGCGGCATAAGCAACAGACTCGCGGGGTCCGTATGACACTTTATGAGGCTCAACTACTGTTGCACTAGCTTTTCTGATTTTTTTGGAAGCTCTGGAGCCGTCGAAATCTTCATTGTCCTTGGGTATTCTTGCTGTCGATCTTAATGCATCGTACAATCGAAGTGCATCAGTTCTTATTAAACGCTTATCCTGACCTATGATTTACAAGTAGGAAGTTAATCGCCATTTTTGTACAAAGGCATGTTGCATAGTACCTTCCACAAGATCTTGAATTCCCTTGATCAAGGGTTTAGGAAGTTCTACGCAACCGATTCTTTTGCTACCAAAAGCTGCTTCCTCCGATCCTCTAACATAATGTTCTGAAGTAATGCTGATTTCCTCTACTAATAGTTCACTATTAAAAAAAAAAAATTAATGTCCAAGATCTGACAAAAAGTAAAGTTATTATGACACAATACCGTTCAGATCCTACTTCGAGTGACTGAATCTGCTTTGCGCTAAGAAATATAGCTTTGTTTGTGGAATAATTTCTAGTCGTTAGTTTTTTAAGCAATTGTCTAGAGGCCATTTTTCTTAATGTAATGTAAGGGACAAGAAACTGCTAATATTTTTCAGGTGTCTTCCGAGCTGTCACCGAGCAACATTAAAACTGAGACAGTCACTATGCCATTTCTGTAAACTTACTATGGGTTTATAGCTCCCCTTTATACGTATCTGTATATATATATACGGTTTAAAAGACATGCATCATATTTGTTACAAAGAAAAAAACTTTCAATATGTCAGTTTTGATATGCCTCACGAACGATTAAATTAGGTTGCATTAAAAAATCACTTCTCTATTGCATTATACACCTGGTATTTTTTCGTGAGTAAGACGTATCTAATTGTACGTTAAAATCTCATCGCCACTTAACTGGGTAGTCTTATTCATGTGGATGATGTGTAATTTATCCTACGAAAAAATGGATATGAAGCGGGAATTAGAAAGCCGCGTTTAGTTTTATAAATCGTATTATGTGTGGATATGTCAAACGGGTCTCTTAGGGACAGCCAAATTTTCTTAGAGACAGCTAGAGTGCGTGTAGTCGTAATGTTCAGGGTGCGCGTAGTCGTAATGTTGGGATTTTTATGATACTTCAATAGATATCAAGAGGTCAATATAACTTAACAACTTGAAATATATACACGTTTATCAAAACCAACATAGTTTAAACCATTATATGTGTTTTACAGCTTACTTTCAGCTTCTCGTTTGGACTTTACCTCAATATTTCTACGTAAGATTAAGATCAAACGAGCTCAAAGGCAAAAGAGGGATGATAGAACTGTCAAAATAAATATAAATCGTTTACTATACATTTATTCGTAATTTTTACATTGTTTTTGATTGTATATCCTTGTTCCCAGGTCTAAAGGATAGCCAAATCACAGCTATTACGTTGCGACTACGTGCACTTTGGCTGTCCCTAAGAAAAGCGTATGTCAAAAGCTTTTGATTGCACAACAAATCAATGTATCTAAGATGTACAGTGCGCTTATCCTTCTTTATAACAAACAATGAGCTATTTAATTTGTTTTACTATCACCTTCTGAAAATGAGACTATCAATGAGTGATTTTAAAAAATATAGGAAAGGATTTAATTTAAGCAGTTGGATTGTAGCGACAGATTTTTTTATGCACTATTTTCTATTTGCTTTGTATTTTGCATGTTTTAAAAAGAATGCTCCTTATTATGATTCTGATACACAATAAATGTATACACATGCACTTGCAAACTTTACAGACCTGAATGAGGGTAAGCTATTTACGACATAGGGTGTCGACTGTTAAATATTACACTTGGGACGACAAACAGTTTAATCGTATGTTAATATCCATATTTAATTATAAAAAAAAACGCTTCAATTTCATTTATTTATACATTCCGTTGATCTTATTACTCTTAAAAACTTTCTTAAAAGACCTAAAGAAAAATGGAGCATTATTTAAGTGAAGACACTAAAAAAAGTCTCAAACATGATGATTTGAAAAATGGTCCCAGACTTCTAACCCTTAAATATTTTGAAGGTACATCGTACTCAGGGGATTTGACGTTAGTTTCAGGTCAGCTTTCGTTGTTGTACAAAACGTTCAACTTTTATATACGAAGCGAGCTTTCTAAAAATAGATACAAGTTCGGGAAGGATATTATTGCATTTCAGTGTCTGTCAAAAAAGAGAGAATGTCTATAAAGAAATAGACATTTACCCTTTGTTCCAAATGAATACATTAACTGTTTGTGAAACATAAAGAAATACCGCTTACTTTTCTTACATTATGAATTAAAAAATCAATTGAAAAAAACAATGAAGGTCATAAATTACTTATCCACTTATACTTAAAATCTTCATTTGACCATTAGTCTGTTACTCCTAACAACCGAAAGTTTTCCTTGTTCATTTATTGCGAAAGGCGACACCTTTTCAAGTTCTCAGCCTGAAGCATATTCGACTCCTTTTAAACGAGGAATCATGAATAAGGAGCTCATGTGTGATAATTTTAAAAAAATGATCTGTCATTCTACCAACAAAGTCAGTTTTATGAACAGTTTTTTATGCTTTATAGGGTTTCCAACATGACATGTGTATATATCCCATATAAACATACAGTCTCGTTAAGTACACAAAAGGCTGCACATGACCATTGGTCTATAATATAAAATTTCGGACAGTAGATATCATAATGAGCTATTCGATTCTAAATCGCGACAGCTCCATATCTGACGATAGCATAATAACGTCCTTTTTGTAGTTAAATCCAACTTGACTTTTATTTACAAGACAAAGTATTTAATTCATACTTCGGAAGAAGCCCGAGGATCAAAAAGTCAGTTTTTTAAAGTTATCTATCGTTTTATCTTTTGAAAACATACATGGCGTAGTTTTTAATGTTTGACTAAATAGATACTTGGTCGCCTGATGAGGCACGACGTTGCTTTTATATATATATCATATAATATCCTCTGCATCATAAGAATTACCCAAATAAAAACTCTAACATGATCAAACAATGATGTAAGTAGTGCAGCTGTCAGCTAGTATGATATTACATTGATGTTAGAGCCTTTGTTATAATAACAAAGGCTGGTAGTGTGACCTTCGCTATCGTACTACATCGAGAACATCTAAATAGCGAATTTATTTCAATAAGGAGTCAACATATCTCAACAAAGAATACATAATAAAACATCTATTCCTTTGTGCTATTAAGTCATTACCTACGAAAACATGCATAAATTAACGCTGTTCCTTATTAATATAACCTTTTTTTTCAGGTAACGTGACACTGCTAAGCCGTTGCGAAAAAGTCTCCTTTGTCACCGTATACTCCTTTCATACACGCTCTTTCTCTTTTTCTTCCTGCTCATTTAATTCTGTTCATCAAAAGATGTTCAAAGATGAATATGATTTCGTTGTTGGTATAGGTATGCTTTGTGAATTGCGAAATACAAAAATTTTAAATCTAATCAATGTGCAATAGACTTCGGAACCACTTACTCAGGCTGCTGCTACTGCGTAGTGAACGATGACGAACCGAATGTACAAATAATTAAGAATTGGTAATGTTATTATTGCCTTAGTAACAACCATCTCAACATGTTATTTTTTCTCGTACCTTTTAGGCCAAGACAATCAGCCTTAATTACCACCTTGCCAACAATTGTTACATATTCAAAGAATGACCACAAGCCAATTGGCATAGGGAACGTACCAGAAACGCCATTATCATACCCGGTTAAAGAGCTGCCTCATTTACTATGCTTCAATTACAGTTTATCAATCTCGCATATCGATACAGTGGCCGATTTTCTTCGAATTCTTTGTGACCATATTGTTAAGAGAATAAAATTAGATTCTCACAACCCGAATCTAAAGCCTCGTATCCGATATTGTTTTACGTTACAACATCCTAGTAAACCAAATTACAAAAAGAATTTATTTGCTGCAATAGGAAAAGCCGGTATTTACACAGAGAATGACAGAGATGACAAAATCGTATTTTTAGACAGTTATACAGCTATGGCCAAATACTTTTTGAAAACCAGAAAAGGGCTAAATTTGAAAGATAAATTTATCGTGTGTGATACGGACGACTATTATTTAAGAATTAAGACAATGTTGGTCATCAGCAATGGACGCGATAAAGATGTGATGGAATATGAACCTGAAAAAAACATTACCAATTATGAACTGGGGGGTAATAATCTCGATAAGTGCTTTTCGGAATACATCACCAAAATTATAAAAGAGCACCCTGATCATGAAGAGGTGGCTGCCGAAGATTTAGATAATGTCATAGAAATCATTGTTCAAAATTTTATCAAGAATATTAAGGTACTTGAATCAAACAATGTATCTTTACAAACAACTAAATTGTGTACAAATGAAAAAAGTATAAGGATTTCGGAAGTAAGAAAGAAATTTATATCGCAAAACCATCCATACAATCATTTGCCAAGTCGAAAAACCCCTATTTAACAATAATCACCGACGACTTGAAAGCAAACGTTTACGACAAAGTAATCAATGAAATTTGTTCAAATGTGTCAAGTGTGTGCGAAAAGCAGAAACCGAAAGCATTCTTTCTATTCGGAAAACTATCTAATTCAGAATATCTGTATGAAAAACTAAGCGATATCGTCGATGATATAATTGTTATTCCAGAAAAAGATCTATCTGCTGCACAAGGACTAGTCTATCACGGGCGTAGCGAACCTTTAACAATTCAAAGAATAACACCTATCTATCATGGGGATGCCGTGGTGAAAGATGAAGACCGATCTTATTATGACTTTGATTATTCTCATTACACACATGTTATTGGCATCGGTAAGCTATCATGAAAAAGACATATTAATTGTTAATTTTATTTTCTGTAAAAGATTTTGGAACAAGTTTTTCTAAATGGTATTATGAAGCAACTCTTCCTGGAGATCCAGTTATTTTCGAGTATGTTTACTACTTATAATGTAAATCGTAGTGTTAAACAGTATTTTAAAACTTAGTAAAACGATTATGCAGATTCCTACCTTATCTCTTTATGACCAGAGACTTCATGAACAGAAACTATGGGGAACAGAAGCTTACAGAAATTATTACAGTTCTGAAAATTCAGGAAAGCTACTGACTAGGTTTAAACTGTTTTTAAATGAATTGAATTATGAAGGATTTGACGAGCTCACTGCAATCAATGCTATTGCTAGCTATCTCAAAGCTTTACATGAAAACATTTTGCAGACAATGGCCAAAAAATACGGAAAGGAAGATACAATTTTCCGTTATTGTCTTACAGTTCCAACTATTTGGAGTGATAAAACAAAGAAGAGTATGCGCGATGCTGCAGTTCTAGCAGGAATTATAAAATCTCATGATCACCCATGTAGATTAATGTTGGTGAACGAACCAGAGGCTGCAGCAATGTTTTATACTAAGGATCCTTATTTCGTCAAACAATTTCCAAAAAAATCAAACATCCGTGCTTTAGTATGCGATGCGGGTGGAGGCACTGTTGATATGGCCACTTATGAAATGATTAAAGACAACACTGGGAATGACTATTCGATTAATGAAAAAACACCAGGCTCGGGAGGAATTTGTGGTGCCTCATTTTTGGATGATCATTTTCGTGTGTTGATTAAGAAAAAATGTTATGATTTGGATATTCGAGTTTCGGACCATGGTATGGAACAGATGGTCAATCAATTTGCTACCAAGATTAAAGTAAGAACGCTGCATAATAATATGACAGATATACTGATGTTTTAATAGGATCGTTTCCTAGCAAATGATACTAAAGACATTGAAATTATCATTCCTCCAGGAGATAAAAAAGATGGTTATCCAAAGCTTGAAGTAACACCAAACGAGCTATCAGCCCAAGTATTTGAACCAGTTACGGAAAAAGTGCTTGAGCTGATAAGAAACCAGCATAAACTATCCAATCCAGCTCCAATCAACCCAGACAACCCCGAAGCACTTGATGTTATTATTCTGACAGGTGGATTGGGTCAGTCGAAATATCTGCAAAAAAAGGTACAAGATAACTACAAGGACATTATAGTATACTCGCCTGAATTCTATGATCAATCCGTTGTACGAGGCGCAGTTGCTATTGCTCTAAACCCCAACATGATCACGCACAGGATCACGCGTAGATCATATGGTATCGAAGTGTTGTTACCATTCAATTCAGTAACTGATCCAGCAATGAACAAAATTAAGACAAAGAACGGTGCTGAGTATACCAAATTCAAATATGACAACTTTGTTATAAAGTCTACCTCAATTAAGACATACGAATACTATGAAAAGCAATTGTTTGTGGAGTATCCTAATAATACATACGCAGGTAATTTGTTCAGGTAACATTTCTACATTTCCATAAACTCAACCTTTCCTTCTTTTTGTTTTCAAAAAAAAAAGCAATATATGCTTCGGACTATGATGATGAACACAAAATATACAATGTGCGAGATAGTAGAGCTGAACAAGTTTTTAAGTTTAATATCGAAATGCCAAACGACACAAACAAAAAAGAAGGTGATTTGGTTCCGCTTATTATACGGATGTTTTTAGGTCAAACAGAAATTAAAGTTGATACCATATTTGAAGGTCAAACTAAGAGACAGTCCTTTTATTTCAATGCTTTAGATGAGAACCACCGTACAAGAATCGAAAGCCGCCATGCAAAAAGATATGTGTCAACACCAACGGCCACGCCGATATCAGTACCAGCACCGGCACCAAAAACACCAGAAACTCCTCGAAAATTAAAGCCAGAGTAGGTAACGGGTATTTAGAAATATATTGTATTTTGCTTACTAAATCGACTTTGGTATAGGCGAACAGGGACCATTTTAGGATATTTTGGCAAAGCCTTTAAACGCAAATCTTAAAATCCGAGATTTCTTACTCTGTAACACGGTTACTATGAATTGCGAAGAAGAAATAGTATGCTTTTGGTGACCATCTAATTTAATTTCAACAGTCTTCCCGTATTAAAATAGTACCAATTCTAATTTGACTTTATCAATAAATTTGAAGTGCCATTTACCGCTTTTACATAAACCTATTATTCTATGAGTATATGACGACGGGCTTAGTCTACACTGTACACAAACCTCGCTTATTAGTGTAACTCCATGAGAAAGTGCCGACCAATCCTAATTTGCTTTGTATTTTTTCTTTTCTTTCTTTTTTCCTCTCTCTCCTTCTGCTATTGTCCAAAAATGTTACAAAAATCATTTGAAGAGTATCCTTTTGTGATAGGAATAGGTACACGGATAATATCTGGATTGGTAATTTTTTCTATCACCAACACTTTCTTTAATAGATTATGGAGGAATCAATTCAGGAGTTTCAATAGCTCATAAAAATGACGCATTCAGAATACTTACTATCGACGATTGGTATGAACTTAACAATATATATATAAATATACATACATATGTAAACTTTAACATGATTTGCTTTTCTAAATTTAGGACAGACGAAGACACATCTTGCTGCCAATTCCCTACATCGATTTTATACAAAGAAGGACAAATCCATGATGAAGACAATATCATCTGGGGCGCTGAAATATCAGAGGCCACTATTAACGACGAAGACATTTATGTCAAGTATATAAAACAATACATATTTAATAGCGCCTGCAAAGATAAGGAATGGAATCAAACTGGATTAACGATTAAAAAGGTTGTGACGGATTATTTAAATAAACTTCGTCTGGCTCTTTTGAAGCTACAGGATAAGGACAGTTTTAAAATCGATTATTACCAAGATTTTAGGCTTGACAATAGTCGATATTGTCTCGCCTGCCCTCAGTCTCAGCAATTATTTATGAAGAGATGTTTTATTGATGCTGGATTTATTCATGAAGAAGAAATAGAACACCGTCTGGTATTTGTCACCGAAGCAGAGGCAGCAGCTTACAATTGCCTTGCCTGGGATCGTAAGTCAAGTAGAATTGCAGTGGATGAACATTATCTTGTTTGTGATATTGGTCACAACACTTTTGGAATTGCAAAAATTGATGCTAGGTCAACAGAATCTCAGAGTATAGTGGAGTTGGTGTCTGAAGACTCCCAACATGGATCGATTGATTTAGAAAATAGGTTCCGCTCTTATTTGGAAATTAATGCCGAGTCACTTAACATGGATCAAGCAAAAATAGATGAGGCTGTAAAAGAATTTGAAGAGAATTTAAAGGTATAATACATATGTTTTATACAATCGTATTCAGTTATTCATCCCAGCAGTTCTCTTTTAACATGTCCGATGATTGGGAAAAAGAAGATTCTCTTTACCAAGTTGATAGAATATCCTTTGAGGATCAATGGATAGGATACGAAGATCAGCCCATGTCCATCTTCAAAACAACAGAAGTTGATAATAAAACTTTGATCAATATATTGCCTATCGATCTTGCTCAACAAGTATTTAATCCGTATATCAATGATATTATTGAAGGTATCATGGATGCTGATAAGGATGATTGTGCCAAGATATTTCTTACAGGCAGATATGGCTCCGACTCTTATTTTCTTAAAAGACTTGCCGAGTTTACTGGTAACCGGTTGATTATAATTGATCATATGTCGGTGGACGGTGTATCGAGAGGAGCAGTATCATTTGGAATAAGAATGAAAAAAGCACAGACACCCTTTTTTTATAATGAATCCAGTGTTGTAGAAATGATCAAGGAGACACAATTTATCAACAATTGTGATTTTATTGTTGGCATTGGTATGCAGAAAGATGTGCATTAAATGAATTGTTAGCCTAAAGTAGTACTTTAGATTTTGGTACTACTCATTCTGGATGCTCATATGCACGACCTAATGATACGGTGATACAATCAATTAAAACACGATGGTAATATAAACAAAAAAGGATTTTTGAGTGATAGGGTATTAATCAGGAAAACAATGCAGGCCGATGCAACAAAATGATTCATTCCCAAAGGCACCTACTCTAATTGTTTACAATTCCAAAAGTAAGAAAATGACCAAGGATAAATGGGGGCAAGCCGCTAAAAATCACAAACTTGTCAAGAATGAACACTTGTTTGGAAATTTTAAGTTATTCTTGTCACCAGAATCCGTGACAAAATATTATGGAGAAGGAAACACAGATATTGCAGATATTAAAGAGAAATTCACGTTAAATGATGCAACTGCAGTTGACGTTATTGGTGAATACTTGAAGGTTTTCAAGAAACACGTGGATGATTATATTATCAAGAAAGAAGCAGAGAAAAAGTTCTTCTTTTTGCAAAGCTCTTTGAAACTTTGTTACGTCATCACAGTACCTGCAATGTGGGATAAAACAGCTAAAGACACTATGGTCCGAGCAGCCATCAAAGGTGGATTAGTAGAGAAAGGCCAGCATGATAATTTACTCATTATTACTGAGCCCGAAGCCGCAGCTCTCGCATGTGAGGAGCACTACAAAGATATCGCAAAAAAAGATGGCACAACATTTATTGTGTGTGACGCGGGAGGAGGAACGGTAGATTTGGTCACATTTCGCCTGGATATTAATAAAGATGGTACTGAGGTAATTCATCAACTAGGCGAGGGTGAAGGTGATACGTGCGGTTCAGCGTATTTAGACCAAACATTTAGGGAGTATATTTTCAACTTTTACAAGGAAATCGATTTCCCTGTAGAAATAGAGACCCTAAAATTGGACAAAGCCATGAAGTATTTTATAGACGAATTAAAAGTAAATACGTATAAATTTAATATAAACAATAGTACTGAACTAATAGTTTGTATGACAGCCCAAATTTATGCCTAACGAAAATTGTGATGCCTATTGCCGCATACCCTTACCTGAAAAACCTTCGTTACCTCACAATGTAAACACAAACAGACTTATCAGGAGGGGTAGAATAACCGAATTAAAAATGTCCAATGCAGACATGAAGACGTTTGTGTTTGACCCAATTATCAACCGTATTGAGGATCTTATTGATCGACAAGTCAGAAAGCTTGATGGCAAAATAGATGTTATCTTATTAGTAGGCGGGTTTTCCAAATGCAGATATCTGGAGGAAAGACTTAGACAGAGATATATCGATACTATTAGAATTACAACACCCCCAAATGCAGTTACTGCCATCTCACAAGGCGCAGTATCATATGCACAACGACCTCGTATGATTTCAAACAAAGTAGTTGGCCTCTCCTATGCAATAGAAGTCCAATCTCAATTTAGCAGGGACTTTGAAGAAAACTATAAAGGAAAGACAGTTATAGCCAGCGATGGTAATGAATATTTTAAATCTCGATTAGAATATTTTGTAAGAAAGAACGACGAAGTGAGAAATGAAGAAAAAACAGCCATTTATGAGAAGACTGTGTATATTGAGTATCCTCTAAATGCGATTATAGGTAAGGACAATGATGGTATCGTAACTTACAAATTAATGACGGCGTTATTTGTATAGCTATATTTTCATGTGATTACGATAAAGTAGATACTATCAAGTGGCGGCGCGTTAATAGTGAACATACAAAAGTAATCGAGCTGGAATTTGATATGCCTTATTTACCAAACAAAAGCAAGAATGATAAAATACCTTTTAAGATATCATTACAGCTTAACCAGATAGGTGGCATCAACGTCTCCGTTGAATGCCAAGCGGATGGAGGCCAACCCCTTAGGATAAACAACAGCACCTCGGGCGAAGATAATTTCAAATACATTCGTAAAAGTGATCCTATTGTAATGCGGAGTAAGCTTCCAAATGGTGCATTTGTGCTTCCAAATAAAAGATGATTTTGTGTTTTAATACATATGAAATTTATGTCGAGAATGCTTGATGCAATGAAAAAGAGACTTTCAGTCGCATTGTGTTTCTATGAGACTTCTGACATGACCAGAGTTTTAATGCTTGAAAGCCGTCTTTTATATTTTAAACCATCGTAACCACACTTTTAGCACGAAATATGTAAAAAACTGCAAAAAATAATTCTTTCTCGTAAGTCCCTCAATACATCTTGTGGAGATGAAATATTCAGATATAGAATCAATGATAAAAAACAACATACATATGTCTATCAATATTTTCTTAATGTTAGACCTATCCTTGACAAATGTTATACAAGTCAATGCTTGTTCATTAGAGGAGGCACTTTGTTTCAATAGGCGAAAGGACCGTCACTGATCCCAAGTGGCATTTCCTGCGTGTTGTTAAAAAAGTTTTTCCTTTTTTCCTTGACACAATTTAACATGAGCGATTTGCACGTAACGTAATCTTGAATGTTGTAATGAAAGGACAAAGTTGACAGGTTTAAATACATAGGGATTGGAAGAAAATGATGATGATTACGTTCCTTACGTACCAGTAAAGCAACGTCGATTAGAGAAATTACATAAATATGCAACGCAACGTAGGGCCACCGATTCACAAAACGAAGACGATAATGAGGATGAGGATGTAATCGTAGCTGGTCCTAGAGCCAATATTAGTTTATTGGATCAGACTGTTCAACAAAAATTATCCAATTTGATTCCAGGTAAGTGCTTCACTTCCAGCATGGGGAATGTTTCGACATTGACAACTGATTATAGAAAAAACCGAGGAGGAAAAACATTTGGAAGAGGAAAAGCGTATCGAAGAGGCTCAAGCACGTCACAAAGCTTTAGTGTCAGTTCAGGACGCAGCTATGGGTACGCAGTACACAGAACCTATCCAAACTTCGTGAGCATTTTTTTTTTTTTTTTTATAAAATTAAATATGTGCTAAGATATGGTTTTTTAGCTGGGAGCCACCTCATTTTATTCGTAATATGACAGAGGAGGAGCATCAAGCAGTACGCGACAAATATCACATCCTTGTCGAAGGCCTGGACCCAGTGCCACCTATTAAACATTTTAAAGTAGGCATCAGCAGTTGAGTGTTTTTACATTATCCTCACAAACAATTTTAGGACATGAAATTCCCTGAACCAATCTTGCATTATTTAAAAGAAAAGAAGATTGACAATCCAACACCTATTCAGCTGCAAGGCTTACCAGTCGCGTAGGTAAAAATAATAGGATAATAAAGTAGTAAAATACTAAATGATAATAATAGATTAAAGGGCCGTGATATGATTGGTATCGCTTTTACTGGATCAGGCAAAACATTGACTTTTTCCCTCCCTTTGGTATTGTTTGCATTAGAGGCTGAAACTAGATTACCACTGATTCAAGGGGAAGGCCCTGTCGGTATGATCATTTGCCCATCTGTAAGTAATTGCATGAAAAAATAAACAATAAATAACGGGATTGACAAGAGAATATAGCGAGAATTAGCAAGACAAACTTTTGATGGATTAATAAGCATGTCAAAAGCACTTTCAGACGGCGGCTACCCTGAGTTAAGATCGCTCTTATGTATCGGTGGTATTAATATGAGGGATCAAGCAGATGTCCTCCAGAGGGGTATTCACATGGTGGTGGCCACCCCTGGCAGATTAATGGATTTACTTAATAAGAAAAAGTTTAATTTGGACAACTGTAAATTTCTTTGCATGGATGAAGCAGATAGAATGATTGATATGGGGTTTGAAGATGACGTTAGAAATATTATGTCATACTTTAAGGTAAGAAAAACACGTATCCCAATAATAGTATAGCGCCAAAAAAAAAAAAAGATTTTAATTCCAAAAAAAGAGTCAACGTCAAACATTATTATTTTCGGCTACTATGCCCAAAAAAATTCAGGATTTTGCTTTATCGGCACTAGTTAAACCTTTAGTGGTAAACGTAGGTCGTGCAGGTGCTGCTAATTTGGATGTTATTCAAGAAGTCGAGTATGTGAAGCAGGAGGCCAAAATGGTGTATTTATTGGAATGTTTACAAAAAACTCCTCCTCCTGTAAAGTAGCACAGATGATGTAATTTTAATTTTTACTAATCTTTATTTTTAGGTACTCGTTTTTGCTGAAAATAAAAACGATGTAGATGATATTCATGAATACTTTTTATTAAAAGGCGTGGAAACTGTTGCAATCCATGGTGGAAAAAGTAAGAAAAACTGAATTAGCCTTTTTTGTTTTAAACTTTTAACCTTTTTTATTGTGTTCACGTAGCGCAAGAAGAACGTGAATATGCAATTCAGTCGTTTAAAGATTATCGGAAAGATGTATTGGTGGCAACAGATGTTGCATCCAAAGGCTTGGATTTCCCCGAAATTAAACATGTCATAAACTATGATATGCCCAAGGAGATCGAAGATTATGGTACGGGAAAAAAATTTTTTTTATGGTGTCACATTAAATTCTTATCCAATCGTAATAGTGCATCGTATTGGTCGTACAGGTCGAAGTGGTAAAACTGGTGTGGCCACTACTTTTATTAATCAACACTGCTCGGAACAGATTCGTTTGGATTTGAAACATTTGCTGAGGGAAGCTAAACAACGTATCCCACCTTTTCTTGCAGCAATGGAGGATCCTTCGGATAAATATGGTGGTTTGGCTGGCGGCTGTTCATTCTGCGGTGGTCTCGGCCATCGAATCAACGATTGTCCCAAATTAGAACAGCAACGAAGACAGCAAATGAACTCCATAATGAGTAGTAGAAATGCTGGTGGAGGTGCTTTTTAATAAAATATAACTGCCGTCGTACCACTTTTTTGTTTTGATTGTCAAGTGATGGGTATTGCGGCGCCGCCCCGTTGCAGGTTCTTTTTCAATGACCTGGAACTTTCTCGAAACCGACTGGCTGCTTCTATTACTAAATAAGGAAAGCTTCTTGAGAAAAAAGGGAACTTTTTGGAGCTTAAACCTTAAACCGTTTTTAAAAGAAAAACAACAAGAATTTTCTTTTTTCCCTTCTTCTTTTTTCCAAAATTTTTTATTTTTTTAAAAAAAGAAAAACTCTATATTCGCCATAGCAACAACAAACAGTCCAATAGCGTACATATATATAATTATATCTGTGCTGTAAATATACAATGACTGTTTGCACCTAATAAATGAATTAACATTTCTTATTACAGAAATCGTATGAAATTATGGATTCATATTCAACAATATCTACCCCCAAAGGAAAAACCCCATTTACTTATCAAAAAATTAAAAATGTCGAAAGTTTTTTGAAAGAGTTACACTTGCAACAATATACACCCGTTTTTGTGGATGAGGGATTTGAGTCCTTGCCTGCAGTAAGTTTCTTTTTTTTTTTTTTTGTTCTTTTTTCCTTTTTTTTCTTTCGTCATTGTATTTATTGAATTGCCGATCATCGTAGATGAGAGAGATTACTGAGGAAGATTTAATCGCACTAAATGTGAAGCGAGGTCATCGAAGGGTAGGCACTCCCACACACAAAGTCAGCCTAAACTAAGAAAAACCTGACGTCATGTACCCCTTTTAGGTTATCCAACGAGGGATCGCTACGCTAAATGGTGTGCCTCAGAACCAGCCTTTAAACGTTATAGCTCCGGTCTCTGTCACTCCACCCTGTCCAGATCTAACAAGTATGCATGAATTAAGCTAAAAAAAAAGTTTTACTAAATTTAACTGTATATAGGATCTAACGGTAACAATAGTAGTGAGGGTTCTTCCTACAACACGAGTGGTTATGGCTCCATGAGCTCTCCTCGACACCCTACTTGTGTCGGCCAGAAATATGACATAAATACCAATTACCCTAGTAATCCATCATTGACTGAGCATACAACCGAAATACAACCACCAGCGGATAAACCATCCACCTCCGATGTAGAAAAAGATATACCAGTGGTGGTGGAGAATGCTCGATCGTCTTCCTTTTCATCTAACGACGAAGATGCTGACGCGCCACTCAAAAGAAAATACAGAAGACATCCAAAACCTGATAAAAAGGCTCCCATCAAGCCCCCTTCCGCTTATATTATGTTTTCAAACGATGCTCGGTCACAGCTTAAAGATTACGGTATGAGCTTTGTAGAGATTGCAAAATACGTTGGCGATCAGTGGAAGAATCTCAGTATCAATCAAAAACAACAATATGAACGAACTGCCATGAGAGCAAAGGATCTATATATCGAAGAGTTACATGCGTATAGCCAAACAGATGATTACAAGGTAGGGGACTAGAGGCTGTGATGACAATACCTGTAATTAACTTGTTTTGTTGTTGTTTAGAAATACCAAATATACCTTAATAATTTCAAGTCTGAACAAGATGCCACCAATAGAAAAATTGCCAGACTACGCAAACGGGCCAAGAGAGATTCGCCTGAGAGGTAATTAAAAAAATAACAAAATGGTTCAGAATGTAACGTATTCACACATCCTTTCTTTCTACAGTGGTAGCATGGCCGATAGCAGTTCGAATACAGAACATAAAAATGTAAAGAAGAGAACAAGCGATAATAGTTTAGGATCATCGAATTCAACAGACGGTGGTTTCAACAATAGCGACGAAAATCCAAGAAGTTCTAGTTCAAGTGGGTCTACGGATATATACAAGGTGCATTTGAAGAACCACCCAACAGAAGCATCACAACAGAGAAAGAGTGACGAATGTAGTTTGGCGCGGAATTCAACCGATGATTCACCTTCCACAATGGATCCATCCTCACTAGATGACGAAAATAACGGTGGAGAATGTTACTCTCCTCAACAAAAGGCACCGCCTCTCATAAGCGATAATATGGCAGAATCCAATTATCACCGATTACCCTTTAACGACAATACTGCTGCAACATAATGTAAATAATCTGTATCTTGTCGTACACACCTATTTTTGTACAAACTGAAATAATGTAATAAATTTTTATTTTAATATCAACCTGTAAAAACAACCATTCTTGCCATTTTCTAGTCCGGTAGTATGTGTTTTGCGCGCAGTAGTTTTGGCTCTCTCTCCCATCATCCAAAATGATTTTTAAAGGTCCTATTCCTGTCAGCTGAACCATAAATTAGATTATGTGTGCGAAAAGGAAATAATTCACTAATTGTTAAATTCCCCCCTTTTCTCTTTCTTTTTTTTTTTCTCTTTCATTTCACTCACAGAAATGATAAGGCTTATATTGATATTTCTCGCATTGACAACAGTAATTGGCGGGTTTCGTATTGGAACAGGTAAATCAGATATTACTGGACCAGTTACACAAGTCATGATGATGGGCTATGCAGAGCTTGGACAGACCGGTCAAGGTATCTTGCAACGATTGTGGGCAAGAGCATTCATCATTGAAGACCCTAAAACAAAAGCTCGGATTGTCTTTGTCAACACCGATACTCAATCCATGGGAGATATCATCAAGAAAAGAGTTGTCGAAAAGCTCCAAGAGAGATACGGTCCCATTTATACCGAAGGAAATGTCATGATTTCCAGCACTCACTCACATAGTGGCATGGGTGGCTATCTGCAATATAGTAACGTATCTCTTTAGCTTCACAATCTTCTTTGCTTCTCAACACCTTTAAAATAGCTCTGTACGAAATCTCCGTTTTAGGCTGGATTGAAGAGACTGCGAATCCGATGGTACAAGGAATTATGCAGTCTATCATAAACGCACATGACAACCTTGTCGATGGATCACTTGCTCTCTCCAGTGGTGAATTATTAAACTCAAACATCAACAGGTCACCCCAAGCTTATTTATTGAATCCATTTGAAGAAAGAGCATTATATAAACATGATGTTGACAAGAACATGACCGTTTTAAGCTTTAAAAATAATCAAGGACATGATCTTGGACTAGTGAGCTGGTAAAGGAAAAAATTCATTTTTTTCTAATGACCAAGTCAATTCATTCTATATCTAATAGGTTTCCTGTCCATGGTGTGTCTATCAATAACACGAATCGATTGATTAATGGTGATAATAAGGGTTATGCTGCTTATCTGGTGGAAAGACACATGAATAGAAATATATCACCATCTTTTGTGGCTGCTTTTGCTCAAAGTAACGAAGGTGATGTTAGTCCAAATACATTGGGATCATTCTGTACAGGTACTGATATTCCTTGTGATGGAACGCGTGAATCGAAATGTCCTAGTGGAAGCAAATGTAACGGCCGGTAATTAGAATGCAACTAGCTTTATGTCCCCCCCCCCATTAAAAAATCTCGGTAATTATTAGAGGTCCGGGCTGGGAAACGAGTGGTATTGAATCGAATCGAATTATTGGAGAGAACCAAGCGCTAAAAGCGTTAGAACTATATACATCCGAATCAACCCAAGTTGATGGAACAGTAGACTATGTTCAAAGATATTGGGACATTACAAAAGCAGTGGTTACCAATCATGATAAGCAGTCGAAACTTTGTGCGGCCGCCATGGTAAGGATTTATAAATAAATAGGGTTATGAAATCATGTCATTTCAATTAACGTTGATATATAGGGATACGCTTTTGGTAAGTGATAATCTGGCATACTTCACATAAATATTAAACTAACACATTATTTAGCTGCTGGGACAACGGATGGCCCCGCTTTACATGGATTCCATCAAAATACAACACATGGTAATCTTGGTTGGGACATTATCCGTAATATAGTCAAGAGACCCAGCGCCAATCAAAGGCGTTGTCAAGCACCGAAGCCTATTTTGCTAGATACAGGGGAAATGACTTCTTTACATGCATGGCAGCCAGAAATACTCGATATTCAGCTGTTCAAGCTGGGTAATGTATTTATCTATGCCGTTCCGTCAGAATTTACCACAATGAGTGGGCGAAGGCTGCAAATGGCAATTAAAACCGCTCTAATTGAAAATTATTTGGGAAATGAAGATACCATCGTCATCCATTCAGGCCCAGCTAATGGATATGCAGTATGTCGTATATATTATATTACAGTAAAAAATATTGTTCCATATTAAACTCTTTTATTATAGTCTTACTGTACAACCTTTGAAGAATACCAAAACCAAAGATACGAAGGAGCATCGGTAAAATCCTTTTTTTACATGCATTAGCATATTTGTAGAACTCATATGTATTTCATCTAGACACCCTATGGTCCAAACACATTACAAGCATATATTCAAGCCTTCGAGGAGCTGGTCTTCATGATGGCAAATCCAACCAACCACAGCATTGTATCTGAAGAATTACCAGACTACACCAAAAAATCATTTAATCTCACGCCTATCTACCGGTCAGACCAATCTCACCTATTTAGATCTTTTGGCGATGTATTGAGAGACGTCTCTTCCGATCACTTCACAAAAACCAGTACACCTATAGTAGTCTCTGCTAGCTTTGTTGCTGGAAATCCTCGAAACGATCCCATGCTGAATAAAACCTTTCTCACGGTAGAAAAGAAGATTGCTAAGGATCAATGGAAAGTAGTGCGGACAGATGATGATTATGACACTAGGTAACAAGTGCTAAATTTAATAATCAAAAATTAGTCTATACTTAACAAGGAAAACAAAATTAGGTTCTCTTGGAAGTATAAACATCAATTACTAGGTACTTCAGAAGCAACCGTAGAATGGCACGTGGCTCATGATGTTGAACCTGGTGTATACCGGTTGGGATACATTGGAAATAGCATTGCGCCATTTAGCAAGTAAGTTATCTTGTGTGTGTATGTGTGTGCATGTGTGTCTTAATAACGCTTCTTCTTTTCAAGAAAATTGACGCCACATAAGGGCTATTCGAGGGAGTTTGTTATTTCCAATTACTGTTAATATTCTATATCGTATATACATAAAAACACGACAATATTCATATATGACTTTAGTATCATAAAATATACATTACAGATGAAACATTCCAACGAGAATCTGTCTCCTATCAACTGTTTCGAAATATAAACAAAAAAAAAGTCTTAAATCATGGTTTGATTTTAAAAAGCTAGAGTCTCCCTCGTATACACATTCTCCCCCAGTAAAATTTATTCTAAATGGACCAAGGTTAAAAAACCGACTGTGCATCAAAGCTCCATGATGTAATGCCGAGAACACAAGAGTTATAATTTTTTTATTGTTTTATAATTATTATGATATTAAAAGATAACACGTAAAAATTATGGTTATTGTTTAAAGGACTAAACCACCTCTATACTTTGCATAGCCGAGAACTACAAAGACGCCAACAACAAGACCTGATAATATGTATCAGAAAACATTCTCACGTAAATCCTTACATCTCTCTCTCTCTCTCTCTCTTTTCTGTAAATACTTTACCTTGATAAAAACCAATAGCACCAGGAGAGGTCAAAAAGTTTTCAGCCTCTTGTACCTTGGGACCAGATCTTGCCTTGAATTCATTAAATTCAGCTTTCACCTTTGCTAATTCTTCTTGAGCAGTAGCAGATACTTTATCATAGGTTTCGTTTAACTTCTTTTCATTGGTCACGACGGCTTCGTTGAACTTTTGTTCGGTTTGTTGGACAGAAGGATTAGCAGACATTTTTTTTTTGGATGAGAATTATACGGAAAGAAGAGAGTTTTCTTTCCTGTTTCATAATCTCGTTTTTATAGATCGCATTTTTATTTTATTTTAGCGTGATACAAGGCGCATAATCATGATGTCAACAATAAAACACGAAAATAGGAGGTGGTGTGTGATATTTTTGTGTTACTGTCATCACGGCCAAAAAAAAAAAAAAAAAAAAAAAAAAAAAGAAAGACATATCAATTGATAAATAAAATATATATGGATGTTGTGTGTGTGTCTGTGTGATTGTGTGTGCGTGCGTGTGTGTGTGTGTGTGTGCAATATGAGTGAGTGTGTGTGTTTGGGTTAAAGAATAATATACAAGACGAAGAAAAAAAAAAGTGAGAGATACAAATAGTGAGTGTCTAATCCATTTCATAGTCGAGTTTATTGATTCCAAAGACTCGTACTCTATGCATAACAGGTAGCTTTGCAATCAAGACAACTAAAAGTGCAGTAAAGTTGATGCCAAAAAGAAAGACATCGTAATGCGTATAATGTGTACTCAATAAAAACCTGGGCACAGATACAAAGTATTAGCAACAGCCTTCTATCTTTTGTGAGACCCTTTACTTACAATACAATGGGCACAGCAGTCAGAAATTTACGAGTGGCAGTAAACTGTACACCGCCATCAATCTGTTCCCATAATGTTAATCCGTCATACGCTCCTTGGTTATTTTCAAACGGAATGCCTTGCACCCAATGAAACATGATGTAATGACCCTATTATTGTCATGAAGCGTGAATATTAATCCTGATAATAGTAATATTAACTTACGCAATTAAACGACAAATTTGTCAATGTCCAACTTGCTTCAGGCGTGATGAAGGGTATAACTGTGAATAAGGCTTTCAAGGCTACCACAACAAAGATTGTAGTAAACCACGCGCCTAGCAAACGAAGTTTATAAATCAGTAAGCGATCTACATTCCTGTTGTAAGAGATAGTACCTTTGTAATTAACCCATGAGGAATTAAAATTGGGCATTGAGCTTTGATCAAGTGCCGTATAGGCTTTATTTTCATTTGTGGACATTAAATAATTAACAAGCGAAAGAAAGATAAATGAGAAGGAAAAAAAAAATTAGAGATAGTTGTATAGGGATGACGTATTATAAAAAATTTTATTAAAATGTTTGTGAGTTGGGAGTTTGAGGGGGAATATATACAGTTTTTCAACTTGAATGGAGTTTTACAATAGGAAGGAAAGGTATATTTTAAAGTTCAACTTTATCATCTTCAGGTGTAGGAATGCCATGTACTAAATGATGAGAATAGTCTTGCTGTCTTGACTTTTTGATTGGATGAACGGTATTATTGATAGAAGAGTCTTGTTCGAACACACGCTTCTTATTGACAGTTGTAGTAGAGACTGGAATGGCTTCTCTTAATTGTGCTTCGAATTTCTGGTACAGTTCGGTAGATACGTAAAGTCTATAATCAAGCATTTCTAAAAGTGCTCGTTCAGCTCCGTTAATTTCTTTGACGGGCAATTTGCTAATTTTAGCCCAACTGGCATTGGTGAATGTATTGTCGTACAAGTATTTATGTGCACAAATTAAAGCAGCTAAAAACATACGTCTGCCGCATTTAACAATAGGATCAAATTGACTGCGCTTGTTGATATAAGGACGAATTCGAAAAAGATAAAAGATGGCTAATTGAAGAGTTGAACGAGTGGCTCTGGAGCGTTTTAAAAGATGTCTGACGAATGCTTGGGTATTTACAACCGGTTGTCCTTGTTTGGTGGTCGAGATTTCCATTGGCCAGGAAGTGCGAATGGTGAGTGTAGTGATATCTATGATGGAAATGTTAGTAATGTTATAAAAATTTATAAATTGCATGTGTGTGTGTATGTGTGTTTGTGTTGCTTACCAACTAGGGTATCTACGTAAATCTTTTGATATTCATTTTCGGTGGATGGTTGCTGTTGTTGATTCATCGACATGCCTACTATATAGCGATAGTATTGCTCCAAACAATTGGTTTCGTTAGTGTTCGTTTGAATTGGAGGAAGGATAAAGCTATTATAGTTGGACATGACGAGAAACGGGTTAAAACAGGAAAAAAAGAAAGAAAAACGAAAAAATCATTTTCATTTTATAGACGGGATAAGCGGAAATTTAAAAAAAATATAGCATATTATATTTCTCTCAATGACTCACTGTAACTGAGAATTAGAAACCCCTTCCTTTTTTAATTGGGATAAAAATCCTGACGCTTTTTTTTTAAAAAAACGTTAAACTGACTCATTAAAAGATTATCTAACCTTTTATCTTTGAACCCCTTTTACCCTTCATTAATATAATAATAAAAAAAAAAAAAAGATTAATCCTATCTATCTCAAAAATGTTATTTACCACCTAAAAAAGAGATGGAGATGATCTCCCACTCATTTCATGCCAGGAGGGTGTGAATAAACAAATTTGTGTCATTGGACAAATCCAGTATTCCCTAATTTTGAACCAATAAGAAATTTTTCTTTCTCGGGACATTGGTCCTGATCCAATTGAATTCCCGTAATTTCTTTTTTATTCAACCGTGCGAAAACCCTTAATTAACCAAAAAGATAATCGCTATATTTAATTTAATCGCAAACCATCTCTAAATTGATTCACTGCTGCGGTTTTTTGGGGATTAAATCATGCTGAGTAAACAATTTTTTTTGTGTTGGCAACCGTAACATCCGCACTTTCTATTCCCAAATCATGCCGTAGTTCCTACCAATCAAATCATTCGGTTAAGGATGATGCACACAAATGCCTAAAACGGTACGCTAAGCGAAATCTATTTGGCTCCCCAATACGATCGGCTCTTTTTACATACTCCGATTGCCACATACATATTATCATTGTTTATCTCAGTCGCACGCAATTCAATTAAATTAGGAATCATAATATCTAAACTAAACGGAATTCCACCCTTAGAAATATGTAAAAGAGAAGAAGGCTCAGCATGCAAAACACGCACAGAAATAAAAAAAGCCCAACCCCCCCCCCAGTTTCACCGCTTTGAACCATACTACCGAAACTTTCCTTAATTGGATCTCCATTGCCAAGTACACACATTTTGGCTCAAATAAAGGGGTGACGGGGAGCACACAGACTCAGCACCGCAGCTAGTAAAGGAGGAATTCAGTATATGGGTTGGTATATCACACACTGCGGATGTCATCAGCTATTTTGGAGCAAGGATGCACAAAAGGACAATGAGGGTCACTAATATCTGAGGGACAATCAATAACCACAATTCTAACAGAACATGGGCCCCATTGTCTTATCCTCATATTACTAGCGTGATAGCAAAAGGTATACATGTGGCGTAGCGATAATTGCTGACTAGTGCTATCTCGTGCAAATAGCAGAAAAAGAAATACATTGTCATTCACAGTCATCACTGTGATCATCACCTTTTTGTTACGCACTACCTCAAAATATATGGTGTGTGCTTGGTGATACACACTCTCTTATGGATAAGAAATTCTTGATTTCTTCCTGAATCTAAAACGTCTGATTGTCACCTTGTCATGCTTTCATAAAACACCCTAATCTATACCCACGGATTTGATTAAACTAGAAATCGCGATAATTATAGATGATATTCAAAGTGCGAAAAAATGACTGAACCGTCGGGTTATACCGGTGAGACTCACAAAAAGATGCTTAAAAACAACCGGTCATATTTTACTTGGTATGACTTTATTATATGTGACTAATCGCTTCAAGAGGGGTGCAGATGTTACTATTAACCAAGTCAAACAACTGCGCCTTTCTCTCCTCAATCATACTAGTCTGTAAGTACACTCAGCCAAAGCAGCAGGGGAAGGATGTACGAATCATTTTTATAATGCTGCTTTCTCATGCGTTGTCAATAGATACTAATATTCAGAACTGATAGGGGCAATATTAGTCATTGAGACACATGGATTAACCATCGAGTTGTTGGGTTTGGGTTTAAACTGCTTTAACTCAATTCCGACATAAATTTTTGGTTGGTCTAAAATGACCCATAAAAATTTTAAGACTTTGTATCAGATTTATTCTTTTAACATCTTATAATCATAAATAGTTGCTGTGTCGCTTTAGTAAAAGAATTGAAATTACAACGTTGATAGACCTAAGAAATTGACTGGTATAAAGTATGAAGTTATCTCTCTTTCTTTCTTTTTGGGGCTTAAAGACTTCAGTATTTGAGCGTCGTCCTTGTTATAGCACATGCTGTCGAGCACGTCCCTTTTTTTTGTGGCTGAGGCTTGGAGTATATTTTCTGACTGTCGCAGCAGTGAACTATGCCACAGCGAAATCTGGGTACACTTCCGAGGAATAATTTTGTTTTTGGTATTAGAGACCCGATTTTTGCGTGTGACCAAGGCAACCAATGTCTCAAAAAAACAAATCGCACACCAAGTAGCAAACCTGTAAGCAGGCTGGACGACCAGTACTAGGCAAGTTCGATCAACTGCTTTAACGAGCATCCATCCACCATAATAAAGGACGCAGTTGAAGATCTGATACAGAGATCTGAAGGTTTGGATATCAAGAAAAGCTGAATCGCTGACTTCGTGAAAGAGGAATGCAACCTAATAATCAACAAAGAAACCTTAAATGTTCGTGACCAGCTTGTGAAGGAATGAATAAAAGAAAAAGGCATGATGTACATGCAAATTTGTGTATTTTTGCGCAGATCTAGGGTTTGGTCAGCGCGTGGCACGAAAGGAGTTATAGAATTACCAGTCATTGGCGCCGTCTCTGGATTCGATGTTGTAAATGTGAGCCCAAGATATCCAGGAAATGTCAAAAAAAAAAAAAAAAAAAAAAAATAAGAAAGTTCGTGGGTGCAAACAAACGAAAAGCACCTGGAGACAATGGATCTGTTATACCGAAAGGAACCACAACTAGCCATTACCTTCAATTCATCAGCGATACCTTAGACATTATATATGGGTTCCCCAACATGAAGGGATTTCACATCGGTATGGACAATATGCCCCAATTCATAGTCATAATATTGTTGGTCCTGTAATTTTTGAGCGAGGATATATACCTGTATATCTTCCACCTTATTCCCCTGAGCTCAATCACATTGAAATGTTTTGGAAATTTCTGAAGGATTTAGAGTCAGAAGAGGCAATCTAAATAATGTAGAAACCCTCACTTCAAAAATCATTGAAGGTAGTGAAGACGTTTCGGTCGAACAGTTGCAAAATTGTATACAGCAATTCCATCGATTGCTTCCCTAAATGTTTTGAATAAAGAACCTTTGTAGTTTATTTGAACGGAAATTAGTTAATTATTCCACGAAATGTGTTTAATATATTTAATTTTGCGACTTTTTGTTTTTGGGTCGCTTGCGTGTGAAAAATGTAGCCCCAGGGAACTCGTGGTTTGGGTAAGATGGTGAGACACAAGGGGCAAGGCTATTGCTTTTGCGAGATGAGATACGTTGTCGCTTAAATCTTTTATTGTAGAATTTCCCTTTTTTGATGGCATAAAAGCATAAATCTATAATTTCTAAACCTTTTTGGATGCTAAATTGACCTTCTGATATAGACTGATAATCACATCCTATGCGAAAGGTTGCGTTGAGTAAATGCACAGTGCTTAAGGTTGTAATGCTTACCAAATAATTGAGTAGATTATCCATTGTATCGCTGTCCATAAAACCATGATATCATTTATCACAGCCATTTACAGCTTAAAACAAGCCTGACATGCTTAAATCACAGGGGCGAGCTAATTAGAATGTGCCCCTGTAGCGTCTGCTAGCAGAAACATGTTTACCTCATGGGCCTTGGTTGCAATTACAAGATCCTCAAATTGCTTGACTATGTAAAGATAACCACTCAAACATACAGCAGAAGTTAGACATTATGGAAAGCAATCATATATTTTTTCTCCAGGATACATTACCAATAACATCCATACCAATCGTGAAAAGGCTATCATCGGAATCTTCGCCACAATGTGATCGTAGACAACATAATATGCTCTAATTCAACCTGATATTCTTGTTGATCTGAATTACTTCAGTCTCTATATTCACACCAGCAGGCTTGATCTCCATGGCTGCTATTTCAATGGCTTGATCCTTGTTCTTGTCATTTGATAGGTGGCCCTTGGGAAGTAATAATCGATAGGTCGTCCCATGATATGCTGTAAGACTTCCCCGTATTCATTCTCATTGACCTGTCTTTCAAATTTTGAAGCAGCACATGTTGATTCACCACTAAGAAAGACGAGGAAAGTGTTAGTGACATTCAAGTACATATTGTTGTAAACAGCGAGTCATAACTAAGATATATTTTATTCCAAAAGATTAAAGGTGCATCCGCCATGCCTGCTACGATTATTTATCTTATTTTTTGTTTACAAATCTTATGATTATTATGTAATATGATAATTTATGGGAAAGTTTATTCTGTTAATTGGAGGTGGATTCTAGAATCTCTTCCTGGTTCTAGCTGCAATCACTACAGACATTTCCTAGAAATACTCGTCTTACGTACTTTTGGCGTCAAAGAATATTTGACTTGTTTAAATCGATCAAATCTTCAAAAACTATCATGCAAATGTCACACTATCTAGTATCTATTTGTTAGATTATAAAGACTGTCTTAAATGCCATATTATATATTGTAGGATTTCTAAACAAGTTCCAAATCATTTCTTCGTTTAAAGGATTATCCTTTGTTTTTATATGCTTTTTTGTTAAATCTGATAAGGACCGAAACACCGCACTCTTTTAAACCGTTTTATTGGCTGAAAGCCTTCAATGGTCACGGACAATGAAAAAAAAAAAAAAAAAAACCTTCTTTGGGAATCACGCTTTTGCTGCGACGTATTTCCAGAAATTCTCCCACTCCTTTCAAATAAAAACAAATGTCTAGCGAAACTGTCTTGAAAAAGACTCCTTGTAATGGTAATTTTCATTTTCTGTAATGCAATATAAAGCTTCTATTTTATTCACATTAGCTTTATAGGATGTCGAGAAAGGAAACGTAAATGTTCTTATGAACAACCTTGCGCAAGGTAAGGTCTAACTACATAATGCTTTATAAAACTTTATTAACTGACATTTGTCCAGATGCATCAAATTCAACATTACATGCACCTTTACAGTCGTGCCATCACCCAAAGATGTAGAATACATACAAGAATTGGAATACATGAAACAAATCCAAGATATTCAATTACAGATATCTACTATGGAGAACGAGTTGTGCACACTGAAGATTGCTCGAGACAAAAACGTCGAGGAAATTCAAACTTCTAGAGAAACAAACTCTCTTTCTCCGGACACTCGATCTATGAGTGTATACTCCCAGGATAGTGACTCAGTATACCAGATCAAGACCGAGAAAGATGAGTCATATTACGATTATCCATCACCTGTTTCGATGAACAATACATTGGAATATATACCAGCACAGAGTAATCACTATGATTCCCAGCACAAACAAAAACAACATCGCCACCATCATTATCACCAGGACCGTGCCTTCAAAAAAGAATCTCACCAAGAGCTGTTTGCTCCATTGGATCAAAAACAAACAATAGCTAAATGTAAAGCTATTGAAGCAACCATCACAAAAAAAAGTAGTCAGCAACCTTGGACATTAACTGTTCAAAACGGAAATATGTCTATCGAAACACACATTAGCTCTTACGCAGAACTCATGTCACATTTTGAGGGTATGGCAACTACCTGTTTATACCAAACGTCTACATCCAAGTTACCTTTCCCAATTTTAAAGGAACCATGCACTCCCAGAGATGCCCTAGGTGCAGCACTTGGTATGATCACTTGGCGAAAATACGGAAAATCAAGGTTTAAGAGCCTGGCGGGGTATACACCTACTTTATTACATTACGATGGTGCCACGGGTGTGACTGTAATTGCTCCCGCGACAAGTATGGAAACCATAACGATGCGACTAGTGTACACCTATATCAACTGCTTACATGTACAGAAATTTTATATACATGTTCCTTCATTTATACGACTCTTTATGACAGAAAGAAGCGTCATTCAATCTCCAGCTGTCATGGCGCTTTGCAGTATCATCTGTCAACAAAATTGTAAACATATTAGCGCCATTATACCAGAAGAGGCACTGAGTGATTATGGAGCATATTATTTTGAACAAGCACGAGAGTTGATTGCGGATCAATTTGATGAAGCCAACTTGGAAACACTATTTACATTTACATTTTTGGCAGTGTCCAAAATCTTGATCAAGGATGACAAACAAGCTGATCGCTATCTTTGTATTGCAGAGCGCATATATAATGTTTTATTACCGCAGTATAAATCTCGGGATGGATCATGTTCGGATGAATCAGTTTTGTTTGCACGTATTTACCGCTGTTTACATCATTCACGATCTGCCATTTTAATACATGAGATTATGGAAACAGAAAACCCATCACGATCTGTCATACCTCGTATCGCCCATCTAATGGAAGATTTGGACGACGCATATATCCAACCGGCCCAAGATGATTCACCGCGAGAAAAGCAGTACATTCAAGTCCGACGTCATATCAATCAATTACGTGAATCCATTAGAATGACCATCGGAAACATCTCTGCACCGGATTTCATGACATTCATCGGCACGTTTGGACATCAAGTGGAGATGGTGATGCGGCACTGGTACAGACATGTTCTACCCGTGGATTTCCAATTGCAGATACCCCTTTTTGAAGGCACTTGGACTGATATTGAATTCTTTACACATCTTGAGTTGGAATGTGGTGATTCTCCCATACCTGTCATGGTTACCTTAATACTTTACAATGAGTATTTAATCATGTCTAAATCATATGTACCCAAACGACCTGGTGATACGCCCCTAGATACCACGGAGCTGTTAGAAAAGTTTAAACATGTACAAAAACACGCTTGTCACCACGAAGAAAATGAGCATAATAAAATGCACCACTGGGTGAAGATAATTCAAAAGATGGCACATATCAAGCGAGGTGGTGGTTCTTCAAAAGATTTAACAATGAATGATGAAGAGATATTGGAATTCATCAAAGTATTAAATATATCCCAAATCGGGTTTAATATACCGTTTCTTCATACTGCTGTTGTGGTTGCATTGGACATGGTACGACTCTTCCAATTCTTACTGTCGCGAGATTATTCTTGTTTCTTGGATCTGCGGTGGGTGATGAATACCTGGCAGTTGTTGATGAGGGCCGCTAAATATAAATACCAGCAACCCGGAGATGAGGAGGTGACTTTGGATCGCATTAGGGCCAATCTTATTCTGTGTTTAAATATTATGCGAGATCAACTAAAATCATCTCGTCGTGACTCTTCAGGCTCCTTTGTGGAGATGATGGAGCAAGAATTTAAAAGCTTGTTTTGATCATCTACATCTAATTTAAGCATTTGTAAATTTGTGAATATGTGAATATATATATATAAAAAAAAGTTTATTAAAATAAAAATAGTTTGTAAAAATATGAAGATGAAATTAATTTTTTTTTCTTGGGGAAGGAGGGAGAGGGGAGGGGGTATTTTATAAATGTATATCATTTATCGCTTGATAAATTCGATGAATGAACCTCTGGTTTCAGTTCTTCCTGTCCAAGACCAAATGCTGGTAGTGAACTCAACCTTATCTTCAACATCACCGCCCTTTAATTTATATTGCTTCACAATTTGAGACAAGACTGATAACAATAATCCTTCACTGGCTCTGAGACCAAGACACATACGACTACCAGCACCGAATGCTAAATTATCTACCACAACCTTTCTTCCAGCAACCTTTCCAAATTCCAAAAGAGAAGTCTTCTTCTTATCAGATTTAAGGTAACGATCAGGGTCAAACTTTTCGGGATTAGGGTAATACACAGGGTTGTTATGGATCGCATCTACATTCACAACAATAGGTGAACCTTCATCGATACGATACTTGGTATCTCCCACAGGAAAGTCATAATCAGTACGAGAATTGTAAGAGAGTAAACGGTTAGGAGCATCTACACGAAGACTTTCACGAACAAAAGCCTTAGCAAGATCTCTTTCTTCAGTGGCAAGTTCTTGGAATAATCTTTCTTGAAGTTCAGGCTCGGTAGCTAAACGTTGAATCAAAGTATAAATAGTGGCAGACAAATAGGTATAAGCGTGAAGTGATGTATGGATCAAATTCACCAAGACTTCAGATTTTGTTAATTGAACAGGCTCAGGATCATTTTGGGAAGGTTCGATGTTCAATAAACTCTTGGCAATACAGTCCAATTTATCACCTAAAAGCACCTTTTGCTTCTCTTCCTCACTTACAATGGCCAAAGCTTCTCTTCTCTTTTGGTAGGTAGGGTCGAACCAAGGTAAGAATATCTCCAAGATTTGGTTACGTGTTCCTGTCAAGGCGGTATCCCATTTGAACAAGTGTACGACATCTAGAAGCGAATTATATGAAGGGAAGAATTGACCACGACGGTTATGCTTGCCAGATTGTCTTTTTTCGAGCACACGGACTTTCTGAATAAGGTCCAACATAGCTTCAGGTTCACGTGGTACACTGACCGAATCACCCACGACCAAAGTCAAAGCAGTATCCATGGCTACCATTTCGACCAATTGATGCAATTCCTTGCCACTGAGTGTATTGTTTTCTCTTAACGACTCACCGATACCGAATGAAAGTTTCTTGGCCTGAGCCTTGAAATGTTGAGTGAATTGAGATAAATAGGTACCACAAATAACAATATACATGGCACGTCTTAAGCGACTCCAATAAACAGAAAAAGTAGAAGAAAATACAGTCTTGCACTTGTCGGTTAAGATACTTTCTTGAGTGTCGGAAGGCAATTTGGATGAGAAGAGCTGTTTGTTGACAATGAGGCAATCACGGACGAGTTCGACATTGTTCAAGACGATGATGTGCTTTTGACCGATCTTGACCGAAAAAATTTCACCAACTTCTTTGGACCATCTTGTAAGTGCATGATAGGACTCTTTATCAAAGATATTGAAAGCATTAACATAAAATGGCAGTTTTTTAGGACTAGGAGCCCAAGGTTCTTTCAGAGTGCCATCGTCCCTCTTGTTGTACCAGAGATACTTTTGTCCAAACTGCGAGAGCAGGTATGTCATAAGCATACTGAAGGCATAATTTAATGCAGTACTATTAAACATTTTGGAGAGAAAGCGTATGAAAGAAAAGGAAGGTTGACAATACACAACAGATGTATAAATAATTTTTTTTTATTTTTATTATTTGAAATCAGTCACCCATTTAGGGATCGAATGTATAAATTAGGAATTTTGGTCCCCAAACACCTTATCTTTTGGTACGACAGCTTGTGTTTGATTTTATTTCCCAAGAAAGACAAAATAGTTAATTAGGCAATTAAACTCTCACCCTTCTTTATTGGATTTGACGTTATCACCAGATGATTATACGTTTTTATTTTGTATTGTGTTGATTCTCCACTGGCTGTTGGAGTTCGGAGTCTCGTCCTCCATACAACACCATAATCTGCAAAAAAAAAAGAGACCTCGTGGTCTTTTCATAGCTCACACACTTCTTTTTTTTGCCATTTACTTGTCACATTAGATGACTTTAGCTACTGGGTCAAAGCGCAAAATATAGATGAGTACCAAATGTTCTGAATAACAACTCCAACCAATTAAACTAAGCGAAACCAGAATTTGTTTCTGAGATGAACATGTGTGTTGCAATAGTACATGGATCAAGTCTTGGTATCTTCTTGTTCCCTCACTAAAGTTACGCATGTGCTATTGCTTTCTTTCTTTCTTTTTTAACATAGTCTCAACAGAGTAAAGCATATAATCAGTGATACCTAAACATTCAGACCTTTTTTGCTCACATGTGAGAATATACACAAAATTAAGCTTTTTTTTTTATGTTACACGCAGTCAACCAATATTCTGAAAGAGCTATGGGAGGATCCACTTTTGATCCCACGTAACCAGCATTAGAGGTACTTGGTTTCGATAGGTTATCTCCACCACACAGGTGGAAGGGAAGAATAAATTATTTTAATTATCACCAATTATGTACACACTTGTATGATAGTGACGAAAGAACTATAACTGGCCGGTACAAGTAAGTAATGCCATCAAAGCAAATTGCAACCGAACTACGTCCAAATTTTTCTACATGCTCAATCACGGGGTTTTTTTTAAAAAAAATCGCATTACAACATGATTTTATATGCAATAAATGCATTATTTCAGATTTCATTTATGCCTGCAAAAAAACACACGTGACTTGTCAGCGCTTGTATGTATGATAGTGGTGGCAGAAGCAAAGTGCATTTTCGACTTTTTTTTTTTTTTGTCTCTTCTTTCATACAGCCATTTATTAATATTATTACCGTGAATTATAATGACAACTGCGAAAAGTGCTTCTTACGATTACTTGATTAAACTTTTACTTATCGGTGATTCTGGTAAGAAACAAATAAAAGTTTACCTTCATAAAAAAAAAAAAAAAATAACCATTTTTCTTCTATAAATAAAAAGGTGTTGGTAAGAGTTGTTTATTGCTTCGCTTTTCGGATGACTCGTTCACTCCTTCATTTATCACAACCATTGGTATTGACTTCAAGATTCGCACTATTGAGCTGGATGGCAAGCGAATCAAGTTACAGATTTGGGACACGGCCGGACAAGAGAGATTCCGTACCATCACAACGGGTTAGTAAAACAACTCGCTTGTCTCACTGCAGAAAGAAAACTGAAACTTGTCTCTATTTTAGCCTATTACCGTGGTGCGATGGGTATCTTGCTAGTGTACGATACTACCGATGAAAAATCTTTTGGCAGTAAGACATGACATGCCCCACATTTCAACTACTCTTGTTAATCCCTCTTAATTTTTTTATTTTTTACAACGCAGACGTTAGAAATTGGTTTTCTAATATCGAGCAACATGCCAGTGAAGGTGTTAATAAGATTCTGATTGGTAACAAGTGTGATATGGAAGATAAAAGAGTAAGAGTTTAAAACGATATCAGGAATAAAAATAGCTGATTCTCTTTTCAAAAGGTGGTTACAAAGGAACAAGGAGAAGCTTTAGCAAACGAGTTGGGTATTCGATTCATGGAGACCAGCGCAAAAGCAAATATTGGTGTAGAAGAAGCCTTCTTTGATTTGGCAAGGGATATCAAAAAGAGATTAATCGATACTCAACAAGCTCAACAAACCCGTCAAAGAGAAGAAGTTAGATTAGATCAAGCTTCACCTTCAAAGGCAAATACTTCAGGTGGATGCTGTTAAAATATGTGTATATTTTATAAATAAATAATTTAAAAAAAAAAAAAAAAAAAAAAAAAAAAACTCTTTTAAAGAATAATGCAATTTCCCGAGCCGTGATGCTGACCTGCAGATGGATCACGTCTTCTTGTTTGGGCACCACTATGATGCCGATGAATATTATCTACTTCATCATCATGGGTTGTTGAAACGGCTTCTGATTGAAAAGAGTAGAAACTCTTGATGGTTAACATGGGACTCGCCTTTGCCAAAGCTTCCTTCACCCCTATTTCTGTAATATTCGAACAATCCAACACCTCCACATTTATCTTTCTAGGCTTAAACGTAAATAAACTAGAATTTGTCAGCTTGCTTTGTTGCTGCTCAAGATACATAGCAATTGACTTTAACACTCCATCTGTAATGGTGCAGTTGTCCAGTTCTATATGTTGTAATTCACGACAGATACCGTTTAATACCAAGTGTGCAATACCATCGTCTGAGATTTGTGTACAATTTGATAAGCAGAACCTAACGAGATGTGGCTGATGATTTGCAATTGTTTTGACCGTGATATCTGTGATATGTTGCAAGTCCTCTAAATCTAAATGAACAAGACTTCTTAACCTTGGTGATAAGAAGGTGAATCCCAAGTCCGTCATTAATACACAACCAGCCAGTTCCAGATGGGATATCCCTGTTGAATATATGGCGATATTTCTTAATGAAACATCTGTTAACTTTGCACAGCTGGATAGATTTAAATGGGTTAAATGGAAGGCTGAATGGTTTTTTAGAAATGAAGATAGGCCGGAATCTTTGAGACTCGTACATGCTGCTAAACAAAGATGACTCAAATTGGGTAAATAAGTTCCCAAGGACGACATTGTAATATCATCCAATTGTGAGCATCCATTTAATTTCAGATATCGTAAACTTGTACAGATTGTAATCATGCTTAATATTCCTGATCCAGTCATATTCCGACACCAACTCATATTCAGCCTCTCCAGTTTGTTGAGCGACGTGCTTGTAAGGCTGGAATTTTTCATCGTATCTAAACCTGATACGTCCAATACTTTCAATTCGTTGGCTCTTTGTAAAAAGTGTGCAATACTAGCTGCTGATAGTCCTCTACAATCTTTAATGATCAACACTTGAAGATTAGGGCAATATTCGGATAAAGTTCGTAACCCATGCCCTGTCAGCTGAATGCAACCTCTATTTTTTTTTTTATTATCATTATTATCAGTACGAAATAATCAAAAGATGTGTGATTTATACCTAAAATTTGCAGTTTTAAGGAACCGAGAAGAGCATTTAATCAATTTCAGGATACTTTCAATAGGAATCGTCTTATAAAAGGGTGTTACGTTGATGGTAGACCATAAAGATCCTTCATAAACCAGCTCATTCCATTTGTGGCATACCTACAACACCCATTACTATCTATCATAATTCAATTTGAAAATCACATATTCATACCACAGTTGCTTTTAAAAGATCCGGAATTGGCAATTGTGCAAGAATCTTTAACTGCAACTCATCTGGTAACTGTAAAACTAGGTTAATTACCATTAGTATTTGTTCACAAACAAGTAGTAACTGTTTTTTATTTACCAAGGGACATTTATATGTTTTGTGAAGAAGATAATAAAATGAAAAAAAAAAGTAGAAGAGAGAAAGAGAAAAGAGAAAAGCGTGATTGACATGATCTTGACAATCTCCTGATATAAATATGTGTATTTTTATAAGGTCACAGGACAAGAGCGTCATCAGTTTTCAATCAACTTTCCAACAAAGAGATATTTTGAGCCAAAATGTTGTTCCCATTCCCTTAAAGACTCCCATTCTTCTGTCGTAAGATCCTCTAATTTATCAATAGAATCCTTTGGATCTGTCAACATGTCACCGTCAAATGAATTCTTTGCCAAACCGCGAGAGGCGTCATGACCAGCAAAATTAGCATATGGTCCACCTTTTTTAATAGATATTTAAATTCTATTTCTTCCTGAGATATACATGTTATTAATTCTTACCTGGCCCATAAAAGTTTCTACCTCTGGTCACATCATAGATCGACCCATTCACGGCCATCAAGATACGGCCGTCTTTACCGTTCCCGTCAAAGGGTAAAAGGTCAATAGGTGTATAATTCTTGAACACCATAACCTCTGGATGTTTGGCTTCTTGTGCAATAGGCTTACTTGAGCTGGCATAAGAGCGTACGACATATGCAAGAATCTAAATTATACGTCTTAGTCAATTGTACTCAATCACGGTTTTATCCCTTTTTTTTTTTCCTTACAGCTATTAACGCCCAATTAACAGGATTATCTTCGTTTTGGTTTACATTAGTTTCATCTATTTAGTTTTTCTGCATTCGTTTTAAAAGCTTTTTAATGCAAACCTTTCAACTGTCTCATCAAAGTGTTGATTGTGGTGGTCATGGTACGTTGTGCTGACATGGTTTGGGGCAAAAGAAACGTTATAAAAACAAAAAGCACGGTTGAATGAAACTTTCGGCTTAGTCACTCCCTAGCTCTCTGATTGGTTACGGAGTTGCCATTGCGGCACATCCATTTAACATCGCCTCTTTCTCTTAAACTAATGAAGAAAATGAGAAGTTCGGTTGTCCTTGGGGTGGCAAATCATCCATTCATTTGCCTTTCAGCTCGGGGTATATATATCATACGTTTCGTGTACTAGAGATGATAGAGCACGTTATATAATGCATACATAATTTTTTGGTATAAGCTTTAAAGTTTCCAACAGTGCTATTTTGAAATTTGATGTGCCTCACAAATAAAGTTCACGTTAACTCGTGAACCTTCAAACAGGTTTCATTTCCTATATATATTTTTTTGAATAAGATTAAATCAAGTAACTAGTAAGAAGACATGTTCAGAAACCCATCGATAAAACCGTCAAGTCAGTAGCTAGTGATTACCATGCCAACTCACCAGAGGCCACTTTGACAGATTAGTATCAACAGAGAATTCTTTTGTACATATGTTGTGAAAGTCTTTCCAATAATCCTTGTTTAATATTATTCGCCAATGTCATATTCACAAAAAGGAATAAGTACATATGCTAATTGTATTATACCGCTTCCCTCAGGTTACCCGTTGTAGTGCTCTCAGTGCCTCACAAAGTCCCCATCGTATAGCTAATCCCTTCTAATAAATCTCCCTCTTTTTTCTCATTTTTATAACGTCCTCAGTCTACTTTTATCCCAAAAACTAAGTAACAAGAAGATCTTTAAGAATTTGATGAATAACAGTCTCTTTACTGGTCTTATATTGGCTGGACAGGTTTTTATATAAATATATATATTTGTTACACAACTTAAAATTATAATAGCCCAATATCCCAGTATTAAATCATCGAGGAGTTATTTATCGTTTCAACGCATTGTCTGATCTTTGCGACACGAATTGGGTCGTGAGCACCCAACATCCAAGCACCCTTGATGGCGGTCATTTGAATATCTCTTTCGTCTACATGAGGGTGTTAATAAAAATGAGTTTCAAGAAAAGAGTGAGTCTTACCATCTGCTGAGACATCAACACTAGCAACTTGTATCATAATATCGAACAAGTACTGTACACCAGGCTGGTCTTCTTTAAGGGGGTCTTGAGAGAGACCGAAGGTACCCAAGACGGCTATATGAATTAATTTTAAATAATGCGCTTTTAAAGGCAGACTGAGTAAAATGTGTTTGTTACCCATAGTTTCTAATGCCACATCGTCTATCACGTCTCTCGTCAATAAGGGCCACAACTTAACCAAGATGAACTCATTGTACATTTTTTTCCAGTCACCCAGGACGTGGAATATCAACTCAAAGGACTTCACGATTTCAAATCTCAAACAGTCAAAGGCGACTAGTTCGATTTTTAGTATAACATATTGCATTTATTAGAAAAAAAATTCACTCACTTGTAACAGGTACACCTTCAAGACCCAGGAGTTGTGCCATCACTTCCTCGATCACCTCACTGGTGGGAGGGATTCGGTCTAGTGCGTCCCAATCACAACGTTTGGTGATCTCGGTGTACATTACCTTGACATTGTCAGGAATGCCCGAGTGATCATAAATATGTTGGATACTGCTTTGTACAGCTTTCAACAATAACGAAGGCTTCTTACCTGAAACAAGACAATCTTGCCAGCCACAAACAATGTTGTACAAACAGGCAAATGTGTTGTTGTTACAAGTTGATTCACGAATGACATCAAAGCAGAGTGTTCTGGTACGTTCAACATCATTACGTGATTTACATAACAGGCATAGCAAACGACAGTAGCGACTAGAAAATATATAAGGTTAGGTTAGTTACACCATCCACTTTTGTCCCTTGTGCACTCACTAACAGTCCTTGACTGTAGATACTTACGAGCCGGAGACATCGGGGCGTTTAGCCTTCAGACATTTAGCTAATTCAGCACTAAGTCTTGTGAAAATATCATGGAAGGCCTTGGCCTACATCATACGAGTATAGTTTAGTAAAGGCGGATTTCATGCATATTATTTATACTTACATTTTGTGAGCAGTAATAGGACAGAATCCAGGCATAAGCCTTTTCCCTTAAATCCCACTTGTCGGGTACGTCGATTTGATACAATCCTTCGATTCCGTACTTAGACATGGTCTTTGGATCAGGATTGTTGACAGACTTCATCACCTTAAAGTTGGAGTTAATCTCCTCAAGGATGTTATCAATGTCCGAATCGGTTACATCGGCTAGTTTCTTTTTTTGAACCCATTCTTCAACCATCGAGACATATCGCATGTCCATTTTGGTTTTTTTAACCATCCTTTCTTCCATAGTGAGTGGTCGATCGTGCACTGGACTGATGATGGGTCTGCTATCAATGACTTTACTCGGATTACGGCTGTTTACGAACTTTTTCAACCGATTGTCCTTCTTCTTGCCCTTAGGCACAACAACTGGGATTGGTGGCCGTGCTGGTACGGGGGGAGATGATTTGGATGTTGATCTGACCAGACCTTGCTGGGTGGTGACAGCTGGTTTACCAAGAGCCACGTTTAGTCCACGAGCAGGATTAAGAGAGGGTTCCGACAGTTTAGGTGTAGGGTGCGAGGAAGCTGTATTTAACAACGAAGTTGTTTTAACTGAGCGGGACGGGATCATACCAGAATCAGTAGGCTGATGTGATGAGATAGAAGAGTGTCTCTTCGATTTTGATTCTCTTGGTGATTTTTCATGCGTGTAGTCAACCATATTGCCTGTTTCATCGTCTGATGAACCTGACTTCAAGAGGTCATCCAAATTTTGGTTTTTGCTCAACGACATCGTCAGCTTACGAACTCGTTCTTTCAAATATTTGTTCTCGTCCTTGTACATGAGGTTGCTTGCCTTCAAACTGTGAATCTTGGTGACAAGAGCAGGGTTGACATCGGCGGTATCTTGTTCAAAGGACATTGCTGCGGTGTTCTGAGCCTTGGAACGGATCAAATTATCAACGCGTTGTTGTAATTCGTCACGATTTTGTTGAATTTTATTATTTTCGGATTGTAAATCACGAATGGCTTTTTGCAGCTGGTCCAGCTTCTCTCGAGACACAGTATAATCTGCTGTGGACTTCACCAATTGCTCCCTTGTATGAACAAGTTCTTGTCGGGTTTTATCGAGGTTGGCCCTGTCGGAGTTAAAGCTGTTACTTGTTTCTGCGCGTTGCTTGGCCAATTCAAGCATTTTCCTCAAGCTTTGTTTTTCGTCGTTGGCGCGAGTAAGCTTTAATTCGAGATGTTGGATTCGTGACTTGGCTTCAACATGATCATTTTCAACTTGATCCAATTTTAATTTTAACACCTTTGTTTCTTCTCCGTTATTTGAAAGGCCCGCTTCCACTTCCAGTGTCATAAAGTCGTCCTCAAGCTTGTCAAACTTTGCTTGGATACTTTCGACTTCCGCCTTTAAGTTCTTGTTATCGTTTTGTAAGGTGCGGATGAGATTATTTTTTCCCGATATCTCTTGTCGGTGCTTGTCTGAGGTCTTTGGCACTTTATTTACATTTATGTCGTCCGCTAACTTTTCATTTTTCGCTTCTAATTGGTTAATATACACCTAGAGTAAAATCAATCATGAGTTTGATGATAATAAAATAATTAATATGATAGGTAAGCTTACATTTTTGCTCTGAAGAGCTTTTTGGCTGGCCGCCACAGAAGCTTCAGCTTCTTTTAATTTTAGTTGAAGGTTATCAATGATAACTTGTAAGCTACCAGAAGGATGAGTTACTTGCTTAGACATAGTTAGTTCTAATTCAAGCTTTTCGGACTTCATGACTTCCAATTGCTTCTCTGCATCGCATAGCTTTTGTTCAAGCGAAATTATTTTTTCTGCTTGAGATATTTCAGTTGATTCAAGAGCCGTGATCTTGTCCGTTTGAGCATTAGTGTCTATAATCGGGACGCGTTAGATCTCTATATTAACCATTCTTAATTTCTTTATTTACCTTGCTTGAATTTCTTTAAGACGTTCATTAACTTGTCGGTTTTTATTATCCTTTCCTTAATACTCCTAATATTGTTGTTAACGTTAGGATTGGTTTCTGCAGACAAGTTGCTATCGGTTTGGTCGTTTCCCGACATGTGGTATATATGGCTTTTTTTAAAAAATTGGCAAAGAAAAAAAAAAAACTGCCATGAGAAAAAAAAAAAAATGGGCGTGTTTTGACAATAAGCAGTCACGATTGATTTTTTTCTCGTATTCGGAAGAAATTGATTTGGGGTGCGAAGAAAAAAAAGATTTCCCTTAATACAATAATTAAGCAAATGTCTGAACGAGTAAATGAAAAGACAAGGCGATGTGGTTGAGGATGATACTAACTTTTTTCTTAGGGCCGTGGTCATTATAACAATAGAGGCGGAGAGCGTGGAGCAAGAGGTGGAGGACGCGGCGGAGGACGTGGCGGACGTGGCGGATACCACAACAACCAACAGGATAAGCCCAAGAAGGAATCCATCTTGGATTTAAGCAAATACATGGAAAAGAAAATTCGCGTGAGATTCAACGGTGGAAGAGAAGGTAGGTCTCCCATTCTTTTAAAAGAGACCCGGGCTGAACTTTCTAATCTTGTAGTTGTTGGCACTTTGATGGGTTACGATCCGTTATTAAATTTGGTTTTGGACAACACTGTTGAATACCAGAAAGGTACTAGCAAACAGTAGTTAAAAAAGGAGTTGAGACGCTAAAATACAAGTGTATGTAAAATCTATAGATTTAGAGACTGGCTATATCACAGAAAAGACAAGACAATTAGGATTATCTGTGCTTCGTGGAACTGCCGTCATTCTCATTTCTCCCTTTGACGGTATGGAAGAAATCGAGAATCCCTTCTCCCAATAAAAAAATTGTAAATTTATCATTTTTATATACAAAAGACACAAATGTCCACAACGTGTGTGCATGATTATTCCAAACGTTTAGAATTGAGGGGATGCGTCACCATAAAGGGTTGCCCAATCAGGCGGATCTAATTTAGTTTTCTTTTTTATTGGAGGATGAATTTTGTGTATTTTTTTTTTCTTTTTTCTTCTTCTTTCAATAGATCCATCCAAACGATTAAATTATACCATACATGAGCTCACCCAAGCTAGATTCAAAAGAAGAGAAAAGTGAAGGAACACAATCACCTGTAGAGACTAGTAAAGTGTCGCCAGAAACAACTTGGACAGCAGTATGGGACGAACGTGCTCAAGCTTACTATTGGTGGAATACAGAGACGAACGAGACTACATGGATCAATCCAGATACTCCTGCTGTCCAAACTACAGCTGTAGAGACAACAGTAGAAAAAAGTAATCCTTTAGATTTCTTGCTGGATAGAATTGATACCGAAGTGAAAAGAAAGTTAGACGGTGAAGTAGAGCCTGCTGCTGGTACAACTGAACAATCACAGTACTATGATCAATATTTTGATCAGCCAGAAACATCCTATGCTTCCACTGCTCATTTCAATGCACGAACAGGTCGATTCACTACCCAGAATGATGTTGAACGTTTAAATCCAGAAAATCTCACAATAGAAAGCCGTGCTAAAAGACAAATGCAATTCTATTTCGATGTGGATACTTATACAGAAGAGAGAAACCAGCAAAGATCTTTTACTGAAGATGGAAGAGTCGGTAAAAAGAAGCAATTAACTCGCAAAGAGGTCGAATATTTCAAAAAGATGAAAAAAGAGAAAAAGTCAAAGAAGGCTAGGGAGTGGCTATTGCAATAGATTCAATTTTTAGACAACACAGTAAATAAAATCATTCGTTTATCCACGCTTGATACGTATACCATTTGGCAGCTATGTTCAACTACCATAATCAATCTCGCGTTATGTATTTCATGCCTGTGTGCACACATTTACCAAAAAAAAAAAAAAAAAAAAAAAAAAAAAAAAAAAGTGACTGCCTGATCACGCAAAAGTTTGCTGTAGGTCAATATCGCGTCGTTATTTTTTTCTCTCTGTTCTTTCTTTTGTTTACATCTTGTATAAGACCCTCTTTTGTTAATTCATTAGGATATAATAATTAAATGAATAGGTAAACAAAACAAAAAGGGGTTGGGGTTGGGAGGAAAAAGAAAGATTTCTCCGTTCCTTGTAATTAACATAAAGTTAGTAGCAAGAAATTCTCTAGATCAAAGAAGAGCGACGGCAGCAATTTGCCCAACTTTGTTTTCAATTTCAATGGAAGCCAACCTGGTAGTCCTTTAGCTTCTCCTGGTGGGTTTGGGTCAAACAGTAATCCCGCCAGTCCAGCCTCCAGCAGCTTTAACTTTGGCACGAATACTTCTCAGTCATTTGTCTTTGGCGACCCAGCAACTACACCATCTGCTGCAGCAACCGCCTCTCCCACCACAAACACACCCTTTAGTTTTAGCTCCCCTCAGTCTAATAAAAGAGTCCAATCCCAACTGGAACTTGGTGCCTCTGAACGTGACACCTTTCGTCGTACTGCTTCAGACAATAATTTGGCCACACCAACCAACGCTACTCCTACCAACTTGGGCTCATTTACCTTTGGTGCTGCTCCAGTAAAGAGCTCTTTATCAAGTCAAGTATCCTTTGGTTCAACTGATTTCAGTATTGGTGCTACCCCAGCATCAACAACTGCCACAACAAATCCAACTAACACCCCCTTTTCCATTGCTGCTTCATCCACGCCTACAATCACCACCGTTGCCGAACCTACAAGCGCTTTTGGTTCAGCAGGAACTAGCAAGCCTTTTACATTTGGTTCTCCTGCACCAACATCTACTGCTGTCTCCACTGCCACCTCAACACCCCTATTTGGTGCCTCACCTTTAACTGCCGATAAACCAGCATCAGGGAATACACTTCCATCATCATCCGCTGCTTCAGCTGTACCTACTACAGCACCGACTGGTGGATTTTCATTTGGCTCCCCAGCAAGCACAACGGCTACATCTGCTCCAAAGCCAGCTTCTGCTGGTTTTTCATTTAGTGCCCCAGCTTCAGATACAGCCGAAAAGATACCATCAACCACGTTTTCATTTGGTACTGCTCCATCTGACGCAGCCAAACCGGCAACACCAGCATCTGTTTCCCCATTCGGCGCTAGCACCGCCACTAAATCAAATGAAATCCCTGCCACATCTGCTGCTAGTACACCTAGTAATAACAGTTTTTCATTTAACACTCCCAAAGTTACCGTAAGTACTCCCACTACCTCCACTAGCAGCTCCAGTCCTTTCACTTTCGGTGCACCATCTTCAACTGCATCACCTACACCTGCTACATCTACCACTACTTCTGCCGCAGCAACTACAACTACCTCGACGACAGCAACTACTTCTGCTGCTGCTCCAACATCCTCTCTTTTTTCATTAGGCACACTTACAGGAGAAAAGGATAAAAAAGCAGGTACGGTCACAAGTGCTCCATTCACATTTGGTGGTAGTACTACTGCCAGTACTGCTCCTGCTGCTACAACCTCTATTCCCGCAATTGATCCCAATAAGCCCAACCCATTCTCGTTCAGTAAAATATTGGATGAATTAGCTCAAACCGCTGCACAGCCTCCAAATCAAATATATGCTTCATTAATTACACCTAGTGTAAATGCATTACAGTAAGTTTTTTTTTTCTTTTCTTTTGGATGATAAAAAAATTGTTAATCCGTATGAACGTTAGACAAAATCAAATCGTATCACACACAAATTTCCGTATTGATAATATTTTATCCACAACACGCTTCACTGAACTTCCTGAACAAGCACAAAAGGAATTGGACGAGTTGGAAAAATACGTTCGTTTGGAAGGACAACGCTGTGAATATATCGGCAATCATAAGGTGCCTCAACACGTCAATGTGATGAACAAGGCAAAAAAGGACACCGAATCATTGTCACAGGTACAAACTTGTAAAAACGAAGTTATGTAAAGGCAAAAACAAAGTATTAATACAGATACGTTTATTAGCAATTGGATGCATTTTCAAGTACATTAAAGGGTCAAGTGGAATCTATCGCATCCTTATACGAAAATGTGAAAACACAATTAAGACATGCAAACGAAGGATGTGCTGTCATAGAAGCTTGTAAACATCCTGGAAATAATGCCAGATGGTTGTTTGGGTACTCGGAATATGACAAGTAAGAAAGAAATTAGACGACATTGCTCTTATCAAATATTAACATTTATCTCCCTATAGTTATTTCTCTTTACTTGCTAAACAATTGGGTGGAAGATTAGAGGAATACAAAAAATGTATCTGGGAAATTGAAAGAACCGCTGAATCCTGGTCGCATAACAGAGTACAATCACCCCAAGGTAGGAATGATTTTTGAGAGCGAGAAAGAGCGAGAAAGAGCGAGAGAGAATGAATATTGACCTTCAATGTCTTTTCTAGATATTGCCGATATTATGCGTGCTCAAAATCAAGCCTTCTTGGCACTATCCAACAAGGTTGCAGCGTTACATGAAAGTGTTAATGTGGAGCTCCATTATTACAACCAATATTTGAAAATGTATTCATAAGACATGTGTATATATATTTTTTTACCTATTGATTCTTACTGCCGTCATTTTTGCAACTTGTCACTCGTCACCCACATCTATCATAATAAAAAGAAAAATGAGCTAAATAAAAATCAAACTATAACCAGCCATCGTGTCTTTATTATACTAAGCGTGTTTTTTGTTGCTTAGTTAGGGAGTTGATCAACATCAACAACCCCAACGTCAATAAGACGGTCTGCTGATAGTGAGGCTGGACAAATTTGTTACGCATGTGCCATAGTTCAAATATTGTACATTTGACTGATTGGTTCACGATATTCGAATATCGATTCATCGTCAATCATCAAATCTTGTGATACTATCCTCGTCAATGCTCGATGGCATATTTATAAACAATTAAACCTCGTGAGAGCAAGGTTTTCAGCGGCTGACGGGTCAGTGCTGACTATGCTTCTAACATGTCCAAACTGTCCAAGTATATAAGACGATCGTATTCTGCTCATTCAAATTCTTTATAACAATCTGACTATTATAAACAATGACTAACACTGAACAAGCTTATGGAAAGTGGAGATCCAAGTAGGTATTCCTAGCTTCCAATTGGTATAGTACTCATATCCACTTTCTAGATACATGAAGACCTATAAAAATGGTCTCTACGTTTACTATAAAGAAAAAAGTGAAGGATCCTCTGCCATGACATGTTCCGAAGCTCACGGTATAGTCACAGTACGTACTACATTATAATTAACATCACTAACACTAGGTAACAAATACAGGCTATGGTATGCTTATTGCTGTACTAAAGAGAAACAAACAAGATTTTGATGGCTTGTATCGTTATTTTCAATCTTGGAAAAACAAGCGGGGACTGATGCAATGGCAACAAAAGTCTTCTGGTAACGGCACTTTTGTTCCTGGAGATGAAGGAGGAGAAAATTCGGCTACTGATGGCGATATTGACATAACCACTGCTTTATTTCTTGCTGCCAAAGTATGGGGCAAAGGGGAAATTGACTATCGTGCTGCTGCCACTTCATTAGCCTCCAACCTCTGGAAGTACTGCTTCAACCATGACACTTTCCTTCCCCTTGTAGGTGATTGGGCTTCTGCGGGTGACTCAGCTCATGTCTTGACCAGACCTAGTGATTTTATTTTAAGTGGTTTCCTCACTTTTTATAATGTAATATTCATCTCAAATTTTATCTGTTGAGCACATTCTAACCCCTTTTTTGTTGTTGTAGGAGGATAAAGCACGTCAGGAAATCTGGGCAAAGGTAATTAGTGCGGTCATCAAGACCTATCAAGCTCAACTTGCACTTCATCCTGATACGGGTTTGGTTGCTGACTTTTTGACTTTGGACTCCAAAACCAAAACCTATAAGCCCGTTACGAAGCAAGTTTTGGAAAGTAAGCATGATCCTGACTATAATTGGAACTCCTGCCGTGTACCTTGGCGTTTGGCTCATTACTTCAAGCTATCCAAGGATGAAAAAGTAAGACCTCTTCTTGAGGCAGAAGCGAAATTCTTTGGTGATGTATTAACCAGGGGTCGTAATGATACTGAGTGTCCTATCCGAGCTGGGTATTATCTAAATGGAAAATCCTATGTCAACTACAGCGATAAGGCCTTCAATGCACCCGTTAGCTTTTTATTCAGAACTCTTGGTCAAACTCAGCAGTTGCAACAGATCATGAAGTATATCAACAAGGATACAGAGTCAAGTTATTATGGCGATACGATAGCCATGCTTGGTTATCTGCAAGCAGAGGTACCTTATTAAGAGTATTTCTATACATAATAAAATTTCGACCCCCTTTTTTTATGTGAACTTCTTCTTCTTTGCTACAATAATTTCTTCTCGTTTTTACTCTCCTTTATCATTTATTTATTTTTAGAATAGTAGATTTCGTTTGTTTTTTCTTCTTCTTTTCCGTACTATTTAATTTCATGTATAATCGCATACTTATTACGCTTGTGGTAGGAATACTATTTAGCGCTTACACGTTGTTAGTTGCAGCAGATAATAGCCTTATTACCGTCAACAACCCAGTAGCAAATCAAGTATTGACGCCAGGTCAGCAAGTTATTGTCCAATATACAGTCAATGGAATACCGCCAAGTAAGTAATTGAATTAAAACTTGCTTTCAACTAAAAGTAACACATATAATAGATGGAAAACCTGTTACACAAGAGATTCCCAACTATCCCAATTCAATGGATGTAATCTTTCGCTGGACAGGAAAAAATTCCATCAGTAACGAGTTTATCGCTTTGAATGGTTTAAATACTGATCCATATCCCGGCAGTCTCAAAAATCAAGTCTATAGTCATCGATGGAAGTTACCCAACTGCCACTTCTTTCGTCGTTATCAGCCTTCCGAATGGACATTTGCCATGATTTTTCAAACACAGTACTCAGAGAGCTTACCCGTTCCAGTGAATCACCATAACGCAACCAAAAAAATAGTAGTTGTACCTTTAGGTCCAAAACAATCCAACATTACGCTTCCTCTTTCTGTGGTTTTTAATGCTACTCTAATGGCAGATCCTCATCATAAAGGCTGTTAAAAAAAACAGTGTACTCACTCGTTGAAATTATTGTCTTCTACCCATTTATAAATTTGATTGAAATATTTGTCTTTAGTTCTTAATGTACCAAGCATGTCTATAATTAATATTTTATTTTTCACTAATATCAGTTGTTTAACCCCGGAAAAAAAAGACCAGGAGTTATAATAAGGGGAAATGTACAATGTGGATCAAGTTTAAAGTCATGCGTCTGTTGTACTGTCCATAATAAAAGTCTGTGTTGAAAAGGAACGCTTTTTAATAGAAGCTGTCAATCCATCATGTCATACTAAAAACCTTGTTTTACCATTGTATACGTGAGTAATTCAATATTTACCCTTTTATCTTGTCTTGAATGGTCGTTATAACGCCATTTTGTATCTTCTTTATTTACAAGGTACTTTAAATATTTAAAAGTCTTATTCCCGCTTTTGTCTTCGATTCCAAAGACACGTTGCTTAAATACGATTGGTCAACTATTTGGCTTTCGATGTTACACTTTACTTTTGAAAGTTTATTCATGCGTGTGTTATTCATGTCATCTATTGTCCTTTTTAAGCTGTCACTCAGCCTCATATCTATGGGCTGCCTGTGATTAGCTTTCCACGTCGTAAAAGATGACCGAAAGGCTATACTGAAACAGATCGATCATCTTGACAACCCTATAATTGAGGGAATATGTTTATTGATACACACAAAAAAAAAAAAGTAGACTAAAGTAGGGAGTAAGATAATTTTATTTACAGCATTATGTAAACAAAACATAAACAATTTTCAAAAGAAAATGAGCATCTTTTACAATAAAAACGCTATCCATGCAAAAGTAAAAGTTGCAAGTGCATCATGATTGTAGGATTTTCATCATTGAGAGTAAGCTTTTACTTGTATACATTTATCAAAAGCTATACTCTTTGTTTATCTGATGTCATAATGAATTAATATTCTCTCACATGAAGAGATTTTATTTTCTAGGCTGAAACAGATAAACAAAAAAAAAAAAAAAAAAAAATCAAAAAAAAGGTATAAAAGACAGACAGATTTTAACTTTTAGAAAAAGTTCGAGACGATCATCACTTAACAACGGCGCTTATATTTAGTGATGTGCTGGCGAGTAATCTTTTAGAGAACTCTTTGGGACCTGGAGACGTCTAGTATCTTTGGGGGACCTTCTGGTGAGCTTTTCAGTGTTGCATGGTATATCTTGATGTGAACGGGGTAAGTGTCTAAAACCGGAGGGAGTATGTGGGTTGTTGGATCTTGTGGCTGTGAGGAAAATTCTCCCGTGGGTGTGGCGTCCCCTTTATCGGCATCATAAATCCTGTAGTGATCGTTGGGGTGTATCATGTCCGTTTCCGCTATTGATTTTCTATACATCTTCTATACAGCCATTGAAATGCTGTATACTTTTTGTATAATGGGGCAAGTTTCTCAAAATTAAGGTAATCTACTGCTTATCAGTATGGTTTTTTTAGGTTTTCTGCTCTTTACGCTCTCGTCTTTTCTTATAAATAAAAGATTCGAGAAGGGAATGCATAGATACAAGCCTCCGCGCGGCCATTCCCGGGCAACACTCTTTTGTAGAGTGGCTAGTGTGTATCTCTTTTTTTTTTGTTCTTTAAATAATAAAACATGTGCTTTTTAAATATTAAAATAGTCTTTTCATTTGTTGTCTTACATAAAAAATAAAATAGATAGTGATCAATACAGTAGAGTAATTCAGCCAACGTTTACCATAAACTTGACGCGAGTGTCAGAAGTAGGAAAGATAACAACTCAGAGTTTTAATAAAGCTTGTCATCAATGAGAATCCGGGTGGCAAAAAGAATAAAAAACGTCCAAAGAAACCCATTTAGGTCTAACGGACACACAAACGGTCAACTTCACTGGTCAAGGGCGAAAGCACTAGCCAACACTTAAATGAGTTGAAGGAATTTAGACGATGAAGCAAGCCATTCATCGGGAAGTCTACTATGTGTAGCTCAACATTAAAATTCGTATGAGTAAGAAAAAGGTGTAATGCTCCATTAAGTCAAGTCCATAATAACCACCTGGGAAGCGTTTATCGAAACTGCTTAACACTATCCAGCTCCCTTTTTTTTTGTATACATGCAAACTTTATTTATTTTGGCCAAATACAATGAAACCTATATCGTATAATGCTTTGTGATAGTTCATAAAAAAGTGTACAACAAAAAACTGATTATTGAGAAGACAACAGTTTTTCAAACCCAGCGCAACTGTGACTTGACGGTTTTTACAATGCTAAAAAGAAAAACTCCTGCTCTTCTTTAAGTTAGAAGTTTCTTGTAGCAATTAATTTATTAGCAGACTTAGAACACAATTTTTTTTCCCGTATAGACCACAAAAAACACCAAGTATAAAAATGAGTGTAAGTCGGACCCATTCTTTTTAGCCCATATCTTTTTTAAAGACTAAAGCAAAACCGAAAGGATCAACACCATGTCAAAGTGAAGGAATTAAAAGCCAAAATCGCTCAGAATGAAAGAATGCGTGATAAGGCTTATCAATTGAAGCCTTTGCTTACAGACCGCAACGCACTCTCGCAATGTGACACTGAAATTCGGGAGTGTCAAAAATATATTGACTATTTTCATGACGAGCTTGTCAAGTTGGAATCGCGAAAAGATGCCGATACTTCAAACACCTTACTGAATACGAATAAAGATCAGACACAAAGTGCTAAACGACTTAGTGGCAATGAACCATCACCTCGTCCAAGCAGCACAGAAGGTCGTGATATCAAGAAATATTCAACTTTGGGTATTTTTCTATATTTATTATGCAAATTATGCAAAAGTTTAACCTTCTCCTTATCGTCCCAGATTTGCTGACAACTGAATCTTTATTCAACAAGTCAAAGGTTTCTTTAAAGTTGCATGAGTTGGAGTATAAACTTGATGTGGAAAGAAAAGTGTTAGCAGGCATTAAAACAATGGCTGACGTTGTAGATAAAGATCCTTCTTCGAGTGACAGAAAGAGAAAGATTGAACTTCAAGGTCAAATGAACGAAAGCATTGAAAAATTGAATCTACTCGCAAAGGCTCTGCGAAAATATAAAAGTCTTTATATTGGTGAAGATGATGATGAGGATGATTATGGTACTTCAAAAATACACCTGATTCCTGCCCCACACGTATATTTACACATGTAACTTGTCTAGAACTAGAAACCCCTCCCTCAGCACGCATCCCACCCGGTTTCAGAAGACCAGTGACGGGTTTATTACAACTAGAGCTCATACAAGCCCGTGGCATTGCTCATGCTCCGACACGAATGTTCAAAACACCTGATACCGTTGTATATGTCAAAATTGATGGTAATGTCGTGTACAAGTCGAAGTTGTCCCGCAACGATAAATGGGGAGACGTATGTGAAACCCATGTAAATAAGGCTACAGAGGTCGAAATTTCAATTTATGACCAGGAAGCAGAACGTACTCTTCCCATTGGTATCTTTTGGTTGAAAATCACTGATATTGCTGAAGGCCTACGTAAAAAGAAGATTCAACAAGAGAGTGGTCCTGGTTGGGTCCCCGCTGAAGTGTATCAAAAAAGGGAAAGTAGGCATGGGCCTAATCCTGTTCCAAACCAGCCTCAACCTCAACAGCCAAAGCATGTAGAATCCACTCAAGAAGGTATTCAAGCTTGGTTTGATGTTGAACCTTCTGGTGAAATGCTACTTCGTGTAAACTTTGGTAACTGACCATATTGTGAAACGATATCAGTCCTTTTACTAATACACTTTTTAAGTTCGCGAGGCCGCAAACCGTCGCCCCCTCGATAAGCTCGGTCGTGCTGGTGCGGTAAGACAAAGACGCGAAGAAGTTCACGAAATGAACGGTCATCAGTTTTTCGAAAAAAAGTTTTACAATATTATGCGGTGTGCTCTATGCAGCGAATTTATGGTCAATAACGGATATCAGTGTGAAGGTACATAACTGGGTTTCTTTTTTAAAAAATGAAGGGTCACTTAAACTTTGCTTCTATAGACTGCAATTATACTTGTCACAAAAAGTGCTTTACAAAAGTGGTTACCAAATGTATTTCCAAAGCAAACGCTGATCGGGATTCCGATGAAGATAAGCTTAATCATAGGATACCCCATCGATTTGAGCCTATTACCAATATTGGTGCAAATTGGTGTTGCCATTGTGGTTATATGCTTCCTCTTGGTGCAAAAGGAGCAAAGAAATGTTCTGGTAAACATCATTTTGTTTTGTTTATATATATATATCTACATGATTGAATAATGGCTATTTATAGAATGCGGAATCACTTGTCATACCAAATGTCAGCATTTTATTCCTGATTTTTGCGGTCTGTCCATGGAAATGGCTAACCAAATGCTATCTGAAATTAAGGCTGCTAACAAAAGAAAAACCTTGGATGGGCCTGTCACTCCATCTACTTCATCTAATGCGATCTCTAAACCAACCCGTTTATCAAAACACGAGGATAATCTATTGACAGAACAAATGAGCCATGTATCAATAAATCAGCCAAATCCCATATCTACTCCTCAACAACAGCAAAAGCAACAGAATATCGTATCTACCGGACGAACACAAGCATCAACACCTCCAACATTACCACCCCATGGGCAGCCTTATGTTCCTCATCAATATCCAATGGTTAGCAATGATTCCAGCCATCATAATCAACAGCAGGGCCATTATTATACACCCACAGCTGGTGATACTGTGAGTGCTCGACCAGGACATGTCGCGCCACCTTCTAAAAAAGATGCCATATCGAGAGTACATTATATTGATGTTAATTATTTATGATCTGTCAATATTAACTGACTTTTATTATTTAGCCACAGGCAAAGGCCCAAATGCCACAACAACAGGTCACAACTCGCCCAAATGATAGACGAGTAACGTTGAATGATTTTAATTTTTTGTTCGTGCTCGGTAAGGGTAACTTTGGTAAGGTCATGTTGGCTGAAGACAAATATGATAAGAAGTTGTATGCTGTTAAAGTGTTAAAAAAGAGGTTTATTATCGACAATGATGAAATTGAAAGGTAAGATTAAGTTCGTTTTATTTATAAAAACATAAAACTGATAGCTTGACGATAGCGTTCGTTCCGAAAAACGTATCTTCCAAGCAGCAAATCGTGAAAGACATCCTTTTCTTATTGGACTTCAATCGTGTTTCCAGACTGAATCTCGTGTCTATTTTGTTATGGAGTATGTTAGTGGTGGTGATTTGATGTACCATATTCAACGGGAACCATTCTCCGAAAGAAGAGCCAAATTTTATGCATGTGAAGTGCTATTAGCGCTTGAATATTTCCACAGCCAAGGTATTATCTACCGTGACTTAAAGTTGGATAACATTATGCTTGGCCTCGATGGACATATTAAGGTGGCAGATTACGGTCTTTGTAAGGAGAATATGTTTCAAGATGACACTACTGGTACATTCTGTGGCACACCAGAGTTTATGGCACCCGAAATTCTGTTGGAACAGAAATACGGTCGTGCTGTGGATTGGTGGGCATTTGGTGTACTTGTATATGAAATGTTGCTCGGCCAGTCACCTTTCCGTGGTGAAGATGAGGACGAAATTTTCGATGCAATTTTGGAAGACGAAATTCTCTATCCTGTAAATATGTCAAGAGACTCTGTTTCGATCTGTCAAAGAGTAAGATATTTATCACTTGTTCTTCATTACACGCTTTAATTATTTGTATTTTATTAGCTATTGACACGCGATCCTAAGAGAAGATTGGGTTCTGGTCCATCTGACGCTGCTGAAATTAAGAATCACCCCTTTTTCTATGGCGTGAACTGGGATGATATGCTTGCTAAGCGTGTTTCTCCCCCGTTCTGTCCGTCTGTGAGTGGGCCTTTAGACACATCCAACTTTGATGAAGAATTCACTCGTGAAATCCCTGCTTTAACCCCAATTAATAGCGCCCTAAACCGTGTTGAGCAACAGGAATTCCAGTCGTTCTCGTATGTTGCCGATTGGACTCAAACAGCCCCATCTCATTATTAGTCTGTATGTATCAATGATATTCCCTCCCCCATCTCCTCCTCCCTCTATATATATATGTATATATATATATAAAAGTAAATAGCGGCCGCATTAACAATTATTATGCAATGTTTGATTTATTTATGTGGACTTATGAATACGAACTCTCTCCAAATAAGCATCCCAACCGGCTTGACGATAGCGTTTAGCTTGAGCTTCAACTTGATCTGGCTGGCCATAAATACCACGGCCAACAATGATCACATCTCCACCACTTTCCACAATCACTTGATGAGGAGTTCTATACTGTTGTCCCAAGCCATCTCCCTTAACATCGAGACCAACACCGGGTGACATGACGACAAAGTCTTCGTCATCAAATTGGTTCATTTTTTGTTGGGCAATGAAACCAAAAACAAAGTCTTTGTTGCGACGGGCCATCTCAACAGACTCTGTGGTATAGCTGCCTTTAGTCAAAGCACCCTTTGATGACATTTCAGCCAACAAAAGCAAACCGCGTCCAAGAGGAAGACCAACTTCACCGAGACCCTTAATAATACCTTCACCAGGAACGGTATGAGCATTGGTAATGTGAGACCAAGAAGCGATTTTGTAGATACCACTGGCATACTGGTGTTTCACAGTGTTACCAATATCAGCAAATTTACGATCTTCAAAGATCAAAAAGTCGTGTTTCTTGGCCAAGTTTTCTAACTGTGCAACCAAATCAGCGTCAAAATCTTCCACGATGTCAATATGGGTCTATTTTACAAGTCGCGTTAATACATTTGTGCAAATGGTGGCTCGATTTTTATTATTATTTATTTTACCTTAAGAACACAGACAAATGGACCTACAGCATCAGCAATGGAAAGCAATTCCTTTTTGGTTGTAACGTCGACTGCGACAGAAAGGTTAGTTTGCTTACGCTCCATAAGTTCAAAAAGAGAACGAGCACAAGCGTTGGGGTGCTGCTTTGCACGCTCAGTGTAGGTCTTGTAAGTGTTCATTGGTAACTTTTGATTGTTTGTTTGTTCTTCAACAAAGAAGAGGATTTATTATGATTTAATTAGCGGGATGAGTAATAGTAAAAAAAAGTAGATGGAAGTCACGAATCCTCCTCTTCAATTGGGGATAATAGGCCTGAAGATTTACGATCCAGTAAGTTCATTCGCAGGTTTTCAAGTGGCTGTTGTGAAGGAAGAGTATTATATACTCTTTTGACCCATTCACTCTCCATACGAAATATCACCCAAACCCATCGTCTTATAACTTCTAGCAGTAGAAATATACTGGCGTCTAATTGTCTAATATAAATATGTGAACTAAGTTTCAAACTCCAGGTGATACGAAATAGGAAATCAAAGAATATGGCAGCAATGTACCAAATATGTTGCGAAAAATAAAGTTGACGTCTAAAATGAATGATTGGGGTGGAGTGTCTCTTCGGTGGTAATGCCATAATTTTATCTTGGTCACTCTGTGTTGAATTGAATGATATATTTACAAGATTCCAATCCATTGAGATATCCCACCAGAATGAATACATCGAGTTGATAAACACAAAAAAAATCCTATTTCACATATTAATACTTTTTGACTACGAACTACCCCCCTTTATGTGACCATACTGATTATTTACCAAAGTTCGAATATACCGTCTTCATTTAAATACCAATGCTTTGGTATTGCTCCTGTTTCCGCGACATATATTGCTGCTTTTCTTTGTATTGCTGAAACAACTATGACAGGAATGGATGATGTGTATTTTAATCCGTTGAACACATGGCGTCTTTCTCTCGTCTCGATAAATTCGGATATACATTGCTTTAGGCGGATGAGATATGGAACACTAATAATTGGTAATTAGTTATTTGCATATCGACATTATATATTCAGAAATCTACCATATTAACAAAGGAACCATGACATCTCGATAGTAAAGATTGTGTGTATTATCCATAAAATATGAAGAATTGTTCCCAGCAAATATAACACATGAGGCTATAAAAAAATCTCCAAATACGTTTGAAAAACTAGTCAACATGTCTGCAAGGATGATGTCCGAAAAGAATACTGGCGCCCAAATGTTCAATGATAAAACTCTCTTTGACATTCTAAGAATTGTTTAGTGATCATCCCTTGTTGAGGCTTAAAAGTTAGAATTTTACCTAATGAACCGAATTCTTTCTTTTCTGTATAAGGCTTGTCCAGGCCAGAATAATAAAATTATACCAGACAGATATGGTAATATAGCTATACTTGGTAACAGAAAGTACCAGTATAAGCACAGGTTTGCCAATACCAGCATTGACAATATCCCCGATAAAACGAATACAGGTTTATACAAAGGTGTGTGTTTATCGACTTGATGAAGCTGGAGTATTGAGACAGGGTCGATGCCACATTTCGAAAGGATTAATAGATTAAGTGCCCAACCCCATATACCTATAGAAAATAGAACGATCGGTCTATATGTAATAGGCAGAATGGCACCTTCTACATCCATGTGAACTAATTCGTAATCTCAGGAAGGAAAAGAAGGAAGGAAAAGGGACTTTAAAAAAGCAAATACGACTTTTGTTACACATTAACTTTAGACTACAAGCACACAAGTAGCTCTATTTAATGTGTAGTACGCCCTGATACAAAATGCAACATGTATTGCCAATCTTTGTAGCACTAGTCAAATGTGCCACAGGGTACTGTCCACAAATGGACTTCTCGCCATACCCATTCACACTGTAATATGGGACACTTTAAAGTAGTAATGCGGTTCGAGATCCTAAATAAAAAATACTGGTATATTAATGCATTATTGTAAAAATCAAATCAGATAAAACAACTACTTCGAATTCTATGTACGCAATAAAAAAAATATACATTGACTGCAGTGGTTACAACGTTAGATTTATTGTTAAATATAATACGTCTGCAGCTATTGCTCCCCCAAAAAAATCAGTACAGGAGGCTAGTAATTTTAGACTCCTCCATAATTGCTACTTTATGGTAGTTATGCGAAGTATATCAATGCAAGTAGTATTGGAAATGTACTACGTATTATGGTAAAAGATTACTGATACGGATGAAGTGAATGTGCATATACCATAACTAGCATAAACTTTATTTTTAAAATCCCCCAATGTACCGTCAAATTTCATTCAGTTAACCTGAAAGGATTTATAATTGAGTGTCCAATGTTACTTCGCTTTTTTCGCGGTCAGTTTGGACGTAAAATTATGCCGACAGCAATTCAACTGGAGATATTGCTTTTGGAAATGAAAAGAAAAACTTCAATTGATTTTCTTTTTGTTGAATACAGGTGAATTAAAATAACTATCAGGAGAATAGTTTTACGTCTTATTATCATCGAGATAACATAAGAAACACATTTTAAACTTTTGACCCGGAAAGGGAAAAAAGTGAGTCTGATCCTTGCGGCTGATTCTCGAAGATACCAATATTATTTTTGCCAAAAAATACACTATATAACAGCCATGGACATATTAGTAATAAATTTTTTATTTTCAATTTTGACTGTTGGGCTATTATTGGTACATATGTTTATTTTTGGTTGAGGCGCTACAAGTATGATTCCATCCGTAGTTTGTGGTAAGTTACAGCAATAAAAATTAATGGGAGTGATTTATTTGAATTCGTAACATAAAGTTGTGTTTTCTCCTTTCCCCGTCCCTTTCACCTTTCTTTCGCTTATTGCAGTATGACTTACACAGCAGCATTACTCCAGTCTATCTTTCATCTTCAAAGGTACTTATGAAAGACACCTTTTACTTCGTTTTTTTTCCCGTTGTATATGCCGGTTACTTGCATTTAGCTCCTATATTCATCATTTAAGCTCGATTTTTATTTTATCTCTTTTTTTTTCTTTTCCGAATATTTTACCTTCCTGTCTTTTATTATACAATAGCTTATACGATATACACTCTTTTTTTTTAAAAAACATATAGAATGGGAATTTGTCAGTCTGGGGAAGATACCCGACAGGCTGAAAGAAACTGTCAAATTGACAAACAATTGGAAAAAGATAAAGTTAAACAGGAATACAAAATTTTACTTTTAGGTATAAAAGATTTATACTTCCTGTCCAAGATTGCTATTAAATCATTTCAAATAGGCAGCGGGGAGTCTGGAAAATCAACAATATTGAAACAAATGAAGATTATAAACCAGAATGGTTACTCAAAAGACGAATTGAGATCCTGGAAAGTCATTGTATATAGAAATTTAATAGAATCAGCACAAACTTTAATTCAGGCGATGACAGATTTGGGTTTAACATTTGATGACTCGTCTAATAATGTAACAATATTAATATAAACTGCATATGATGACGAATAACACTATTCCTAAACACAATCATATAGGAGCATGCAAATGTCGTTACAAGCTATCAATTTCCAGGGGGTAATAGTATTCAACTTGATACTTCGGTAATTGATGCTATTGAGAACGTATGGTCTGATCCAAAAACGAAATCGTGTATACAGGAAAGAGTTAGTGAGTTTTATTTAATGGATTCAGCGCCTTAGTGAGTGTTTAGAAAACTAAAAATTACAAAACACCTGTAATAATCTTAAATAGCTTTTTTGATGAGGTTAGGCGTGTTGGAAAACCCGACTATGTTCCTACTGAGCAAGATGTGTTACGTGCAAGGCTTAAAACTACCGGGATTACAGAAATAAAGTTTCAGCACAAAAAACAGACATATATACAGTAAGTTAGGAGTGGCTTTATCTTAAAGGAGAATACAAGATGCAGAGCTGTGCATTATGCGTGTATATATGTTATGCAGGACCCTTTTTCTTAACATAAATATTAATATTTGTACATGTTATATATAACAGTATGTTTGACGTGGGGGGACAAAGATCTGAAAGGAGAAAATGGATTCACTGTTTTGACGCCGTGAGCTCGATTATTTTTTGTGTGGCTTTAAGCGAGTACGATCAAGTGTTATTAGAGGAGACCAAACAGGTAACTACGATAAACAAATTGCGACTACTTCTTTACAAACATTTCTTTTCCTTTGGTAGAACCGCATGTTGGAAAGTATTGCGTTATTTGAATCCGTTGTTAATAGTAGATGGTTTGTACGCACCTCAATAATGCTGTTCCTTAACAAGGTCGATCTGTTCAAAACAAAAGTTGCACGAGTTCCTTTAGAGAAATACTTTCCTGATTACGGAGGTATTTGTAAACGGCAAACAAAATAAACAGCAATTGATTCTTAACCTTCTAAAAATAGGAGGAAACGATATTAACAAGGCTGTAAAATATATATTGTGGAGATTTCTTCAAGCTAATAGACCCAAACTAAATGTTTATCCTCAGTAAAGTTAAGTGAAAAAGTACGTTTATCGAGATACTAATACAATATCTTAGTTTAACTCAGGCGACAAATACAAACAATGTATGTCAAATAATAATACTCGATTAACCATAGGAACTAATTATATTAATTTTATGATAGATTCGTTTTGTATTCGTTACTGTTGAAGAAACGTTACTACAAAACGCACTAAAGGCATCCGGTATGATGTGAGGAAAATTCCTTTTTTGCGAAAAAAAAATGTAGCTTGGCTCCCAGATGTTTTCGACTTATATTACCACAAAAAATAGTGTGATTACATGAATATATTTCCCCCTGAAATAAAGTAAACGGGAAGAACGAGTTTCTATTATCGCCCTGTATTTTTAACAATTCGTTAAGTCAACTCCTTATTTGAAAAATCTAATCAGTACACGAATCAGAAGTGTGGTGATATGATGTGTGAAGGCTGATAAGTAACAATCTATAGTCCGTTGTACGGTTTACAATTTTATTAATGACGAGTTGTGATAGACAACATTATGTATATAAGACATTTTTTTCTTTACAAAATAATTTTATATTTTCTACTCTGCGGGGTTACTCGTATTATTTAGTTTGTAACACCAATGTCCTCTCTCATAAAAGCTTCTGATGAAGGCTCTCTTCCGAGGAAAGACTTCAAAAGATCCATACCATCCCTTATAAGAGCAGCTTAGTACACATACAATAGCATATAATTTAACTACTATACCTGCTACTACCCTTTTCGAGAACATTTTTACGATAGGAGAAACCAGCCTCAGCAGAGAGGGTATCCTTTTCAAATCTACTAAAGAACATATCACTGGAAAAGACCTTGGACCACATGTAACCATAATATCCTATAACATGTATAAAAATTGCATTAGTATACTCTTTAGACAGATCACAGTCAGTTGCATTTACCAGCATCATAGCCACCCATCAGATGTCTATATTTATCAGAACATATTAGAAAATATTGCATTGTCGTAGTTTAACACTTACCCAAAAGCAGCTTGACCGAAAGAACCCTTTGGCAAAATTTAGTATTATTGCTTAAAAGAAATGGGCTAGACCTGACTTACCTTGGGGGCAGCGACCAATGAAATCTTTTCACGGAGCGTATTGTAAACCTCGGTGGTGTCAAGATTTTCATCTGAATTGTGAAATGACTTGTCAATACATTTAAACTTATTTGAAATGTGTATATATGTATACCTTCAGAAGTATGAATAGTCATATCATACATGCCAAAGAATAATTGACGCAAGTTTTGGATAGCAGCATCAACATTCTTGGCCTTAACAATGCGTTCAATGATTTCATCAGAAATAGGTTCGCCAGTCTCAAAATGAGAGGTAAGGTATTTGAGTGACTTGGGATCATAACACCAATTCTCTAACATCTGAATAGATGGGAAGGTTAATTGTAAACAAATATAATATACTTCTTTCTCTTTTTCTTTTTTTACCTGAGAAGGTGCTTCAACAAAATCTCCTTCAACTGAAGTTCCGTGGAATCTGGCATATTTAGTGCGACTACATAAATGATGCATAACATGACCCTATTAAACATATAAGAACACGTCTGTAAAGTCAAATTACATACGTACCAATTCATGAAACAAGGTAACAACATCATCATGCTTCAAAAGAGATGGCTTGCTGGCAGTACTTTATCATCTGTCATATCAGAATATAGAACATTATTTGGATTTTAATATCACACTTACGGCTTTGTAAAGTTAGCAACCATAGCAGCAATTGGGGCTACACGCTCACCATTTTCAGCGATGTAGGAGGGCTGGAGAGGAAAGCAAGCAGCATGGGAATCTGTAATAATGTAGATATCTAATTAGTTATCTTGTTAAAAAACTAGAGTCGTTTTGTTACTGTTACATTTGTTATCACGAGGAAACAAATCAAGGTACATGTAACCGGAGAAGCTTTTGTCCTCAACTGCATCCCAGCACTCAAAAAGTTGAACATCAGGGTGCCAGACGGTAGCATTCTCAGCAGAAACCTTTACAAATTTGAGACCCAAAACCTTTTCATAAATATCCAACATTTCTATATGATGGGTCAGTAAGAGAAAGTAATTTAAAATTGAACAGACAAATACTTTGAATGGTAGTCTCCAAACTGAAAAATTTCTTGATCTCTTCTTGATCTACAGAATATTCATTCTCAAGGAGAATACGCTCATAGTAGCTAGAATCCCAAGCATTGAAGGAGCCATCGAATTCTTCGCCACGTTCAGCTATTTATATAGAGGGTAAGTGTTGGCTCCGTATTGGGTTTCATATTCCTCATACCTTTTTCAGTCTATATAATAAAAAAATAAAAAATAAATCAATAAAAGTTTATGCCACTGTGAAACTGTACCACAATTGATCTTACTTTCTTAATTTCTTTAAGTCTTTCAATTTCCTTTCGTCCAGGAGCGTAAAGCTTATCAGCTAAATCGTTCAAGAACTAGAATACTGCTTGTTAGCAATTGGTATTATTCTAGTTTTCTAGACCTACAGTCTCAACGGCTTCAACGGTCTTGGCCATTTTAACTTCAAGCACATAAGCGGCGTGGGACTTGTAACCTAAAACCTGTGCAATGGGTAAATACAAGCATATTCAAATAGAATGTTTTTTTAGACCATACCTTGGCAGCTTGGCGACGGAGCTTAACGGCCTGTGTTGAATGATGGAGAAAATAATCAGTTTACTATCTCCATACACATCGTAATCATTACTCACCTCTTCAAGCAAAGCAATGTTCTCTTGGTTACGGGATTCATAAGCTGTATTATGAACCTTACGAGTATTTTCATTCTTACACAACTTGAGTACTACATTTATATATATTAAAAGGTATTCTTTCTATAATAGGTAAATAATGACTTACCTGGACGAACATCTAAACGGCGAACAAAAATGATAGAAAGTGATTAGGATATTTGTGTGTTACCAGTATAAACCTTCCATTACCAGGATACCTGAAAGGAATTGATATGTTAGAGGCCGTTTTCGCTGTTTATGAGATTACTTACTTCATAGTCAAAATGTACTTGGTAACACCGTCTTCCTCTTCCTTTTTCAATCCGTCTAAATTTTAATCGTGAGAATTTATTCGTCACAATTTTTTATAATAAATACCCAAAAAGTCATCATCAAGGCCTTCTAATTCTTCCTACAATAAACAGTGAGTAGTGGGATATTATTATTTTTAGCTGTTTTATATCACTTACCTTTGTAAACTTAACAGCTAAGATAATTTTGTATTAGTTTAAGTAGCTTTAAGAACCAAAGAAACACTTACTGCTGCTTTCACGAGACCAGTTTTTATTGAACTCGATACAAACTTCACTTAAGCGCTTACGAAGTTCCTTAAATTCATCACGCTTTTCTTCTGAGAGATGAAGACCGTTACGAATAAAACTACGTTCAAGTTTACGAAGAAGACGAGCATCCTCAGCATCTAATGTATCCAAATCTGTCTTGGAGATATAGCTTTGAATCACGGTGAAAAGGTCATGACGCATGCTTTGCTCGATACTAAATTGATCATATTTAGTCTCGGCAGCAACTGATGCCTCACGAATATCGGCGTCGGGGGAGATTTGGCTCAAAGAGCTAACCAATTGGGCCTTGCCTATTTAATTATGCATTTGATTAAATTTTGGCTTAAAAGTAATTATTGATAAACTTACCAGCTAATTCATTTTCCATACGGGCCAAACGAACAACAATATTCTCATAAGTCTGTTCTTCAGGCTTCAAAGCAGAAATTTCATCATTGACAGCAAGTTCCTCTGCAATAATATCGTTGGTGATACTTTCGACTTGTGCAGCATTAATGCTAAAGTCAAGAGAAGGGGCTGGAGCAGTTTGGGTCATATTTTTAAAATAAAGAGTTGAAAAAGAAAAAGACGCGTGGGGTGAGTTTTTTAAAGTAAGCCAACCTTTCTGAAGTAGTCACGGTTTCCTCTAAAAGTAGTCATCAACTGAGCGACAAATAAACTTTAGATTGTTACAAATTTATCCATTGCTGTGATGTACTACAATGATATAGAAACTAGCAATATCTTGCTCTATCATGAATTGATGTTTCAAGTTACCTTTGAGAATGACCGGATTCGCGTAAATAAATCATTAGCGATTCACAAGTCTTAACAACCTGCTCGATCACACATGACTTGTTAAAGTATGTGTTACGCTCCTCCTGTTTCCCTGCTGAAGTATATATAATCCAAACAGATGTGTCTTGTCTACTTGTCAATCACGAAGTGATACCCTGTTTATACCAGCACAAAGCTTAAAGCCAACCGATTACCTCATTTTCATGATTGGATTTTGAAAACAAATGGTTGAGACCACCCTTCTTACACAAAGAAAAAAAAAGGCTTATTTATTATTATTATTATTCTAAGCTACAGTAGTAGTAGTGGCTTCGTCAACAGGAGCATCCTGTATAGACATTTCACCGGTCTTTCCGGCCAAAAATCTTTCATTCTCCAAACGTTCAAGTTCCTTTTCGGTTTCTTCGCGATCAAAGGCACTGAAATCAATAGCATCTTCCTCATCATTGTAATCTTGTGCAAGAGAAGGATTGAAATCAAACAAATCTCTACCAGACATACCTTGTGATCTACCAGCCTTAATACGGTTTTCTTTAGACTTACGGGCAGCAGATTCTTCGGCAGTCTTTTTGTCAACACGAGTTTGTTTCCAAAGTTTGAAGGACTCAAGGGTGACGGGTGTTTGATTGGGACCAAGCTTATGACGTTCGCTTTCCAAAAACTCTTCAAGAGAAATTTCTTCCTTTTCGTCAGCTTTTGAGTTCTTTGACTTGAGGATGAAACCAGGAGGAAGGGCATGTTTGTATTTACAAGCAGTACCGCCGTTGGGACACTCCCAGAACCAACCATACTTGCTGGATTCAATAGCTTCCAAAAAGAACTTACAAACGATATCAGTGGGAGGTTGCTTTCCAGATTTACTCTCAACAACTTCTTCAAGCTTCTTTTGATCCCAGGTATCCATGGTATCTGTTACGTGTTAGTGTTTGACAACAATCATAATAGTATGGATATCGGCTTACCATCTTCTCTGTGGTCAGTATATAAATCCTTCTTTTCCACTTTACGGCCAACGTTCAAATCATGCGCAAATTTACACTTAGCACCTCTTTCACAGTTTCCAGCCTTGAAATGAACACAAAGAACAGTCTTGGGGTCGACACCAAAAGCAACTTTTTGAGGTGTTTGAACAGGTTTGAAGAGTTCTGCCAATTCTTCTCTCTTCTTTTGCTCGAAAGCTTTCTTTTCAGCAGCAGCATCTTTAGGCTACGTGTATATATGTTAATACAATTGTCTTCCATTTAAAATTACAGACTTACAGGAAGACCAAGTCTTTGCTCGGCATTGTGTTTAGCCTGGGTATTGACTTGTTGGATAAAACGTTGAACCTTGGCAGACTTGTTTTTGTTTTTCATACCAAAGGTCTTGTCCTCTGTGGACTTTTCCTTCTTTAACTTGTCTTTCTTGGTTTGTTGTTTCTTGGGAGGCATTTGGTCAAGTAATTTGTTTAAGAAAAAAAAAAAGGCTAAAATTCTTCTAGCTTGCCACTAAAAAAACATTTACACTGAACAAGTCACAGGCAGCCTTTCAATTTTCAAAATCCCTCAAGTAAAACAACAGTCCCGTCGAATATAAAATTCAAGCTAGATAGAGATAAAGTATACACCTTTTGCGAACAACCAGCAGAAACAAATGGCACACTTGCAAATTTTTGTATAACACACACAAAACTGGCACTGTCATTATCAAAGATACGAAATGTACATGATTTCTACAGCAGGCTAAATTTGTGTGTGCCATTTGTTTCTGCCATTCATTTTTGCAAAAGGTGTAGTTTAGATGAGTTGAGCCTCGGGTTTTTATTGATTGATCCTGGGTGAATACCTTGTCAAAATACTGATATTGAAACAAGTATGGATTTAATGAATAACTGAAAAAAATGCATAATTATTGAGCTTGATTTATCTTTTTTTCGAAACAGACCTTGTTTTGAAGGATGGGTACGTGCGTTCTCTATCCTGCCTGAAAGTAAAACTAGGTCCACACTTTATGGCACTTCAGGATATGAGATAAAGCTCACAAGATTGCCGCATATATCTCGACTACAAATTTTTTTTATTATGACATCTCTTTTCACACAAAAATAATGATATGCACTTTTACACAAAGGTTTTTTATTTATTTTCAAAATCTGTGGACTAGACTCGGGTTGGTTTCTTTTTCTTTTGTTGCTCTTTACGCTCTGCAGCAGCTCTTGCAATAATATTTTCGATTTCCGATCTTCTTTCTGCTACTTTAATACGGCTTTGTTCCATATTAAAATAATGTCTTAACAGTAAAGTGCTTATGACGGTCAAGCTACCCAAAAGGATCATGACGATGAGCATGTAAATATTTGAATAATACACAACATCGTCAACATCGTCCAAAGAATTGATCAACACAACGCGAACTAAAAACTCACTCACCAAACCAAGACCCCAAACACCAGTTAAGGCACGAAGGAAATATCTGAAAGTTGAATAGTAATCCCAAAACCAATCCCAATGTTCACGAACAGTATTTGAATTCATGAGTACGTTACTTGATATAGCAATTTGTCTTGCAACATAAAACATAAAGGGTCGAAGCACATGGTAGCGCCAACGAAGTGGGAGTAAAGTTATTATCAACATAGTACCCATAGCTAAAGTCATCGCTGATTCTCTCAACAAATAAAGTTTTGGGTCCGATTGCACAAACGCAAGTATTGCTGAAACAACAAACCCCATTAACATCAATACACCCATCATATCAACTTTGCGTTCTTTAAATCCTTTGTATACAACGATTACTGCTGTCGGTAACCCGGCGAGTAGTAAGGCTAGCAGTGGTGATACAAACCCTCTTAATACATAATACAAAATAATTGGCAGAACAAGTTCAAACAGCATATGAATAGCCATCCCGACAAAAGCGTGCAATAAAGACCGTCTATTTGGAATCGATGACTTGAAAAATGTGGGAACCCTGTGGACACCGCGTGATTTTGGTGCTTCATTTAGCAAAGGTGTGGACGATGTTGCGCTCCCTAAACTAGACGTTCGGCTCATATAAAGAAAACGATAAAAAGAAGAAAAGGGGGTAAATCGTCGGAGGCGGAGCACTTTTTTTTTATTTCCTAAACACTGAAGCACCAGTAGAATGACGTACACACGAAAAATATTAGCTTTTGTCAATGAGTTCCCGTGCGTAACCCGGACTTTTTGTAACTATTGACTCGTTGGATCCCTTCCTTGAAATCCATACAACCCTTTTTGTATATGGTTGTGTTCGATTCTTACATGGTAGAGCAAAATAAAAGGTTTAGTACCTGTGCAAAAATAACTTACTATGTCCGAGGTTTATCAAATCTTGTCAATAATAGTCCGGTCCGGGCATAGTGACTAAACTAGAGCCAAATTTCATGTTTATGTGTTGCGCGGCTGACAAAGTCGGCTTTTGCACTTTTGCCTTGAAAATATTTTTAGAACCAATGGCAGGAATTAAACGTAAAGCAGACATGGAGATTCCGATCACGGATGAAAACGATATTCTAAGGGTAACCTGTCTTGGTGGTGGGCAAGAGGTGGGTAGATCCTCTATTTTGTTAGAGTACAAAGGCAAAACTATTTTGGTAGGTCCATAACTTTTTTTCTCCTTAATTATCACAGAGATGTTTGTATTGTAGTTAAAGAAACCTTGAAATAATAAAAAACCTTTTTTTTTTAATCTGTGATAATTATCAATTCTTTGTGTGTATATGTGTGTCTTTTTATTGATTGCTTTTCTTTCTTTTTGAATCTATAGCTTGATGCTGGTATTCACCCCGCTTACAATGGCTTAGCATCCTTACCCTTCTTTGACGAAATGGACCCCGCTAGCATTGACGTTCTGTTGGTTACTCAGTATGTGCTTGAAGTGAACAGCGAAAGCCGAAGTTTTATTTTTATTTTTTATTGACTGACTGCTTGATATTTTCAGTTTCCATGTAGATCACGCAGCTTCTGTGCCTTATATCATGGAAAGAGTAAGCTAACTAGTGGAAATAAGTATATCAGATTCCCTAATCTTATTATTAGACCACATTTAAAGGCCGTGTTTTTATGACCCATCCAACAAAGGCTATTTATAAGTGGCTTTTAAGTGATTACTTGCGCGTAAGGTAAGTGTTCCATGTTCTTTTTAACAAGAGACATACTAAAAACTATTAACAGTAATATTGGCGATGAAGATCAGCTGTATAGCGAAGAGGATTTATTGAATTCGTTCCAACGTATCGAGGCCATAGATTATCACCAACAAGTTGAAGTCGAAGGCATTAAATTCACTGGTTATAACGCAGGCCATGTTCTTGGTGCAGCCATGTTCTTGATTGAAATTGCTGGTGTAAAGATTCTATATACCGGTGATTATTCCAGAGAAGAAGATAGACATTTAATGGCAGCAGAAAAACCTGAAGGTGCAGTGGATGTTTTGATTACAGAAAGTACATACGGCGTCCAAAGTCATGAACCAAGATTAGCAAAAGAAACACGATTTACTTGTATGTGATTCTATAATTTATCTTTTTTTTTTCTAACTTTCTATTAGCTTTGATTCATGATATTGTCGGTCGTGGAGGTCGTTGTCTTATGCCTGTATTCGCTCTTGGTCGAGCTCAAGAACTTTTATTAATTTTGGATGAATATTGGGAGGCACACCCTGAGTTGGATAGCATACCAATCTATTATGCATCCAGCTTAGCTAAAAGATGTATGGCTGTATATCAAACCTATATCAACATGATGAATGCACGTATTCGAAAACAGTTTGCTATTTCAAATCCGTTCGTTTTTAAACATATCAGTAATTTAAAAAATGTCGAACAATTTGAGGATTCTGGGCCATGTGTGATGATGGCTAGTCCTGGTATGCTTCAGGTGTGTAGTCTACATGGAAGGATATGTGAATTGAAACTAATCATGCTTTAATAGAATGGTTTGTCAAGAGAATTATTCGAGAGATGGGCTCCTGATAAAAAGAATGGCTTGGTAATTACAGGTTATTGTGTTGAAAATACTTTAGCCAGAGTAAGTCCCATGTTAGTATCAATTTTATACTGCCAATTTTTTAATCTTTATTTGATATTTTAGCAAGCCATGAACGAACCGTCTGAATTTCAAGCCATGGATGGCCGTAAAGTTCCTTTAAAAATGTCTGTTGACTATATCTCGTTTTCTGCTCACGTTGACTTTACACAAAATAGTCAATTTATCGACGATGTCAAAGCTCCTCACGTTGTAAGTCTGCTATATAATGTTATAATTAGATACCAACTCGTTTTCATAGATTCTTGTTCATGGCGAAGCCAATGCCATGTATCGTTTAAAGTCTGCGTTACAAAGCAAATACTCAGAAAGAGAGGAAAATATTACAATTTACACACCAAAAAACTGTGATACTGTCAGATTACACTTCCGTGGAGAAAAGATGGCAAAGGTATGATTTATGGACGTATGACTAATCCCCGTTTATTAAAGAACATCATCTTTAGACTATTGGTAGACTTGCTGCAAAATACCCGACAGAAAATCAACCCCTTAATGGCGTGCTTGTAGTAAAGGATTTCCAACTGAATATCATGAGTCCAGAAGATTTAAATGAGTTAGGAGGACTTATTACAACTGTTATCACCCAACGTCAGGTTGTTCCTTTCAATGCAGGCATTGGACTTTTAAAATGGCATCTTGAAATGATGTTTGGCGCAATATCGGAGACCGAACTGGCTGAAGGTGATGGCGCAGGAAATCAACAGGGTACTGTTCTTAGAGTATTTGATACAATTGATGTTAAGAAGCTCATATCGGGACCAAACCAAGTTATTTTGGAATGGGTTGGTAACGCTATGAACGATATGGTTGCCGACTCTGTTTTGGCTGTGATTTTATCAATTGATAGCTCTCCTGCTAGTGTTAAAGGTATGCATGAAACACATTTTGGTATAAATTACACTAATATCTCCTAAACTTTTAGCGAGTTCACAAGCATGTTCTCATAGCCATGGTTCATCAAATGAAAAGGTAGATAAGGCGGAAGATATAAAGAGTGAATTTTTGGATATTGCATCTTTCTTGGAAGCTCAATTTGGAGATGTTGAATTGGATGAAGATGATAACAAAATCACAATAAATATGGACGGTGTTACAGCTGTAGTAGATACCATGAAATTTGTAAGTGATGCATCTATTTGTCCGGTCGGATACTAATATAATAATTAACAGGCTGCTGAATCAGATAATGAAGCATTTAAAAAGCGTGTTACTGAAATAATGGAAAGAGTCAAAATGGCCATTAAGCCTGTTTCCGATATTTATGAGATAGCTTTGTAAATAAATTTTATTGAATGGCATGCTATGAGTTTGCATAAGCCAAAGTAAAAGTGGTCGTTGTTTCCAATACATGAGCATCAATCTTTATTTCAGTTTTACCAAAATAAAAATCGACTTTCAATGGTATCTCGTCCCCAGTCATGCTTGCAGGAGCAGATAAAATAAACTTGCCGACTTGTTTTAATGCAACACCATCTGTAGATCGGACCCATCTTGGGACAACGTTATCATCGTCACATGCATATATAGCTGTTGAAAAATATGGTATAAGAATATTTTACATTTTATAATATAAATATGAGGAGTTACCGATCACAGTTTTATTCGTTGAACTAGTCGTATAGTTATGACTAACAACATGATTGTTTGGTAATTTTTGATTTTTTTTTACGATAAGATTAAACCGCTTGTCACAGAAATCAGTTCCAGTTATCCTATACTCTTCTGGATCTTCGTTACAATCAAAACGACTACGAGTTTCTATACCATATGTATGCTTAGCTATACGTTGCGATACAATAGTAGGCTGGAGTCCTAGCAATACAGCACCTCTAACAACAGCTAATTCCCCCCTTGGGGCAGCACTAATGATGTTGACTCTATCTTTAAACGTCTCTCTGATACGCCTTTCTAAGTAAGGGGACTTACTGAATCCACCTACCATAAAAATGGCATCCATCGGTTTTCTAGCTTCTGGATGATCTAATTGTTGTTGTATTAAATGAATTACTTTCGAGACTACTGGTTCAAATACCCTTTCCATAAGCTCCTCATAGGGAAAGAACAGATTATAATCATCAACACCAATTTTCTCCAATACGGCAGGGTCAGCAGCATACATTGCGCTCGGTATTTCCAAAAAAATACCATCACGTTCATCGTTCTCCCCAAACATTAGCTGGTATTTCCGTCAGTTATTCAGAAAATTTGTTTAGTAGCATCTGCTTTTATTTTACCTTATGCTTTTCCACAAATGATTTTGTCATTTCTTCCAAAGTGATTGGACTTAGAACCATATGCTGACTTATTTTTTCTTTCAAAAGGTTTCGCATATGCCAGTCAAGAAATGTCGACCCACAATTTTCTCCTCTTGCGGTTGTGATTTCTTTAAGAGTTCTATCCGAATTGTCGCCCGATATTTCAAAGGTGACCAAATCAACTGTTCCTCCTCCAGCATCACAGATCAAAAACTGCTGTCCGTCTGTCAAGTTAAATTCCTCGCAGTTTTTTTGGCAATACAAAGCTGCAGCTTCTGGCTCACTTATTAAAGTCAATCTTTCAGGATGATCATCACTTTTTATAATGCCTGCGTTAATAGTAGCTCCCCGCATAATAATTTTTGCTTGATCAGACCAACCAGCAGGCACCGTAAGACAATACCTAATTTTTTCGGGGTTGTAACGGCTACCAAGAGAGTGTTCAAGCTGTAACATAACATGTTTATGAAAACCTTTCAGATAATCTCGAATTACACCTTCAACTTGCAATCCAGGAGGTAGTTCAGGAACACTGGAATCGTTGTTCAACAACAACTTAAATCTTGTAACGAGTTTTTTATCCAGATACCCTTTAGCATACCAAAAATTCTTATACGCATCTTCCCCCCACCACTCTGTTGTAGCAGCACCACATTTGTATAATAAAACAGTGGGGGTTTTACAGTATACATTGTGAGTTTGTTTAGGCCTAAAACTCGGTTAAATGATTGCACATAATATTTTAGTAAAGAGTATTTACCATCTTATAATATCCTCAATTTCTTTGTTTCCTGCCCCTGTATAAGCAAAAGAACAACCGGAGTATGTCGTGCCAAAATCTAATAAAATGTTTAATATGGAATATTGGAATAGAAAGTATCTATATTACCTATGCCGACGACATAATCATAATCTCCAGGTCTGAAGTGGCCCATTTAGTTTTGTATTAAAAAAAAAAGTAAGAAAGAAAACAATAACGTAACGTTCGCGAATATCTTCGTGGTTTTATGTGGCACCGAAGCCAAATAAACATGTATACTATGGTATCACCAGCTTAACCACAAACAAACAATGACCAAATTTTGTTGCGGCAAGCTTTCAATCTGATTTTTCAAAAAAAAAAATTTACTGGACATAGAAACGTTTTTGACAGCAAGTCAATAGTTATTCAGTTAAAATTTGTCGCGCAAGAAGTTTCCATGGCGACAAAAACTAATGTTATTGTTAAATATGCTAAATATGAAAGTAACAAAATATATATATATATATGTATATATTATAATGATAAGGGTTACGCGAAAGAACTACTCATAAAAATATATGTTACATATACCGTAGCTTAAAACTGCATGAATTTAATACAAATTGAATATGTCTAAAGATGTTTATTGGCAGTTTCTTAATGTTTTAAAAAGGGAAATATCTAGATTTAAACTTGTTTTCGATAACAGATGTAAAGTGTGCCACGGTCTTTTAAAAAATTGTCGGCCTTTGTTCATGCTTAGTGTTATTTTGATTTCTTGTTTAAGTTATCAATAGGACCGAAGTAATAGATACTATCGATTATTTTGTCACAGACAGCAATAAAAACTCTCATGTTGAAGAAGTGAAGCAAAGTCTGCCGTGTAACTTGTAATGAGAATTTAGGTTAGACGATATATTTTTTGGCGAAAATATACGTTGTTTATGTTTGTATTGGTAAAGTCCCATGAAATTTGTGGAATTGGTAATACATAATCTTAATGTGTCGAGAAGTTACGAGAAAGGAGGTAGGAGCTTCAGCTTATGGGATCGTAGTCCATCAAGGTGTCATTAACTACATGATTAAAAAAGTTCCCCACGGGTTACTTTTTAAAGAGCGGGAGTCTTACCTTCCCTTTCGCCATTGAGTCTCACGCGAACTTTATTTGATTAAATCTACGATGAAAATCTTTCTTGGCCTTACCCGGTTTAATTTTGTGATATCCGTCACGTCCGTCACGTCCGCCACGTCCTCCGCCGTGTCCTCCACCTCTTGCTCCACGTTCTCCGCCTCTATTTTTGTAATGACCACGGCCCTAAAAAAAAAGTTCGTATCATCCTCCACCACACTGTCTTGTCTTTTCTTTTACTCGTTCAGACATTTGCTTAATTATTGTACTTACGGAACTCTTTTTTTTTTTTCGCCAAATCAATTTCTTTCGTGTATGAGAAAAAAATCAATAGTGACTGCTTATTGTCTAAAAACGCCCATTTATTTTTTTCCCATGGCAGCTTTTTTTTCTTTTTCTTTGCTAATTCTTAAAAAAAAAAGCCATATATACCACATGTCGGGAAACGATCGAACCGATAGCAACCTGCTTGCAAAAGCTAACCCTGATACCAATAATAAAGGCAAGAGTATTAAGGAGTTTATAAATCTTTTTAAAAGCTCAAAGCCAGGTAAATAAATAAAAATAAAAAATAAAGCAGATAACGTAGAGATCTAACGCGTTTTTAATAAAGATACCACTACTCAGACAGACCAGATCACGTCTTTCGAGTTGATTAATAAAGTTCAAGCAGAAAAAAATATTTCTCTTGAGCAAATGTTGTCCGCTGTAGAAAATCAGTTAGACAATATGAATTCTGAATAGATCGAATTAGAACAAGCTGTTGCCTTCCTGGTGGCACTCAAGTCATCATAAATAGGGTTCAAAAAAGAACTAAGGAAGTTGAAGCTGCCTTGGCGACCAGCCGAGAAGCCTTTCAGAGCCAAAATGTAAGTTTACAATTTAATCTCTTTATTATCATAAAACTCATAATTATTTCTTTACTTTAGCTGTATGTGCAAGAATTAGAAGCAAGTAATAAAAAGTTGATGGCCGAGATGAATGTTAAGAAAGTGCCAGAGACATCAAGAACGCACCTCGAAGAGATTGCAGGAAAAGATAATCTCATCCGCTCCTTACAAGATGATAAGAAGAATTTAAAGGCGGAAGTCGAAAGTATTCAAGCAAAGTTAGGCCAGCTTGAAGACGAGTACTTGGTACTGGAAGTGGAAGCAGGCCTTTTGATAACGAAGAAGAAATCCTGGAGTTGAAATATAGACTGGATAAACTTGAGCGTGTCAATCGTGAATCCACGTCTCGAATTCAGCATTTCGAAGTAGAGCTTACTCGCGCCAACGACCAAAAGGAAACTTGGAGGAAGATGCATGAAATAGCCAAAGAACGTGCACAAGAAAGCAACCGCATCAAGTATGATAAGTCAAATCACGATAAGACCAAGCAAGAACTTGCACATATCAAGGAACAACTTGTAAAGTCAGCGGCAGACTATACGATGTCCCAAGGAAAACTGGAGAAGTTGCAAAGTGCTTTTCGTGATTTAAAATCCGAAAGCAATAAAATCCAAAAGAATCGTGACGAATTACAACAACGCGTTGATGATTTGATCCGTTCCAAGGCCCACAACACCGCAGCAATGTCCTTCTCTGAACAAAAAACCACCGATACCAACCCTGCTCTTGTCACCAAGATTCACGGTTTGAAGGCAAGCAACCTCATGTACAAAGACGAGAACAAATATTTGAAAGAACGAGTTTGTAAACTGACGATGGCCTTGAGCAAAAACCAGAATTTGGATGACCTCTTGAAGTCAGGTTCATCAGACGATGAAACAGGCAACATGGTAGACTACATGCATGACAAATCACCAAGAGAATCAAAGTCGAAGAGACACTCTTCTATCTCATCACATCAGCCTACTGATTCTGGTATGATCCCGTCCCGCTCAGTTAAATCAACTTCGTTGTTGAATACAGCTTCCTCGCACCAAACACCTAAACTGTCGGAACCTTCTGTTAATCCTGCTCGTGGACTCAATGTGGCTCTTGGTAAACCAGCTGTCGCCACCCAGCAAGGTCTGGCCAGATCAGCATCCAGATTATCTCCCCCCGTACCAGCACAAGTCCTTCCAGCACGGCCACCCATCCTAGCTGTTGTGCCTAAGGATAAGAAGAAGGACAATCGGTTGACGAAGTTCATAAACAGCCGCAATCCTAGTAAAGTGATCGATAGCCGACCCATCATACTTCCAGTGCATAATCGACCACCTACTACGGAAGAAAGGAGGGCTAAAAAGACCAAAATGGATACGTGATTTATGTAAGTATCTACAAGGACTGTTAGTGAATGTACAAGGGACAAAAGGGGGGTGGCTGATCTAACCTTATATATTTTCTAGTCGTTACTGCCGTTTGCTTTGTTTTCATGTAAATCCCGTCATGATGTTGAACGTACCGGGTATTCCTGACAATGTCAAGGTAATGTACACGGAGATCACCAAACGTTGTAATTGGACCACACAACACCGAATCCCTTTAACAATTGAGACGATTGAGGAATTTGTGGAACTCGAAGGTGTTACAGTGACAAGTGAGTGAAGTTAATAAACCCAACATATTTTACCAATCGCATTTGACTGTTTGAGATTTAAAGCTGTGAAATCCTTTGAGTTGATTTTCCACGTCCTTTACGACTGGAAAAAATTGTACAATACGTTTATCTTGTTTAAGTTATGGACTTTATCAACAAGGGACGTGGCCTTAGAAACTATAAGGAATGGACAGATTTTACTTGGTCTGTCTCTGAGTGCACATTAATAAAAATCAATACGTATAGCCGTCTTGGATACTTTGGTCTCTTACATGGATTTAAAAAATTGAATAAAACGATCGATTTTATTCCAAAAGTTTATAAAAAATAAAAAGGGAGCGACCTTTAGGTCTGCTACGCGTATTTATATTATTTTTTTTTGTTTATGAATCTTATGACTGTTATGTAATATGCTTATTTGTGGGAAAGTTTATTCTGTTAAATCGGAGGTGGGTTCTAGAATCTCTTTGTTTTAGTTGCAGTTCCACAAAACACTGATACATCTGTGTTGTCCAAAACCAAGTTTAAAAAGGTGCTCTTGTAAAATATTTACATATGTATTACCGCCCATGAGCTTGTAACAAGTGCTTGCCGTAGTAATAAAACTATCTATTTGATTCTATTTACCGTGAAATTTAGAATAACAATTTAGCAATGTGGCTTTTTGTAAAAATGATTATTCCGGTAGTAACCACTACAACTACTTCCACAGAGAGAAAAAAAAAAAGGATAACGAATTTCTTTAAAATTGCCAGACGTGTTTACCGTAACACATTCAGCAAATGAACATTGACTGGTGAAATCATATGAACGATGAAGTCATAACATCATAATTATTCCAAATTAGTATCATTTTAAAATAGGAAACCAAGCTAGTCGATTTCAGGCCTACGATGATTGACATGTGCCAAAAATCACAAGTACTGAACATTGGAATTTGCTTAACGCAGTTTATTTTAGAGATGTGATTAAAGATAAAGTGTATAGATTATAAAAGTCGATGGAAACCAGTAAGAATTGATGTAGGTATTACGTATTACAGAAATTTTAAAGAAATACAATGTAAAAGGGATATAGTAGAACGTAAGATTTTTGTTTTTGTTTGTGCGCGCGTCTTTTTTTACAAGTTATCATCTTGAGCATTTAATTCATCAGCAACCAGTCTACCTTGGTTCTGCTCGTCGTTTCTTCCGAGTGTCCAAATTTGAGCAAACCGAACAAATCCAATCGTTTTTGGATCCTTGATTTCATAAAACTCGCCATCACACATGATGCAAATAACGTTGTCTTTTTCATACTTGTGTCTTGTTCTGTCCTTCATGAATGCCTTTGCTTTCTCCCACGCAGAAGCAGATTGTGCTTTTTCTAACTCCCGTTGATGTTCAGCAGGTTCACGAAAATTAATTTCAAAGGGTGAGTCGAATTGTCCGATACGAGAGACATGATCACGAATATTAGCCAACTTCTTTAAATAACTCGTCATGTTTTCAATCGTCATCACTTCGAGTTTGCCATCATTAGCACGCTGAGGCACCCAATTTTCTGGGTCAGTATTACCAGATCGATTGGCTACAGACTCCAAACCAGAAGTAGCTTCACCCCAAAGATCAACTTCACGACCCCTAGTTTTTGGTTATAATTTTAGTACAGGTGTTGATATCACATATAGAAAAAACTTACCAGATATGAGGAATGTTTTGGATTACGAAATCAATTGGGTCGTTACGCATTTCAGGTGCGCCTGTAGCACTGCAAGTTGAAGCACGCTTGTTGCGGTTTTTCTCATCTGGAGTAGGGCAATCAAGTAAGATTTTTCCGTCTTGAGTCAAATTTTTGATAAATCGAGTTAGGTCCGGGAATCTTCTCCAAAATACCCATTTTGAACTTTCATGAGCATAGACAAACATATTAGCCAATCTATTTCCTGCGCGATGTGCTTCAAAGCCACTTGAAGAGCAGTATTAGTTAATGTAGTTTAAAAAGTATGTGTATATCTGTACCAACCTCCCTACGAATCCCTGAACACCAATGGACATATAGTTACTCATCTTTCTGATCAGAGTTGTTTGGTCTTTATCTTTGGGCTCCTTTACTTCAGCTACATCATGACCATCCTTTCTTTCTTTAGGACCTGCTTGGCGTACAAAACCCTCTGGATACGAGGTCATTTTGATTTGCCAAATATCCAATCGCGCAGCTTCTGATTTCTCCAGTCTATCTGATATCAAATCTTCCAAATTTTGTAACTTCTGGCCCAAAATGTTCTTGTCAGGAAGGGTACGACCCCAACCAAGAACTTGACTGAAATCATTACCTGTACCAAATGGAATACAAGAGAAGAAAACCAGATCGAGATTAATCTTGTGGGCCACGAGGAGTTCAAAAACTAAAATCCATATTAGGTTAAAAGGTATTTCGTTTTTTTTTTTATATCTATTTTTTAAATGTACCTGACATAACGGTTCCATCACCACCAGCACTCCAAACATGAATTTGTCTGGTTTGCACAGCCTCAGACAGGACACCTTTTTCCACTTTGCTGGTATTTGAATTAGAGCTACTGTCGTCTACCGAGATAGGATTGGGTGGGACTTGACCGAGATTTACTTTTTCTTCCACCAATTGAATATTTTTGACACCGTTTGCACGATCCTCATCATCCAAAATATTGTGAATCTCTACCTGAACTTGTGGGAACTTACGTAATCGAAAGTGCTGGATCGATAAAGAGACCAAATCGCTGCCTTTTCTATCTCCCGAAAGTGGATTCACAAAGATGAATAAGTAAGTGCTGGGTCTTCCCTCAGTAGGCGTGTCGTTCAATTTGACCGAGTTTTTAATCTTGTGTCCTTTTCCTGATTGTGATAAACTACTTTCATCAAGAGAACCATTGCAGATTGATTCGCTTTCGCTGATAGGAAGTTGGGTATTCACGTTGTTATCTTTTATAAGGAAATATTAGCAAAGCTTTTAAATGAGACTTATGTCACCTTACCGTATACTGGGTTGGCCACTTGTGCACCTTGTGCACCTTGTACACCTTGTGGGCCTTGTGTAGGCAGTTCATATTGGTTGTTAGGTGCGTATGCTGTGTGTTCGGGTGTGTTCATATCCAGCATTATTGGTATATATTAAAAAAAAAATTGGGAGAAGAAAGAAAATGAAACATGAATAAAAAAAAAAGTTATTATACCCGATTAGGGTCATTTTTTTTTGGACTGATGTCATGATGAGACTATAAATTTGTCTTTTAGCTGAGATTTATAATGCGAAAAGCATGGCTTTTTTTTTTCTGAGAAAAAACCGTTCCCCTATTTGAAAACTGGCACATTATTTCGATCGGCTGCTATTTTTATACTCGTTGAGTAAGAGTGATGATGATAGATTGATCGCTACCAATTCTTCATGGTCGTACATGAATTGCCCTTAAAAATCACAAGTTACACATGAAGTGTTTTAGCATAATAGATAGTCATTTATCCGCAATTGCTGTACTTTGTAAACTAAAATGTGTTGATAATCAATCAAAACTTTTTGGAGTCTTATATAAGCCTCTTTATATCAGACTGATGTGAAGGAATAGCTTACGTAAGTAGAACCCTAAAAGAGGTTTTAATCACCTTACAAAGGACTATATATTTGGTTTCCATGACAGAATAAACTAATTATCTTGCATCAGATAGAAAACAAGACAATTGTCGAGGGTGAATAATACAGCAGTACGTAATAACAAACGTCAAAATGATATTATTTCAACTGATAGTATGATATCATTTGGGGAGAGGGGTTTAAAAACTACATCATACATAAAACATTGGAAAAAAAAAGTAAACAGATAAAGAAAATCAGATCAAGACATGTCAAAAGGAGCAACGTGATTTCTTGCGGCCCAAATCTTTAATGCTGCTAAAATATATGGGTTGTTCAAAAATGAATCGAATTATCTGTTTATATTTAAAAAAGAAACTTTGTAAAATCAATTTTGGAAGCAAACACACAAAACATCACTTTGGTAATTATAATAGCAACATCGCCTATAACAGTGAGCTCCTTTATACGTTTCTCTTCCTGCAAAGAAAACAGAAACAAGCTAAACTTTTAAACCTACAAATTCAAAACTTCTTCATCACACGGTAATCAGAAACATATGTGCAAACGTTATATTTATATTTATATTTCATTTATTTAATATGATTCAATCAGATTGTTTATCAGACCTTTTAGCACTCGTGGTTTTACTGATAATTTCATGGAAAATTCGTATAAAAGATAATCTGTCGTCAAAACGTATTGGCATTACTATCATCATAAATAAAAATTATCGGTCAAGAAGTAATAAATAAAAATAGATTACCCATGAAATCAGCAGTGGCATCATTTAAAATTAATAAAGTGAGGGGAACATCCCTTGAGAATATTGATAACCAGGAATCCATTTTCGCACTTTGATAGCCCAAAACGGGAATTAAGTCTTGTTGAAATTACGGTCCATGGCGACACAATTATCAGTTGCTTGAAGCGAATGAAATTCGAGTTACACAAGGGTACACTAAATCAGAGGGAACCCAGATTTGGATTTAACAGAAAAATTGATAAAGAAAAGAAAGTAGAGATAATACAGACTTACAGAAAGTCTTAATGACTTGAACAAAGCTGAATGATATTATTTATTGTTTTATACTTCAAATATAAACATAAAGTAATAACTCTGAGAGTGCATCTCGCTAAACATGTAACTACTTTGTAGTGTTTGGGCTAGATGTAAGTGATACGATTGACCTGCGACGTTCTTGTGTATGGTTTTCCTCTTCAGGTTTGGTGACAATGACTGTACAAGGACAATTGTGTACAATATAATCGCTGACACTACCCAAAAGAGTTCTATTGGAGGAATAATGTTAATCCTTCTTGATGATGACAGCTGATTTCTTTCAAATCGCACAAACCTTTTAATGGCACCCATTTTTCGTGCACCCACAAGTACCACATCCGCTTTGATCTCTTTAGCCTTTCTTAAAAGTTCGGATTTGGGATCACCAACCATTGAAATTGCTTTGCATGCCACCTGTTTTTCTTTACACGTTAAATATCTTTACAAAAGAGCCGTAAAAAATGAACCCATATATTTATCACATTACCTTTCTCTTGTGAAGTTCTGCTGCAAATACTCGTAATAAATGATGACTTTCTTCTCTCCTTTCCTCACTTACATCATCAATAAATCCTGTGGAATCAATATAGGGTGCAACAGGTATATCAATTTGACGAACATGAACCAAAATAACCTATATCCAAGTCTATGAGTACCCTGCATGAATGATAAAACTATGCGTACTTACCAAATCTTTAGCAGGTGTGATAAAATTATCTAAAGCCCATTGAAACGTGACATCTGCAGACTCTGGATCCAGACAGATAAGAACGACGCGAGTTAATTCATGACCTTCTTCGGCGTGACCTTCATTAAAGTGAACCAAGGTATCTTTTTTGGTAAGAGGTGGGTGTTCTGAAGTAGACATTATAAAGTTATGTGTGAAATTAAAAAAGAAAGAAAGAAAGGAACAAGATAAGAATGCTGGATTATTTATTTTAATCTCGTTTTCCAAGTCACAGGTAAAGGGAATTTTTACACCTAAATGGGGACTATGGGTTCACAAGCCAAACCTTCCGTTTTTTTCTTGTCTGTTTGTGTAATTTTCGTGGGGTTTCGTGAATAGCATCACCAATGACGTTCTACAGAAATATTACATTTATTCATTTTAGTAAAAATGGTCATTTTGCTAGACAAAAGGTTTTTTTTATATATATCTTATTGCTCCTCATATTATCCAAAGCTGAAATCACAACGACACCATATAGAATGAAGCAAAAACCTAAACGAGCGGAGTGGAGAGAATTTCCGATCGGGTTGAAAAATTATCGTATCAGCTGTTTGACGGACAAAGGATGGACACAGATTATGTAATCGCTTAGCTTTGTGATTTCCCTATGGTGTGATAGGATCATGATGCAGTTGATGTTATAATTGCATGAGCTCGCCATTTATATTTCTAACCGCATACATAGTTCATATGAACGCGCATCAAAAGTGAGACATATGACGACCAGAATACCAAGGGCCTTCACGGATTACGGTCGTACAGCCAACAACTTTAGTCATTGATAAGTAAGAGTACTTCATTTGAAGTTGTATTAATGATTTGATCACTACTATTTCCAAAGTGAGGACTAGTGCTACATCTTTCAGACTTGGTGTATCATAAAACGTATACTTCTTTTACTCAAAAAACATATGCCACCTAGTAAACAATATTGTTCTCGGGTTATAATGTAACACGTTTAGATGAAAAGTGGTAGGTCTTTAATATACCAAGGTATCATTTGTATCTACTCCAATTTTAATGGATAAATGTACCTGATTGAAGTGCCCGTAAAAGGCCGTGATTAGTCTGGCGGCCAATCAAGAAAAAAGTCGGCAATGCGAACAGTTTAAAAGGTGTGTAATACATATTATTTGTACACACTGGTCAAGTAAGATGCTATTTGAGATAAATGATAAGACGTTAGCAGGAGCAAAGCTCTTAAGATAAGATAAATTAGGGACCACTTGTTACAAAAGTCTTGATTACAATAACTTACGCAAAATACACTGAATAGTTCATAGTTGGTTCGTACAACACAAAAAGGATCAACATCACCATGTATATGGGTCCACAACACAACCACCATCAAGTGCTAACTAAATAGAATTTAAAATATTTAATAAACCCTTGTTTAAGCAAATGTTTTTTTTTGGACAAGAGAATGCCCTCCTTTTACTTTGTAACTCGCCATCAGCATTGTAAGTCCGAAAAAACTTTTGTTTCTTGCATGAATTACCCGCGCCATACAAAAATCAAAAAAATAAATAAAAGCAAATGGGCTACTAGACGAGAATGTCTACACCTAAGAACTCTTATTTTCTACGTAACTTTGTTTTCTACTATGCACTTTTATTTTCTACGTACTTTTATGCGCCTATTTTTTTACGTCTGTGAATACGCCTGTTTTCTAGTATGTGAAGGCTCAAACATATGGAAAATTACATAAACAATTAAATTATCCTGGCATAAGCCAGCTCTTGTTTATCAGCTTATAAATAAAACTCGTTCACACTGTTGAGGATATCATAAATACAATAATAAAGCTAATTGTCACATCACATTAAGGATGGATAATAAAATAAAAGTTAATCGTGAATCATACATTACCCCGCTTGTTCTTATCCTACCCTTGAAGTCTGTACACAGGGCACAACCCTGTGGCGAGTAAATATTTATTCTGCAAAAAGCAATACAATCGAATTGGCCTGGACTATGGAATATTAATAGATCCTGAGCACAAATATTACTCTTGTCGTTTGATGTTTTACTACTGTTGATCCCTCTGACTAATATTTATATACTCAGTATGGAATGGTTAAATTTAAAGACATGGTCATAATCTCGTCAAGGCTGTCAATATACCAAAATCGAGAAGCTAAAATTAAAGCATTATCCCTGAAAATCCTGGACATCTATGAATATATGTAAGCTATATACTTAAGCGGCTTGGAGTTGTCACATTTTTTTAACATTGATGACTTTAGTCTAAATGCAATATATCATGGGACGACAGATTGATGTACTTCTGAAGGGCTGACAAAGTCAAGCAGCAAATCATTGAAATAGATTACCGGTTTTATAATTTAAACATATTCAAACGGTCTTCCTGGATGTTTTTTATTATCACATACCATAATCGAAGTTTTGAATTTGAGATGTTAATAATATCCACAGCAATGATCATAACGTCAACAGAAATAAAAAAAAAGTAAATGTTTGCAGTCTGCTGCTTAAAACGCCCATTCCCAAACATAAGACCATATTTGATTTTTTATTTAAAATTCAGAAACCTCAGTCGGGTGTGAAGAAATATTACAATAGATGCGGTGTAACAGTTACATCATCCTTTTACCTGACCAAATCAAGTATGTTTTTAATCGAACAAATATAAATAATGCCATACACAACCTGATAATTATTTGTAAAACAACTAATCAATTATATGTAAATGAAAGAGAAATTATATCATGCCAAGTAAAACCCATTTACCGTTTGGCCTGCTTGGAAAGGTTTGCATGATTTTTGTACTCGGGGCATTATGAATTTTTTTTTAAGAAACAACCCCCCTGGGTTTGGACCGGTTTTTTAAGACAATGAAAAAAACAAGCCACCAGTTGTTGAATTTTTTCTCTCTCTCTCACTCTTTGTCTCTGCCAAAAAAAAAAATGTTTCGAACTTTGAGACGTACAGTTCACACCAATGCTAAAGAGGAATGGACCAAGGCATCTCTACGCCGTATGAAGAAACCAGAGTTAACCCAGTTAGCCAAACAACATAACCTTAAATTATCCGGCACAAAGAATGATATCATTATCCAACTCTTGACACACCAAACTGCCAAAATTGTAGGCGTCGAGACTCCTTCCAGCTTATCTTTACCCAAGACCAAAGAACAACCAGCTTTCGGTAGTCTGGATAAAGATAGTTATACAGACCAAGATTGGACAAACGCCTTTGAGATGAAATTGGCTCACCGTGGTTCAGCCAGCAAATCAAACCAGGATAGCTCAAAAACATCAAAACCTCACCATTATAATCAACAAATCAAACCAAGTATATTGCTTAAAACAGAAGAGTTATTTGTTGTGTCAGAAAAGCCTACTTCCCCTGTCATTGAGATCACAAAGGAATTGGAAGGTATGGATCCTCAGTGGGTAGAAGCCTTTGATTTAAAAGTGGGGTCAAGAGGTGGTCGTCATGAATTAACAGATACTTTGTCTGCCACCACAACAAGTACACCTGCCATGGAAGATTTAGAGTTTATCACTCTAGAAAAGAAGGGTCTCGGTAAGAAATTCGATCATGTCAAGAAACACACTGAAAAGCACGGCAAAGTGCACTATCACAATGCTCAAAAGCATGCTATCCACAACGAAAAGAGCGCAGAGAACAGTGAGCCTACAGAAAAGAGTGACGAGAAAAGTAAATCTGTTGGGGAGAGTACAACAATGAGTAAACATGTAGAAAAGAGAGCTGAAAAGGGCACAGAGAAAAGCACACTTGCGGAAAAGGATGCTAAGAAAAGTGTTGATAAAAGCGATGAGAAGAGTGCCGTGAAGAGTGTAAAGGGAGAGCATGTAGAAAAGAGTAAACCTGCCGAAAAGAGCACAAATAGCTCAGATACCAAAACAGACGGCAGTCAAGGGACGTTATTCAGTAGTGCACTTGGATCCAGTATGCTGTTATGGTATATTGGTGGTGAAGAAGGGCTTATGAAAATCTGGCACTATTTTTCATAAACACTCTTTATTGTAATAATGATAATAAAAAGATAGATACAAGTACATGTTAGTTTAGATGATTATTATTTTTTTATGATTCATCTTGTGGTAAATCGATAAATTCTTGAATATCTTTTAAAAGTAGATTTTGATCATTCTTTTTAGCAAACTTGTTTAACATTAATGCTAATGAGAGGGGTAGATTCTTATTAGTGGATATATTTGAAATAGATACACTGTTTCAACTTACAAATCACAGGCTCTTCATGCGCCATACGTTTATATAGACGCATACGCACATCTAACTCTTGTCTACGCTCAGAAGAAAAGAGTTTTCCCAAGGTATTAAACATATTGGCAGATTGATCCATGCCAACTGTGCCATCCTTTTGTCCATGCAGTAACAGGATACGTGGCCACAAGTCTAACAGGTCGTCGGAATCCGAAAACAGTTTTTCGTTCTTTTCAATCAAATGCAGTGGCGAGTTCTTCAGATAACCCTCTGTGGATGAACCCATGGCGCGCGACATGGCAGAGACCTTTTCCACACCCCGCGAAGTCTCATGCACTAAATGGGCTCCAATATCATAGATACCAGAGAATCTGTTTTTTTGATTAATATAGGTAAATAATGACAATAAGAGATTAACTTACAATAAAATGCCTTCGACAAGAGGCAGGAAATCCCGGGGCTGGTACTGGTTAGAGTCAGAGATCATATGACCTTCATTCCCTTGCATTTTCATGGATGGATCGTGCTTTTGACTTACATAGGGTGATTCTCTAGATTGAATACTCTCATTGTATTTAGCCTGTTCGATGATATCGGATAAAACTACTTGAGCAGTTAATTGAGCACCTGCACTATGACCCTACAAAGACGATTAACAATAAAATATGATAATCTATAATATAGATATATGTACCATGATGAAGATCAATTCAGGGTCGCCATTAATATCAGCAGCATGTCGATGAGTCCATTTGATAGCGTCACGAATATCTTGATACATGCCTTCGATTTTGACTTGAGGGTATTTACGATAATCTGGAACGACAACAACGTAACCTAATTCACGCAAGGTGTTTGCTAAAGTGGTGTAAATTAATTTGGATCCAGAAGACCAGGCACCACCATACACAAAGATGATGATGGGTGAACCATGGATCATCTTCTTGGTAGGGTGATATACATCTAATTTCGAGTGTTCACTATAGGGGATATCTACACTGTTTATAGGTATGTAAGTCAGTCAATTATTTAACACATATATACTTTTACGCACCTGACTATCTCTTTGAAACGTCTGGTACCAAGTTCCCAGTAACGCCAATACAAATAAGAGACAATGATGGGTAAATAAGTGACCCAACCAAATATGATACTAAAGGTGGCGATATTGATTTTAATCACTCGTGTAGGGTTATAAGGCAAATTGAATTCAGCATCAGTTTGTGCCATAAAGTAATAGGTCACCCACGCAGAAAAATACAATCCCACTAACAAACAAAAAAGGGTCAACAACCGTTTCATTTTTCTTTCTTTTTCTTTTTTTTTACAAATAATGAATGTTAACAATGGTAAACATAATACAGCACACAAAACTAGTACTGGTAAGCAAAATAAAGAGGCCGACACAAACAATGTGTTGGAATGAAACCAAGCCATGGTTGAAAGTATGAAAGAGAAAGAAAAAATAATAAAAAAGTTTTTCCCCCTCTTTTTTTTTATTATTATTATTTAAAAGGGCGAGAGAGTTACAAATTTCCATATGATCAATCCCAAAAATAGAGAATTTAGTGTGGAGCGTTGCATTTATACACCCTCCATTTTTATGCAGCTCAACTCCAACCAATGACAAACTTTACTGCTTACATTTAAAAATAAAAATAAAATAAAATAAAAAACCCTATATTTAGACCCTTCTTTTATTAAATCTTACACCAAATTATGTCAGACGAAAAACCTGAACATGTATTGGTACACATCATTAAAAACTTTACACCTTCTTGGTTTAGTGTAATTATGGGCACGGGTATTTTATCCATTCTATTACAGACTTTTCCCTATCAATTCTATGGTTTGCCCACCATTGCTCTCGTCGTTTATATCATAAACATTGTGCTCTTTTGCATCTTTACCTTAATCACGGCTGCACGCTATTTATTTTTTCCTTACATATTTTCCCTCATGATGAAAAACTCCACACAGTCACTCTTTATAGGCACCTACTCCATGGGTTTAACCACCATTTGCAACTTCACCATCATTGTAATCACAAAAAAGTTCGATTGGGGAATGAATCTAGCATTTGCTTTATGGATCGTCACTGTCATCGTCACTTACTTTAGCTGTATTGTTGTACCTTATTATATTATTGTACATCACAACCACGAACTGGAGAATATGAACGGAACTTGGTTACTTCCCTTTGTACCAGCTGTTGTGACAGGTGCTTCCGGAGGTTTATTATCAAATAATATCGATGAAGGACGAGCACTAGTCATCTTGATCATTTCCTACGTTACTATGGGTATGGGTTTATTCTTGGCTACGTCTATCATTACCATTTACTGGTGCCGTCTTGTCGTCCACAAATTGCCGCCTAAAGAAGTCATTATCTCTTCTTTTCTACCATTAGGTCCTCTGGGACAAGGAGCCTATGGTATGATTCAACTCGGAAGTGCGGGGAAAAGAATATTTGGTGATAAATATATTACGGGATTGGGCGATACGGCTTATGGTATAGGCTTCTTAGCTGCCTTGGCCTTATGGGGATATGGTATCTGGTACCTGTCCGTAGCTGTATTTTCTGTCATTAGAACCACAGTGTATGACAAGATCCCATTTAATATGGGTTGGTGGAGTCTTACTTTCCCTTTAGGCGTATATACGGCAGGCACGTTGGCTATTGGGGATGTGCTGGATTCCATGTTCTTTCAAGTACTAGGTGCTATTTTCACATGCTGTTTAGTGGTACTTTGGTTAGCCGTGTCGGCTTTGACAATACAAGGAGCTGTTACTGGCAAAATATTTTATGCTCCTTGTTTGACACCAATCAAGGACGCAGTGCCGACTTGAGTTTAGCTTTTATATAATAGGGTATTTAATCAATAAATGTGTACATATGACAAAAGTAGAGAAGAAAATTTAAATTTGTTGGCTGGAAGAAACAGTCATCCTCACATTTCTTTTCAACCTCCACATGGAGGAATATTGCTTGCAATGACTCGTCTTAAAAATATGTGGTAAAGGTTGTAGGTACAGGCTGGTTTGTAAACGGTAATTAAACGTAGAAATTGAACGCATGTCTTTAACTAAGGTAAAAGAAGGAGAAATAAACGCGTAAGTCACTAGACTTTTAAAAAACAAAATACAAACTTTTGCCACCTTGTTTACAATGGGGGGTGATACGGATACTTTAGTAAAGAAGCCAAATCTTCGGAACGTCGTGCCATGGTAACGGAAGATATCGCGGATTGAAGTTTGTTATTGTTCAGCGGTGATGAGATCCGTATGTGGCTATAACAACTACAAGTGGAAGATCCGGACTCCCCCACTTAAATGTATAGCTACACAGGCTGAATCGATATATAATAATAATCATTTGTAATTTTAACTTCTTAAAATCTAAAAAAATCTCTGCTAGTCCTTTATCAAATCCAGCATGGATGTGTCCGATTCACTCACTTGTGAGTATGCTGGCTGGATATACTGCTTTCAACAGAATCAATTTTGTCAAGTAAAGTACGTGGTAGTTGCTTCACAGTGATGATAATTGGAAATAAAACCGTTTCACTTCTTATGATATGGCTATTGTTCTTTTCTTTTGCGTCATTGGACAGCAAAAACCCTTTTTATTTGTTGTTTTATTATACCTAACATCTATTATTGAAACTTTTGTCCTTCTCTGGATAACACAACGGACTGTTACACTGTAAGAACAGCTTCTTTCCCTGTCATAAACAATACTAATCGAGCGTAATTTACACACGAGTAATTTTTCCACCCACGCGTCTCTCTCTCTCTCTTTTTTTTTTGGGCGGACAGTCAAGGTTGACAAGTAACTAAACCTGTTTTTTTTAAAAAAAAAAAAATGCATGACGTCTTTACAAACTATAAAAAAAGCCAAATATAATTTATCAGCCGAAGTTTCTTGGTTTTGATTTTTTTTTTTTTTTTTTACTCCCTAAAATACACACAGATGCCACCAGAGGTTAGTATTTTTGTCTAAAATTAAACTCTTTCCCCTGCTGACTTGGATAAATTTAGGTTCCAGCTTGTCAAAAATACGGTAAAAAAATAAATAAATGCTTTTTTAATAACATTCTATTAATCTGTTTAATGTAGCATGTGCGATTCAGGATTGTCTTTCTAAGAACAATTACCAAGAAGCTAAATGTGCAACAGCCTTAGCTGATCTCGAAAAGTGTTGTAAAGCCTTGATTGCAAAAGGCGGTAAGAGTGTTTGTTGTCCAGAGAAAAAGTACAAGGGGTGCATCTAGTGGCTCTTAAATTTCTTCTATTTAACACTTATTATGGGTTTCTTTCTCTCTTTCTTTCTCTTTATCTTACTTTCTACTTTAAATAAATCATGGAAAAACTTCAGGCAAACGGACCGTTTCCTACGGAACTTTTGGTATCCATATTTATCTACACTGACGGTCCCACTTTATCCTCTTGCAGTCGAGTGTGCCATCAATGGTCTAATGTAATTGCTCAGTTTGATCATGTAATTTGGCCCCACGCCTGCCACCGAGATTTCTCCCGACGTAACATTCACCGTTTCTGGTCTCTTCAATTTCCCGACCCTAACACCTTTTCTAACCGTCGCTCATGGCAAGACATGTACCGCATCACTCGCAATTGGTACACCGGCCATGTCAAGGGATATTACCCAACTATCACCAATACAAAGCAAGCTCATCGTAAAGCATGTGCTGTTGTAGGGTCACCACAAGAACAAGGTATGTTTACGAGTCTTACTTTGGCTCACGATGGTCGTGTGGTGCGTTCAAATCCAAATTATCATCATCCTACCACCACACACCAACAACAACACCAACACCAACAACAACAGTACCAGCAAAGTCTGATGCTTCAATCCCCTTTTACCAAAGAGCGTTCCTTTTTGGATGCCGCTGTGCGTGCAGATTTACCAGGTTGGACAGAAGCAGCTCGTGCTCACTCCATTGTGTGCCATTTCACACATCCTTCTTCCAAATGGCTAGTCACGGGTGGATTAAATGGCACTGTCGCAGTATGGGATCTCACCACAAAATCATTAGTGAGGATGTGGCACGGACATCGTGGCCGAGTATTATGTATCAGCATGAATGACGAAGGTAGTAGCAAAAAAATAGAGAGTTTTTGAAAAAGTAACTGTTGATTAATAATTATAATAACACAGCTGTGGTAAGTGGGGGTTCTGATAGTATGATTCGTGTATGGGACCTAGATAAGAATACACAAGAGTGTCACAATAGACCAACACGACGTGGTATGATTGATATTTCATTGTATCTTTCTGGTCGCAGTGATTGGTATCAGGGAGTAGGCGAGATTGCTGTGAATGGACATATCGTTGCCTGTGCACCGGATGCATCTGGCCCTATCCTCTTATTTTCACTGCTGACAGGATCATTGGTCTACGAATTAAAAGCGCCAGAAGAAAGTCCTCATAATGAATGGGTGACGGAGGATATCACCGCCTTCACTCGATTGTGTCTTTCTCCCTTCTTTTTATTGACCAAAGGAAGAGTGCAGCAGTCCAACTCGGCGTCTATACGATTAGTGCCTGCCACCAATGTAGTAACCCAGCGAGCGATCAAGAGTCCCGGTTATGTAACTAAATTAAGCGATAGTAAAACCGACGGGTTGCCCACTGCGGTTGCGCAGATGACGCCGTACCAATTATATCAATATTATCAATCCGTAAACCCCACAGTGGACCCTGTACCGCCTACTGTGAGTGCATGTATAAATGTATGGAATTTACAGACAGGTAAAATTGCCTATCGATTAGTGCCGACGTTGGAGACTCCTTCACAACATTACACAATCACAGATGTAAAGATCTCTCCAGACTCTTCAAAAGTGTTTGCTACCATTGAAGTGCGAGCACAAAAACAGTATGATGAACGTGTCTACTGTTGGGATTTCTCTCATCGAAACAATGAACAAGATTTTGATCTGACTGAATTGGATGATATTGATCCCGTCTTGAGAAAAACAGGCAAATCTTGGGTCTGCTTCATGTAAAATTATTTGTTTTTCTTTTCTTTCCTTATCATTTTGTAAATATTACCACACACACACACACACGCACACATATTTTAAAAATAACTATAAAAAAAACAAATAAATCCTTGTTTTCCTTTTAGTTTAAAACTTCAAGATCTTTTACTTCAGCACTTTTTCTAAATTCTTCCTCGCTAGACTCTTCCGAAGTCTTGTACTGCTGATTTAGAAGCGCAATGGCATTTAAACTGCCTCGGCTACTATAGCCTTTACGAATAGCAGGCGCTAAATTTGTACTGGATCTAGGTCCTGCTTCCTTGGATCCTTTGATCCACGGATGTAAAAGTGCTTCTTCTGCTGTGATACGTTCATTAGGATCAAACGTCAATAATCTATCTATCAAGTTTTTGGCTACCAGTTACAAAGAAAAAAAAATTAGCTTATAAACCAAAAGTCAACTTTTATGCTTTTCTTTACCAGAGTTGGATATATCTGACCAGTATTCATCGTCATATTCGTATTGACCAGACATGATGGATTCAAACAAACTCGTTTGATCTATCTAAAGCATCAATATACTTTTTCTCTTGCCCCTTATAAATTTGTTACCTTCACCCCAAAATGGCGTATACCCACTCAACAATGTAAACTAAAATAGAGGGGAGTATCAGTTTTTTTTTGTCTGTTTAATGTAGAGAAAACAACTTGCCAAAATCACGCCTACGCTCCATAGATCCACAGGTTTGTTGTGTCCTGTTTGTAATAGAACCTCGGGCGCAACATAACCAGGTGTGCCGCATGCCGTTGTTAAAATATCATCTTGTGCTTTTAAAATTTTACTAAGCCCAAAATCTGTAATCATTAAAGTTGCGTCGTCACCAACTGTTTGAAATAGTAACTGGTTCGTAAAAAAAAAAAAATAGAATATAAGTAATCTGTGTGAGTAGTTGAGGTACTGTCTTGTTTATTACATTCTCAGGTTTCATATCACGATGCACAATCTAAAATACGTATGTAAGTAAACAAAAGATGTGTTATAGAGTAAAAAGAAAGAAAAGCTCACGTCTCGTTCGTGCAAATATTGTAAGCCTTCCAGCATTTGTCTGGTCAAATTCGAAGCATCTTTTTCGGTATAACTTCCTTTCTTTAATAGCTGTTGAAATAATTCTCCTCCTCCAGCCAGATCTGTAACAATATACACGGCGTCTTTTGACTCATATAAATTATGCATTGATACAATGTGTGGGTGTCTCACTTGTTTCAAGATATCTAGGAAAATGTTAGAACTTCTTCAAGAAAAATGTTTCTATATATTACCTAGTTCGCTACTCAACATATGCTCCTTGCCTTTCATACATATGTAAGTCTCTCTTCAGTACATAAAAAGATCCTTTCCCTTACCTGCAATTGCCTTCTTTAATATAATCTTGAGCGCAAAAGGTTGATGCGTAGACCGATGAATGCATTCCTTAACAACAGCAAACGAGCCAACTCCCAACGTCTTTTTCGTAATCTTGTAAGTGCTTTCGAGCTCTGGTGGGTAAGGGGGTTGTTCTTCCTTTTTTTCATGCGTCTTTTTAAATAGTGCGACTATGCGCTTCATGATTGTGGTTTTCGTCATTTTGAATGCTTATTAAAGAAAAAAAAAAGAGTATGAACGACAACAACAACAAAAAAAGGTACAAAAAAAACTTTTAGTGTATCGTGTTTTTCATGCACGTGACTCTTTGTGCGTCCGTTTGTCGCGAGTACACGCCTACACACGGTGTGTTTGCATAAATATATATTATAAAGTCAGCCCTCATGATAAGGGTGTGTACTTCATTGTCCAACTATTCTCTTGTACACAAAAGTAAATAAATTACGAACTGTTTATTTAATTCTATATATTTACGTACTTACTCGCTCGCGCTACCAAGTTCAGTTATCCTACAAACAATGCTGCAAGGCACCATGCGTACTGACTAAAGTCACAATGACCTTTTCACGTTGAAAAAAAAAACAATCATGCAATAAGGCTCATATCACGAGTATGTTGGTTTATCAGGGCCATTAAAAAAAGTGTTATTCAGTGCTTACTCTTACTGGCAAAAAATATCTTGGTTTATCTACGATTTAAAAAGACAACGGAACCCATTATTCCTCATAAAGTGTTACTTGGAAAAAACGAAATTAATAATAATTGGCATTAACATGTTATTTGTCGATTATGTAAACTCAGTAAAAGAAGGTTGGTGTGCAACTAAATAATAGATAATGGTTTGCAATGATATGTTGCTTACGCACTATTTTTCTTTGCAGCTCATTACGCAGCTTTTTTTCTATAGCGAAGGACGATATATGAACCTTTGTTTGTTGGTATCCACTTTTTTTCGGCTGATAGCCAAACGATTGCAGTTTGTAACATTTGTAGCTATATCTGACCTTGTTACTGTTTGATTTTTGAGCTTCACTTGCCACGGATTCTACATCAAATAGCCAGTGTATATTTCTAAGGTTTTATCGACCAATCATTGAAATAGTCATTTTTCATTATTATATTTAAAGTTGCAAATGCACATCAGCACATGACTTGAAATGAAAGTTTTAACACTCAAGAGTATAAAGCACACTCCTATAATAATGCTTTCAATGCTTTATTCATATTATCAAAGACACTAGCGGAAGCCAAAAGGGTTTTAATAGAAAATAACCGAGGGCAACATGCATGTGTATCGTACATTATCAGTCTACAGTTACGTTTATAAACCCTTTTTTTATCCTTATACAGAATATCAAACAGGCATGAGACATATGGGATTTTTTTTTGCAATAAAAGAAGTATCTAAAATCAAGTAAAATCGAGCAACATATTAACTTTGCCTGTAAAACTAACATATGATGACTAAATTTCAGACAAGCATCGTGTAAAAGTTGTCACATCCCAATATATATAATCAAGTGGCACAAGCTCTTATAGCTTATGACCAGCTGTAAAGAGACAATTTTTTTATTGATAGCAGTAAGTATTATATATTAGTGATAAAATAAAACATGATAATTCGATTATCTGGGTTAACTGTATAATGTTCTTGGTTTTTCATCATAAAATGAGATCACTCAAACACCATCAGGTTTTTGGATGTGTGGAACGTATTGCACGGCATGACAGTCTTCTTCAATAACATCAGGCCGTCCAAGCGGTGCAGCATTATTATATTGGTCCATAGAAGCTTGTCGTTCAGTTGACACGTTATGATTGTATTGGTTAATGTTATCAAGGCGCTGGTTCTTTATCTCTTGCTTCGGAAAAGTTGGACTTGAATGATCGGCTGCTGAGCCAGATATTATTGTTGTAGTCTGTTCCGAAAACTGAGGAGAGTATGTATACTGACTACCTCCAGGTTGTGCGGAGGACCTACCAAGTTCTTTGTCAATCTCGTCCCAATTAACCATCATGGGTTCTTCTTCGACATGAGCCATTTTTTGAAGAGTTTCAATTTCACGTCTTTTTTCTTCGAGCTCTTCAAGTTCTCGTTGGTGCTTTTTCGATCTTCTTCTTCTGCAAAAAAAGAAAACGAGAGACCCAATGATAACCAATCCCTATTTTTGTTTTTAAAAAGAAATAGTCATGTCAGCTTGAATTGCCTGTTATCACGTCGTGTTATTTATGATTCTGTAGCTTACTCCAGCAGTACAACCTACGGCGATTCCAATAGTTTTTTGCATGTCTGATTGTGTTATTGGTTTAACCCCATTCTCTGATACTACATCAGACACACTGGCCTGATCACCGCCTGGACTGTCAGAAACTGGTTTGCTACTACTGGTGGGACCAGCGTTATCTGTAGACGTTGGAGCTGGAAGTAAAGTCTCTGACTCTGCCTGGGGATGAATATAACTGCTTACTGCTAAAACGGCTGATGGGTCTTTCACGTTTAATATCAATGTAGAATTTGCTGATAAGCCTTTTTCGGTTATTCCATATATGATAAATACAGTGTCATCGTCCACAAGAAGAGCTGTTGATATATAAGTAAGTTAGCACATATACGTATATATGACATCTTCACATTGCATGTTACATACCTGAATGTCTAGTTCTTATCAAAACCTCAGTAGAACTGGGAATAATGTTTTGTAATGTCCACCTATTTAAAACTAAATCCAAGGTATAGCAATAGTCAGAAACAGCTATTCATAAAACATTACGTTAATAACAATAGACATAATCCCTTCGACGAGTTGCTTTAAAAGTTACCCCAAAGATTATCATCCGCTGAGTTTTGGCCACCGTATAACAAAACACTTCTTTTATCGGAGCCAACTATCATAAGAATATGTTAGTAAATGACTTAAATAATATGTTTTCAGAGGTACTGAAAATATCAGCTTTATTCTTACATATTGTTGCAGTATGTAATACTCTATACGTTGGTATATTACTGCCAGTTAAATTCTGCATAGACCATGAACCATCGTTTAAATTGAATGATGGAGCGGAAGAAAAAGTCTGATAGTGATATGTTCTAGCTGGATTTTGATACTCCCCTCCCAGGAAGAGGATACGATTATTGATTTTATCGTAAACAGAAGTTTGGTACGAAGTGAAAAATCTCATACTGTTTTTTTCAGACGAATATTGGGACCACATCTACATAGTATTTAATTAGTAAAAGACAACGATTTTCATAAATGTAAAACTTACATTGTTTGAGGTTGTTATTGGATTCAAGAATGTCAACTTCGCATAACCAATAGTTCTTCTATCGTTTTTCTCGTCGGTATAAGCACTCATATTGATTCCTGGATATGTCCAGCCTTTGTCATAGATACTAGATAAATGAATTACGTTATATTGTAGACTTCTAAATCACACAAGCTGCAAATTTTGATATTACTCTTCTTTACCGCCATAAAATCCAATTCCAAGGCCATGAATATAAACTGTAGATGCTACATATCTAAAAAAGAGAAACCGCTTTTGATTATTTCGAATAATTTAATATTTTTTTATATCACTTACATTTGCCTATTGGCGCCCGAGTCTTCATAATTTGGAAGTGTACTCCAAGTAGAACCGTTGGCGTTGAAAGAAATTGTTTGATGTGTCAACTTTGTAGTAGTAGAAGAAAACCCACCACTTATTACCATGGTATTTTTGTCTTCTAGTCGCATGTGTTGTGGGCCACCTCTCGGCTGAACAAGCTCTCCATTATTTGTAACGATGTATTCCCATTTTGTATTCAACACATCTATCGGTTCCCCACTATGTTTTAATATATCAAGCATAGCCATACTGGTACTTGTGGTTGTGATAGATTTCGCAACAGTTGACGAACCACCAAAACAATATATTCTGTAGGCCAAATACTCGCATGCTAAGTTGTATAAAAAATGCCTTCTTTTAAACATTGAAAAAAAAAAAAAAAAAAAAGTTATCTTGGGCCTACCTGCGTCATGTCTGCTACCTGCATATTGCGCTATCACAAAGTTGACAGTTGCTAAAAAAAATAATAGAGTAGGTAAATTCAAATATTTCATTAACAACAGGTTTAAGCTATTCTTATTTCGCTTTTTTCTTTTTTTACTTAGTTTTTTATTCTGTTTATTTATAATGATTAAAAAAAGAAGTGTAACATGAGTACGGGTGAGGTAAAAAGAATCTTTAAAGGTTAAATAAGCTTTCGAACAAAATGACAGACAACCATTTCGTTCTTCAAAACTACAAATTCTGCTCTATCCGTAACATGTAGCATTTTGTTAAAGAAATTATTGACTATATCCTGCACAGCAACCTAGGAATTCTTGTATTTTTTTTTAAAAAAATATTTATCTTGCCAACTAAGCCGTCGGCAGAGTAACTGTGTCACCCATGAGACATAAACAACTGGTTCTGGTATTTTCCTTTACACCAATTTTTTTCTGATTTACATACTGAATATAGGATTGGTCTTTCTAACTTTCATCCCACAAATATGTTTTCTGCTATCTCTTTTTTTTATTATTAATACCATTTGAAAGCACTGTATGTCCTGCATATCAGTTATTTTATTTTTAATTATTTTTTGGTAAAAGTTACCGAAAGCCCGGAAAAGGCATCAGATTAAAATTAGGTTAACAAAACTAAAGGGTTCCAGGGTGTACAAGTCATGCGAACATACTCAAAAACAAATGTGGCTGACAATAACAACATAACATGTTGTATTTTGAGTCACTGAAGATCACAATTTTCAGCAATCCAATTTTTTCCCTGCATTAATCACGTAAATGGTGCTGTAGCTGAATGATAAATTTTATAATTCAGAATACTCTTAGTTGCTACTTGCTCACCCCATACATATACCATTGTTCATATTAAAAGCGTGAAGGGCTATAAAATTATAATATCTATAAGTCACAGCAGGGTTTTAATACTCGCCCCCAAAGTAATATATACGATTAGTTTTTCTATCATACACCGATTCTCGGTATGCAGAAAAGACATCTGGAAGATTGGTTTGAATAGGATATCTTGACTACGGTTATTCTATAATAAAAATGAATAAGAGGGAAAATTGTACTACGAAATAAAAACAAACAAGCATCTGCTGGTCTTTCGAGAACGTTTAAAAAGTTTACTTCTGTATAACCAATAAATCGCCGGTTCCCCTGTTCATTTTGATATTTAGACATATTTATGCCTGGATAGGTCCAATTAAAGAAAATTGTATCCAGTGTTTGGGAAGCAGAATATTGATAGAATTACGCTTCAAATCCGCCATGAAATCCTAAGCCGTTATCAAGAACATATACCGAAGATGCTACGTATCCGAAAATAGTGGTTTGGTGTATACCTAAAAACGGTTTGCATGTTGTTAATTCCCCACATTTGTCTATTGTTATCAGACACATCCATGTAATTTGTAAATGCACTCCACGATCGTGTTTCTCCATCAGGTTAATGTTTGGTTTTAATTAATAATTTTTTATTATCAAAACCCCAGAAAAAAATAGAAATATATGATTATGAATAATGATTCAAGTGTCAATATAATTCAAAATGATCCAGAAACTTAAATTGTATAATATGTAAATAAAGCACAAATTACAGACCACCATCAGGCTTCTGTAATGATTGAGTTTCATTTGAGCGGGTCGAGAGATCATTGTCAAAAGTGTGGGGTGATTGCATTCCAACAATGCTTTTTCCGGCTGCAGGAATACGTTTATAGGCTTCTAAGTCATTATCATAAACAGTGGTACTAAAATCATTAGTCAATTGAGGAGAGTAGCTATAACGCCCAACAGGAGGACCGGTTGGAACTTCCACATATTTCTTGTCGATTTCGTCCCAATTAACTTCCATAACAGGTTCTTCAGTACGTTCGTCTTTATTTTGTCTTTCAAGTTCTTCAGTTTTAAGTTTTTGGTTTTCGGTTTTTCTTTTTCTGGATAAGCAAAAGAAAATAGAAGCGATACCAATTGCAATCTTGGGGAAATTGTTTTAGTTTTAAAGTGACAAGCTAAAGTTTTACAGTACTTACTACAGCTGCTCCAACAGAGATACCAGCGATAGCTCCCGTACTTAACGAAGCCTTTTTCTCGGGCACATCTGATTCTCTAGGGGGAGTAGAGCTCGAGTTTGGTGACGTAATAACTGGGGCGTTGAGATCAGCATAAGCTTCAAGCCAAGTAATCTTTGAAGGATTTGTTACATTAAGCATTACTAATGAAATGGTAGGGGAATCGGTGGCATCTGTTCCGAAAACAATAAAAACTGTATCGTTGTTTACCGGTACAGCTAAGGCAATAAAATTTTAATTAATATGATGAAGTGATAATTCTAATAAATTTGTACCTGAATGCTGAGTTCTAATTAAAATCGGATTATTTGGGGCTTCTATTATTTGCTGCGTCCATTGGTTAGTGTCGAGATTTACAGTGAAACAATAATCAAGAAGGGCTATTAAAAAAATGAAAAGTTATTGAATAATTGCCTAAGTGGGGGATTTTTTTTTGTTCATTGTTACGTTTTCCGTTGTTTAATGATGTCTGATGACCTCCGTAGACCAAGACGTCTCTTTTATTAGAACCAACTGTAATGTAACCAAAAAAAACATCGTTAATAATCAATTTCAAAACGAAAATAAATTTAAAAAATTATCTGAATTACTTAATGTAGTAGAGTGGCCTATTCTTGAAGTGGGCCCTGTTCCAGTAAATTCTTGCGTGCCCCATTCTCCCTTTGTTAAATCGAATGTAACAGAGTTTGCAAAAGTATAATAGACGGTGTTGGTGCTTGGAGGGGTGTTGTATCTTCCACCAAAATAAAAGATCCGATTACTTTTTGCGTCATAAATTGATGTTTGGTATCTTCCAAAAACAGCTGGAAGATTAGCCTGGGTAGGATAAATTGACCATGGCTACGAGTATATTTGAATAAATAACTGATTTATAATCATAGAATAAACTCACATTTGATGGTTTTCTTATGTCCAAAAACGTCAAACTGGTATATCCAATGTTTCTGCGGTCATCTTCAGTTTCTTCATATTCAGTAACGTTTATACCTGGAAGGGTATAAGTACTATTGAAATGACTATTTTTTAAAGGTTTTAATATCATTCTCTTTTACAGGTGCTACTAGCTGACTCACTTTTCCAGGCCACCATAAAATGCAATTCCGTATTCGGGAACATATGCCGAAGGAGCATGGTAACTAGCCAGAATGTATTTTAGTATTCTCAAGTTCGATGTCTTCAAAAACAAATTATCCTGGTATTTCGGTTTTTACTAACATCTGTCTGACACCATATGGTGCTTCGGTATAATCTGGATACGATACCCAGGATCTGTTTTCTGCATTAAAAGCTATTGTCTGTGCAGGTAATTTTTGGGTTCCGGAACTCCAACCACCACTCATCAGCATAGTTTTTCCGTCTGGCAATTGAACAGTTTGAGGACCATCCCTTGCCCTAAGATCTATGCCAGCTGTATTGGTAGTGATTGTCTCCCATCTATCTTTCAGTTGGTCTGCCGTACTCTTACTACTATTAAAAATATCCAACATTATCATACTTGGATCTGAAATTTTTTTCTCTGTACTAGTTGCACCTCCAAAACAGTAAATTTTGTTTTGTAAATAGCTACATGCTAAAGTTTTGAGAATAAAAAATGTTATTTATGAGCTTAATAGTAGTATATTGTAGCTGTCATAATCCTACATGCGTCGTATTTAGCCTTTACTTCTTGCGCAACAGCATAGTTAACAGTAGTAATAAAGAAACATATAGCAGTAGTAAAAGAAATTTTCATAGTGAATTTGGTCTTCCTGAGTTAGATAAAAAAACAAATAAAAAAAAACAGATGCTTGTAGTATTTATAAGAACCCAATAATTTTTAGTGTAACGGGTGCACAGTTTCGTTTGTAGATCTGCTATGGTAAATATATTTATAGCGGGAATCCATTTGAATAACAGTATTTATTTCTTGCGCATACTGTAAGTAAAAAGCCAAACCGAAGATATCCGCATAGCCGGTAAAAAAGAAATGGCCTTTAAGATTGAAAATAGAGATCCACTGAAAGAGTTCGGCTCAGACGCACTAAATTTTTGGCGAAGTAAATGTATCACGTAATTTGGGTAATATTTTTGGGTGTGCTAAGCCAATTTATCTCACTTGGTTGCACTTCCCATTTTTTTTATAGACATCTTGCAAGGCATACACACCGTTGTGATATAATGCATACTTAATTTTTACAACGTATGGTTTACTTACGGACATGTACTGTCAGTTTTTTTTTTACTCCTATTAAACCTTAAATACCTATAATTCATCTTGTTTCTTTGTTATACAATGTACTGTATTATAAATTAGACTTTAGTGAATATCATTCCTATTGGCTAAAGACGTGGCATCAGTAAATTACACGACAGTCATTATGCGATTATATTTTACGCTTAATCCAAGGGGTCGTGTAACTGACGTGGTATCTTATAACACATATATGTTGACCAAAAAGTCCAATCCCAATTATGATTAAGGTACTACAGGCTGCTATAATTTTATATGAATATTTTAAATATAAAACAACGAATATATATTGCATTGTGGTGACCTAGCAAGGCTATAGCATATTACAGCTAACAAAGGTTTATCCGTGCTGATATCATTTGCGCCATAAGCTTAACACCAAATGTTATACCAAGAACTATTAAGATATTATATCACAAGACTAATTTAGTACGTCTGAGAAATACGTAAGATTTAGTTTAAAACAAAGAGAGTTAAGAAGACTTAACATTTATTAGAACAAGACTAAATTGGTGACTATGTAACAATCGTATACATTTTTGGTCAAGATAGCACTAGAGATATGAACACAGCAGACAGTCTTTTATATAAATACTCGTATAATTTATTTATTAATAAAGACATCTTATAAACAGTCCCAAACTAATGTAGTATTTTTATAATTTTACTTCATCTTAAAACACAATATACATAATATGCTTTCTTTATGGTGTGTTCCAAATCAAAATATTGCCCTACGATGTCAAACCTTAATTCGAACTCAGGAGAGAAATTACTTGAAGCCATAATTTGCATATAAAAAGGACCTTTGCTTTTACTCATGACAATCTCCCAAACCTTTAATAAAGGAATGAAGAGTCCCATTTCATATTCTGTTTATAAACATTTAAAAAACTTTATATACGAAATTATAGCACTGTCATTTAAAACTTTGAAATCACAGTCTTTGGATTGGATGTTGCGCAGAACATTTGTACATCCAGTCAAACAATAAGGTTGTCGCCATCTATTATATAGACTCGATTATTCTTTATCCTGTAGCTATAGGATTCTTGTGACAGTGGATTAGTAATTGCATTAATCTTTCTTGAGTCCGGCTTTAAAGCACGTCCTCTAGTACATTTTCTTAATTATGTTTCTTTGGTTGCTGATCACTTGAGCTGCCTCTTTAATTTCCTATCAACTTTGGTGGCAGTCCTATGATATGGTGATGATGTTAAATTTAAATCTGTGCTTTATAATAATTCTGCACATGATGCTTAACGTTAATCAAAAAGTGAGTGGCATCAGTACACATTTTGTGGCATCTGGATATAGGTTGTTTGGAATCGTATCGGAAGAACTTCTGTTAATCCGCTTTGTTTTTAAATAGTGGGACAAGAGTAATTTAAATTTTTTTTTTTTTTTTTTGGTTTATACTGTGAAGCTGTTGCTACTAAAATATTCGTAACCTCAAAACAACAATTTTAATACACAACTTTGGGATTGTTTTACACAGTGAGCTCAATAGCGACAGTAATATAGAAATGCTAGTGATAATTTTTAAATTTGATTGTGCATGAAACAGCCAGTTGGAGCTTTTACTAATTTAATGAGAGAATTGAAAGGGCATTATATGCATGCAAATGTAGTAATGCATACATTATCAAATTTAGTTCTTACTGACCCATAGACAGGCAGTACTTTTGGGAAAAAAATCTAAATATTCTGTAGCACAATCTATTCTTATTATAGATATCAAACTTAATTCATTTTAACTTTTTCGAGTTACACATATCAGTGGTAAAGGATTCTCATATGATTCTAAGCCTTCAAAAAGGACATTGTACAAAGTATTTTGATTGTAACCCAATCAACTTGTCTTGAAGTTTTCAGTTCTAAAAAATTAACCATTTGTCGTATAGTTACCGTCGCATTTTATTTAAGACACAAAAAAGTTAACAGTGGGGTATATGTATTCTGCCAAAAATACCATAATTTATTGGCCTGATTGTCTCAGCCGTGTTAGACTATGGCGAGGTTGTCTTTGTTTGTTTAAATTTCGAATTAATTACCTGAGCCACATTCATTTTATTTTTAGTTTTATTTTTTATTTTTTACCTGTGTAGCCACAATTGAACCTGATACACAATAAATAGAAAGGTTATTACGGCACTATTTATCATGTCATAAAAAATTGTCTATTACCTATGATTATGCCAAGAATGACCAAGATAGTCACAGCAATGATAATCTTCCACCTAAAATTCTTCCACCACATTCTCTTTCTCACTTTATTAGCTCCTCCATGAAAAACGGCCGCAGCATCATGCATGTTTCCTATTAAACTAGAAAGATAAGCATATATATTATTTACATGCTGTTTCGCTTTTCAGTTATTACGGGATTTGTCTTCGAGGTCCCCAATCCTTTCGCCTCTTTGCATGATCTTGTCAATGTTTTCTTGCATGATACCAACAACTTCATCGACTTGTTTTTGCACTTGATCCGTCTTATTAGTTCCTTCACGATGTTTGTTGGGGATAAAGGGGTCATAAGGTTCAGACCTATTCTGCATTGTTAGTCTGACTCATTTTTTTTAAAAAAAAATTCAGGTACATTATGAAAAAAGCTAGTTTGAGTATGAGGAAGAGAAAAAAAAAAGAGAAAAAAAAAGTAAAATATTGTACACTCCAAGCTTCAAACACCCTTTATTAAACAATAAAATTATTTGTCGCACAAAAGCCTCAGACTACAAAGCCCATCTGTATCACAACTAAAAAAGAAATTACTGGATGTAGAGTTCTTAAAATATTTTTTAAAGACAACTGTCGTACCCTCTTTTCATCTTGATTCAGCTTATGAAAGCCCTCGTTACTTTTAGTTTTTTGTCAATAAATAGTCTATCAACGGTATTTACGTTGTAAGATAGGAATACTCAATAGTTATACTATCCCTTCATAGCTCACGAAAATCTCTCCGTCCTTTTTGCTCCTTTTGTTTAGATCCTAATGGATCCACCTTGCCCCGCATAGTCATGCCCCATTGTTTTAAACTCAAGAATGGACAGTGAAAATAATTTTGCTTTGATTGTTTTCCTTTAATCTCTGTTATTGGGATATTAGATCCATATTTGTACCGAGAATTGTTGAGTGTAATTGTCCTGTTCTTCAAAAGAAAAAGAAAAATATTTTGAGACATCAAGATCATGAGCCTTTTTTTTGTGAAATATAACACCACAAGCCAAGTACTAATTGAAAAATGGCTGTTTTATCGGCATTTTTAAAAAAAATGTACCTTCAAAAGTTCCAAAATGATAAAAAAGTGAATGCTGCATTTTTATAGGAAAAGCAAAATTTACTACAATGCATCTAAATTTGTAAGATTCAAAACAGTAAAATGTCAAGTCCGATTCCTCACTATTTGATGAATGGTTATACCTAATAAGAGGACTCACAAACTAAAACGTTGCCTATAGTTTATACGAAAGTTAGTTTTTATTTTGTGTTATGAAATGCTGAAGTGCTTCAATAATAGTAACATAAGCATATTTTTTTTTATTAGAACATTAAATGTCATATATAAGTACATTTTAATCTGTGCCCTAATAAAGTATCTTTTCGAAAAAATAAACATTCGGATAGTATCCAATAAAGACAAAGTTAAGTGAAAGAAGAAAACAAGCGAATAGGAAAATTTGAGGTATGTCGTATTTGGGTACGATCCACTTAAAGAATAATTAAGCAAATCGTCTAAATAAATAAACTATGAAATTGAAACAACCTTTGATGTTGCATATCAGCATACGCTTGTATACTGCTATACAACTTCTCCTACTTCGAGTACATACTTCTATATAAAAGATTGCATGATTGGCCTAAATACGATACACGAATGACAGTTGGATACAGAATGCTATACCACTGAGTTACGATATCACCGATCGAGAAGAGAAACTTCTCAGATCAATCAAGAATTATAAGAAAGAGAAACTTAATATTAATAGTTCTCTCAATGGATTAGCTACCCAGAGAGAGAATAGAACAGCTATTAATATAAATGGTTCATTTACTTATATATTGATATAATTATACTGCTGATAAAGAGTATAAAGAAATAGTGTATGAATTAATGGATACCTAGCTTCTACAACCAAATATACAAATATCGATAAGACATTTTATATTTGGGATCGTAATTTATTCATTACAAAGATAATGAATAAATGATCAACTATTATGTTCTATTGCCAATTACACTTGACAAACAAGTATGCATCTTTTACAGTAACCGTTGCATGATCTGATAAATAAGTGTCTCGTAATACTAAAGATTTATTAGCATACTCATGCTCCCGATCCACTGATATGGGACAACGTTATCTGGAAACAATTCTAACGAGTAGTATCCATTTAATCCAAGGCGGGAAACAAAGTATAGATCTATTCCAAAACCAGAAAGGTTGACTCATCATTAAAACTCAGGAGAGTTGTGCAATATAAAAAGGATCAATTATTTCATAGCAGCAGAGTTCTTTTAGTCTATTTTTACCCCTAATAAAAATATACTTTTATCTCATTACTTTTCTATGTAATATTTTGTCAAATACCACAATTTTTTTAATGAAGTTGTAACAAGAACTATCTGCTGCTGCTGCTCCCATCCTGGTGTCTCTCAAGAACTGGCTCCTACCTCCTATGAACTACGCATGGAAAATGCTCGTCAAAACTTTTCTGTCTCCAACGTTTCTGAAGCCTCATCATCTGTAAAAATCAGAAGATGTTGGTACCAATGGTTATCATAGTTACTGTGTTGTGAAAAAGAAATTTTCACATCTGTCAATCAGAAAGATTGATAAGGTTTCTATTTAAAAAAAAAAAACAAAACAAAAATCTTCCGACGAATTGGACGAAGATGAAATTAAAAATTCACTATTCGAACGAATAAACAAAATTTAAATAAAACAAAAACATGTATAGACATGGCAATAAAATTAGCTTTAACTACGACCATCTTAAAATTCACATGGCATATGTAATTAGCAACAAAAACAATCAATAATTAACAGGGTCTTTGGACATTGAGAAGAACGGGAAAATCAAGAAGGTACAAAAATAATTTTTTTTTTTACTTCAAGCCCAGTTCCAAAAATAAAACTGACAATAATTTTGATGATAGATTTTCATGACCGTACGGAAGGAAATCTGGAAGATATATTTCACATCATTACAAATAAAAATAAATAAATAATAATAATAAATAAAACGATGAAGCTATGTCATTAAACAATGAGCTTATCCCTAAAGAAAATACAAAAAATCTTATGTTACAATTGACGAATACAATAGGACGGGAAAAGGATGAAAATTCACCCATTCTCCGCTTACCATAAAACAACAAAAATTTAATGAGCATACTCAATACTGATGCTACTATATCTTTAATCAAAGAAGCGTATGATTACAAAGATGAAAAACAAAAATAAATTAAAAATAAAAAGACACCGTTGAACAATAGTGTACTTGCTCTAGGTACTCTAGCAGGTGTTAATAAGAATTTATCCTTGATCTATTTTGGTATAACCATTCCTTTAGAAGTCAGTTGTAAAGGAAGACCAATCTTCAAAGCATAAATTTAAAAATCGTCAAAGTGACAATGAATACAATCCCTACTCTTACCGATAGAGATTTGCTTTCTAAACTTGATAATTATATTAAAAATGGCACACATAATTTCGATAAACAAAAAAAGAAATTATTACCGTGATACGGTAGATGACACTATGTATAACAAACGTAGCACAATCTGTTCCATAACTAAAAATCTTAATATTATCCAAGAAAAATATCCATAAAATAAGGTAGCTGTTTATTTAAAGACACTCCCTAACCAAATGGCACTCACTGATCCATACCCCCATCACATACGCTTCATTAACTGTGATAAGGGATCAAATAAAAAATGGCTAAACAATACAAAAACATCGAACTTGCAAAATCAAGCCGTCGTAATAGTCCATTCACATCAATACAAACTTAAAATGGTATTGATAAAAAACACGAAGTAAAGGATTTCGGTAGATACCCGTAAAATTAACATACTTCTGGAGGATGTCTCTTACCTTAAGATATACTTGAGTAATGACATCTTTAATTCATTAAAAGAAACCAAATTTATATCTATATTTGATAGCTGTATAGCATTTCACAAATCAAAAATCAACAAGGATGATCAACGTAAATTATCTTTGGCCTTAAAAAATTAAAATTTAATTCTACAGAGGTACTTGTCTAACACAAGTTATCACTGACAAAACAAAAAACCGAAAAAAAGAGATTATCAAATATATTGGTTATGCATTTAAAGCATTACATCCAAATCAACGTAGTTATGGTGTAATTAAAAAGAAACTATTCACTCCAACTACAGGATTAACCCAATCTTATAAATTTATACATGGTTTCAAACCATTTACATGTTGTAATGACCATATAAGTCTTCAATACGTATGTAAGAATGAACATATATCCATTTGATGATGTGATATATGTAACGTATTTTATCTTTTCCTCATATGAATGTGGTTTGGATCCTTGACGTTAAAAACATCATAAGTGATAAACTTTCTAAATTATTCCTCACATCTGTGATTATATTCTTGGATCGTTGAAACATATGAAATCCAAACTGCTTAATAAAAGGAAACCCTTGAAAACAAGCATAATGATAACATGCATAAAGCATACGAACACGATTTTATAAAATCAAAGGATATTAACTTTAAACGTCTACCGACTTTTACACAATATTCCTGTTCTATAAAAAATGATCAATGATACGAATAATCATGTGGGATTACACCCTTGATCGACTAATACAAAGAAAAAAACGTAATCCATCAGACCATTATACTGTTACACAACAGCATGGCACTCTACTGGATCTTTATGGACCGTCCCGGTTACCATTCCCAATAACACTTATATCTTAACCCTGTGGGATATCGCAACTAGATTTATCATCTTATGCCCTATTCCATTTAAATCAGCCAAAATGCTTGATAACAAAATAAAACCCATCTTCTCTCATCGGATACCCGCGCATAATAAAACGTGATCGTGGTACAGAGTGGAAGTATCAAATATTTGACATAATATGTGAAGCAACGTAAATCGACAAGCGGTTATCTACGGCTTAACACACCTCCAGTCATCATGACGCTGAACGAAAGATTCAGAGTTGTACAAAAAACGTACTGTCCAAATTAATCCAAGGTGTATTAGAGGCTGATTGAGATATTAAAGTCAACTCGGTACAACTGAGGATCAAATATAAGGTGTCAAATTGTTTAAATACATGTCCCTTTCATCCAAATGTCAAATGACTATCCATTGTTCTACGATCCAGAAAAAGGTATCGATCCAATGCATAATGATGAACTGATCCTAAGGATAGAACGTACATCCAATATCGTTTTCTTGCTATCAAAGAACGTATTGAAACACATAATCAGATAATGAAGAATCGATCTGATAAGATTGAATTTCCTGTCGGAAGCTTCATTGTTGTAGAAAAATAAAGGTTTCTGAAAGTCGCTCTTTACAAGTGTACGAAAGTGCCTCTGCGATACTTTTCAAAAAGAAAAACACGGCAATTATACTCTTCATGCTGAACGGGTTTAGTCATGCCACACAATTATATTCCCTCTAAATCAAACTGGTCTTCCAAGATTCATTCGTTTTCAAAGAAGAAATCTACGAATTCGATACTATTGTGAATCTACAAGGTGAGACTGGTGATCGTCTCTATTCTGACGATGGGAAACTTTCTCATTTAAACACGACAATTGGATTCGGTAACGAACTTTACTGATCTTCAGACTGTCTTCATGTACTCAAAATGGGTAACAGGTCCTGTACCTAACAAAATGAAGAATCAGTACCTAATAACACGTTCAAAACAACGGTTGCAAATCTTCCTACTTTTGATCAAAAATGAAACAAGAATTCGTTTCGTGAAAATGAATAATCTAAAAACTCGAACTGATTCCAATAATCGCGTGTTCCATAAAACTAGCACTAGGACAAAGCCTAACGCTTATAAATCTACTCATGTTTCATTCCATCGAGGCATTCGTTTAAATCAGAACAGATTTAACCTTGCCGCTGACTCTGTTCATGTTGTAAGAAAAAATAAAAAAAAATAAAGGAGGATTCCTTAATCCCCTACAACAAACAATAATTTTTTTTTTTTTTTTTGGTATACAGTACGTCACAAACTCAAAAATGGGTGACACGACGACTGCACTGATAAAATTTACAATACACATATAAGTAAAACACTTATTATACCTCAAATACGTCTACTTCTATTTATCGCCACTTGAAAATCACAGAATGTTGAATTTTACAAGACGGCTAGAGGGGGGCTATGTCGTATTTGGGTACGATACACTTAAAGAATAATTAAGCAAATCGTCTAAATAAATAAACTATGAAATTAAAACAACCTTTGATGTTGCATATCAGCATACGCTTGTATACTGCTATACAACTTCTCCTACTTCGAGTACATACTTCTATATAAAAGATTGCATGATTGGCCTAAATACGATATACGAATGACAGTTGGATACAGAATGCTATACCACTGAGTTACGATATCACCGATCGAGAAGAGAAACTTCTCAGATCAATCAAGAATTATAAGAAAGAGAAACTTAATATTAATAGTTCTCTCAATGGATTAGCTACCCAGAGAGAGAATAGAACAGCTATTAATATAAATGGTTCATTTACTTATATATTGATATAATTATACTGCTGATAAAGAGTATAAAGAAATAGTGTATGAATTAATGGATACCTAGCTTCTACAACCAAATATACAAATATCGATAAGACATTTTATATTTGGGATCGTAATTTATTCATTACAAAGATAATGAATAAATGATCAACTATTATGTTCTATTGCCAATTACACTTGACAAACAAGTATGCATCTTTTACAGTAACCGTTGCATGATCTGATAAATAAGTGTCTCGTAATACTAAAGATTTATTAGCATACTCATGCTCCCGATCCACTGATATGGGACAACGTTATCTGGAAACAATTCTAACGAGTAGTATCCATTTAATCCAAGGCGGGAAACAAAGTATAGATCTATTCCAAAACCAGAAAGGTTGACTCATCATTAAAACTCAGGAGAGTTGTGCAATATAAAAAGGATCAATTATTTCATAGCAGCAGAGTTCTTTTAGTCTATTTTTACCCTAATAAAAATATACTTTTATCTCATTACTTTTCTATGTAATATTTTGTCAAATACCACAAGGTAATTTTTTATTCGTCTTATTATTAATAAACATAGGCTGATCAATTATGCTAAGAGTCTTAAGCACCTCCATCAGGTTTTTGTGCTAGCTGAATGACATTTACGCCAGGTAAAATATTCTCTCCAAAAGCATGAGGTCTTTGTAATTTATCGTTATGTACCATTGTATTACCACCTGAGCTAATATGGTTAGAGGATTGAAGTGGATATCCACCCTCTCCCGTTGAGTTAGTAGGATCTTCTACATACTTTTTATCGATTTCATCCCAATTCACTTCCATAAGTGGTTCGTTCCTTTGGTGCATTCCCTTCTCTTCAATTGCGAGTCTTTTTTTTTCGGCTTTTCTCTTTCTGATCAAACAAAAATAAATAATGGTTGCTACAACTCCAACCTTAAATATATTATTTTAGCTTAAAGTGGCTGATGTAATTATACATATAACTTACTACTGCTGCACCAACTGCAATACCCACGATAGCCCCTGTGCTTAATTTAGAATTTGTAGAAAGTTTTGCTTCGCCAGTCGAGTTGCTATATGTAGATTCGTCAGCTGACTTGGTATTTGTAGATTCGTCAACCGAAGTGGAATTTGTATTAGGCATAACTGCGGCAGACACATATTTTTCAAGCCAAGTAACCTTTAAAGGATTTGAAACATTCAGCGTCAACAAAGGAAGAATCGGGTTTTCATTAGTATCAATTCCAAATAAGATAAACACCGTATCATTATCTACAACAACAGCTAACATTATATAAATACTATTTTTAGAATTCTGATCCTTTTCTGCTTTTGCTGTTATGTGAGGTTATACCTGAGTGTTTTGTTCTAATTAAAATCGGGTTGCTTTTGGCTTCGATTGATTGCCGAGTCCACTGGAAAGTGTCAAGATTTAAGGTAAAGCAGTAATCGGATCGAACTAAAATAATTTTAAAGAATAAGTATATGACAGTATGTGCTACTCTTATAGCCTCACCTTGAATTGGTTGATTTACTAAATTGCTATTGCCCCCATACAACAATACGTCTCTCTTATTAGGCCCGACTATTGTAAAAGTGTAACGATCGTTAATTTAAAATAAAGGCTGTTATCTTATAAAAAACATACTTAATGTAGTACTATGACCCATTCTTTCGATCGGTTCAGTTCCACTGAGTGTTTGCGTCCCCCATTCTCCTTTTGTTACATCAAATGTCATACTTTTATTAAAAGTAAATTGTTCATTTATAACGCTTGGTGGTGTTTGATATCTACCACCAAAATAAAAAATACGGCTGGTTTTGGAGTCGTAAATTGATGTTTGACATCTCGATAATATACCCGGCTTATTAGTTTGGGTTGGATAAACTGACCAGGGCTACAAGAATTATTTTGTAAGTTAAAAAAAAGGGGGATGGTTAATGAACAATTTTGAAAAAACATACGTTTGACGGGTTACTAATATCCAAAAATGTTAAGCTGGTAAATCCAAAATATCCAACATTGGCAACATTATCAAGAAAATCAGATATGTTCACACCTGGCACAACATAATTTGTACCAAAGTTACTGTTAGATTGACTGTTAGTACTTAAGGCTTTAAAAAAATTTGTGGGCAATTAACTTACGCCTGAAGGCCACCATATAATGCAACCCCGTGATCAGGAATGTATGATGCAGCTGCAAAGTAACTGAAAAAAGGTTGTATCAGTTGTGGCACTGAAACAATTATGATCATACATTCTAATTTACTTACATTTCTCTGACACCATACGGTTCTTCCGTGTAATCCGGATATCCTTGCCATGATACAGTTTCTCCATTAAAAGCTAACATCTGGGAAGCAAGTTTTGTGCTCCCACTTTCTCCACCACCGAGAAGTAACATGGTTTTTTCATCCGGTAATGAAACAGTTGCTATTCCACTTCTTCCTCTAATATCCAAGCCATTTGTTATTGGGGCAACGGTGACCCAATGGTTAGTGAACTCATCTGCTGTAATTCCACTACTATTAAATATATCAAGCATGACTGTACTAGTCCCTGCTATGCTGTTGACTTGTGCTTTGCCACCAAAACAATATATTTTTCTGTTTAGATATCCACAGGCTAATAAATATATTTAGTAAATATAATACTAACATAAAAGAGTGTAAAATCGTGGCCATACATGCTTCTGTTTTGGCTTCAACAGCCTGTGCTTTAGCATGACTAACACTAATCAGAAATAAAAACGTAGCTACTTTATAGGAAAGTAGCATTTTAAGGAACTGTTTCGCAGAAAAACTGAAAAGTTATTTTAGGTATTTATAACAAAAATTTTAATACTTGGAGTGTAACGTGAATATGAAATCTCGTACTTTTTTTTGTGAATGTAAAAATATATCTTATAATCGAAAGAGCACAACTACAAACTTTACATGTTTCGCTTAAAAATGACCTTATTTGAGTCCTATATATAAGTAAATACTAATACTGTATTCGATTAAAAAAGGATTTAGGCTAAGCAATGATACCGCGTAGTACAGCACACAGTTCATAGTCACATTGGTAAAAAGAGGATATTTTTAAAGTACAAAAGCTAGGCTCCGCTTCATCTAAGACTACAGATTAGTATATCAACTGTTCTATACCTCTTACGTATTAATGAGTATATAAATCCGTGTTACTTCTATCCCTCGTCAATTGAAAGTTTACATTTTCTATGAGGCAGTAGCCATTTGTGAAAGACTCTTTTGATACTCTTCAAGTTTAGTGAGCCTCTTTTTTTTTCGATTTACTGTTCAAAAAAAAAAAAAAAAATCTAATCATATGTTAAAAAAAGCATTTCAAAACTTATCTAAGATAATAAATCCTACAGCTATTGCACTCAACTTGGTAAGAAAGCGTACAAAAATTACAGTTACTAACCTCCAGAGATTTAACGACAAAATTCAGTCAACGATACAAGCAGTCTAATTATTAAACCCATAGACATTGACAGAGATACTGAAACATGTGAACCAATTATCTGTCAACTAGCTACATGTTAGTATCCTATTTTACGGCGAAAAATATTTTGCTTGTTGTTGCTTAGCTTTGAAGGATCTGCAGTGGATCGCTATTAAAATATTCTAGGACGAGCACCTTCTTGTTTATCATATTGTATCACTCCCATTCCCGCATGAGTTACTATCATTGATGCTGTTTTTGATGTTATTTGGGTTCAAGCCGGATTTGTTAGGGTTATTAATTTTTTTGGGCATTTAAAGAAATAGGAAGGGGGAATGTTTTCCCTCATCTACGGGAAAATTGACTTTTAAGGTTACGAAGAATCATTAGATTTTATTCCTTCTTTTTTAACAAATCGGGAAGATTTATCACCGAATTGATACTCAAAATTACATGCGGCATTTTTGTTATGTGAATAGCAAGCCACTATTTAGATGATAAGTTTTTCTTAATTAGTTTTGCAGATCAGACAATTTCTTAACTCATTTTTTTTAAAAAATAATGCACGGTGCAGAATTCAGCTTGTAATTATTCTGCTCTTTATATCTTTTATACATATTAGGTGTGACAAGTATTATATATTACAATACAGACTTATTAGCTACTGTAATAGTACCTACCTCCCCCAATTAAAAAAAGCAAATCAATCTACGGGAATACTTTAAAGTTTACAGAATTTATTATTATACCACAGTTGTAGGCATTATGAAGGAATTTTAAGCTTTTTAAAAATGGCATAATATTTATTAAATTGAGACTTAAGCATTACCATCAGGTTTTTGGGCCGAAAGACCCACACGGATGCCAGGAACTTTATTTCCTTCAACAGCTTGAGGTCTTTGAAACTTTTCGCTTAGTCGCCCATTATTAATATTAGGTATAAGTGCTACTGACTCAACGACAAGGTCTGTCTGAGAAGAATGATAATTTTTCTTAGCAGAAGGGTCATCAGGAATCTCCACATATTTTTTTTCGATGTCATCCCAATTAACCTCCATGACAGGTTCTTTGACTTGGTCTTCCCGTTGGGGGTTTTCTAATTCTTTAGTTTCCTGTCCCTTTGTTTTGGACTTTCTCTTTCTAATGAAACAGAAGAAAATAATGGCAATACCGATTATACCCTTATATGCATTGTATTAGTATAGATTAAAGCCCATAATGCTATACATCTAACTTACTGCCGCTACACCAACTGCAATACCAGCGATAGCTCCTGCGCTTAATTTAGAATTCGTGGAAGCTTTTGGTTCGTCAAGCGGCTTGGGAGTTGCAGAAGCTTTTGGTTCATCTACTGATGTGGAATTTGAGTTTGGTAAAACCACAGCTGCTATATTTGGGTCAGAATATTTTTCGATCCAAGTAATGTTTAAAGGATCTGAAACATTCAGCGTCAATAAAGAAAGAATCGGTTTTTCGGTAGAATCAATTCCAAATAAAACAAACACCGTCTCGTAATTTATAACAACAGCTAATATCACATAAATTATGCTTTTAGTACACGGATCATTTATATATTCTTAAATACATTATTATGTTCATTCATACTTGCGTGTTCTGATCTCATTAAAGTCGGGTTGCTCTTGGCTTCAATTGATTGCTGTGTCCATTGGAAAGTATCGAGATTCAAAGTAAAGCAGTAATCGAGAAGAGCTGTCATAATGTTTGGGACGGTAAGTTTCTGAAAGTCAATGTCAATTTTATAACCTTACGTTTTGGGCTTAGATTGCTATTTCCTCCATAAAGTAGTATATCTCGTTGTTTAGGTCCAACTAAATAGTAAAATGTCAATAATTGTTTTAACAAATGTGAAGCTGTTGTCTTCCCAAAAAAAAACATACTTAATGTCGCAGTATGACCATTTCTTTCGGTTGGTGCAATTCCGTTGAGTACCTGTACACCCCACTCTCCCCTCGTTAAATCAAATGAAGTAACATTGTTGAAAGCAAATTGCCCAAATGGGGTGCTTGGAGGTGCTTGATATCTACCACCAAAGTAAAAGAGTCGCTTATTTGTGGGATCATAAACTGATTTTTGATATCTCGCTAAGATGCCGGGATTGTTGCTCTGGGTGGGATAAACTGACCAAGGCTGTAGACTCTGCTTTGTAAGTAAAAGGTAATAAAATGTTTAAAATAAATGTATAAAAACGTACATCTGATGACTTTCTAATATCCAGAAATGTCAAGCTCCTAAAACCAAAAAATCTAACATTGATAGCATCATTTTGGTAATATGATATGTTCGCATCGGGCAAAATATAGTTTTTATCGTAGTTTCTATGGGTTTTTTTTGTTAATGCTTGGGTTCATAATCAAATTTGCGAGTAATTATCTTACGTCTCAAGACCACCATAAAATGCTACACCATATTCAGGAACATAGGAGGCGGCCGTGTAATAACTAGAGAGATAGAAACATTTTAATATTTGCTATAACATATCACCGCATTAATCATCGCATAAGTTATTTTATATACATTTGTCTGATACCATATGGGTCTTCCGTGTAATCAGGATATGCTTGCCATGTTTTAGTTTCTCCATTAAAAGCGATCATTTGATTAGGTAATTTTGTGGTCCCACTAACTCCGCCGCCGAGAAGTAACATGGTTTTTCCATCTGGTAATGGAACAGTTGCTATTCCATTTCTTCCCTTTATATCTAGACCGTTTGTATTTGTGGTGATTGTAACCCATTTATTCATAAATTCGTCTGCCGTTGTTTCACTAGTATTGGATATGTCCAGCATAACCATACTAGTCTCTGCTGCTTGTTGGTCTAAAAGTCTACCCCCAAAGCAATAAATTTTATTTGCCAAATAGCCACATGCTAAATATTTACAAAAAAATAATTTATTACGAGTACACATTATTGGCATATGTTATTTTAAAAAACTTGGTCATACATGGTTCTGTTCTGGCCTGAACAACCTGGGCTGTTGCATGATTAGCACTGATCAAAAGTAGAAATATAGCTGCTTTATGGAGGAGTCGCATTTTAATTAGAAGTTTTGCCGGGAAACTAGAAATTTACCCCAGGTATTTATATTGATGCCAACATTTAAGGTGTAACATGGGTACGAAATCTAGTACCATATTTTTTCTGTGAAAAAACAAATAGGTTCACATTTATCGCTTTTTCATGGCAATACAAATTACATATTCAGCTTAAATGTAGCTCTATGTATGGCAAGCACATAAGCAAATGCTACTTTTATATTCAAAGTGATCATTCAAACAAAGAGACTGTACCACGTATCACAACATGCCCTCCTTAATCACATTTAGTAAAAAAAAAAACTTACCTTTTTAAAGTGCAAAAGAAAGTATTTTAAGCTAGTCTCCGCTTTATCTGTGGCATTACTAGCAATCCTGTTGTGTTGGACGTAGGTGAGCATATAAGCCCATTTACTTTAAAATTAAAGTCCCCCATGTCACTGGTGACAACATCTTTGTAAATAAGCATAATGATCTCTTTCTGTGATAATGAAAAAATACGAGAGCATGGTTTACAGAGATAATGAAATATTCCATAGCACTTGCCTGTTTCGCCTTTCTTCACATTTCAGTACTATTTTATCCTTTTTGATAAAAAGTACTTACTTTCTAGTCTGGCTATTCAAAATCGGACCCATGATTAAGGAACAGTCGCAGTTTCTTTAGCTTGAAGTGTAAGGTTTGTTTTACAAATTCGCTTTACTTTTACATGTTACATTTAATATCTCTTGTCTAACTTTTGAAACATTGAACTAGTGTTACCACAATCGTATTTTTGTACATCTCTGTAACATAAGGAAAACAAATAATAATAATAGACCATTCTGAACCAGAAAAGGTCGAATCTGAACGGCCCTTCTTATCTTTCTTTTCTTTTTCGCAGCTTCCGAATAGGATAATATTCCTGAATAAAAGGAACATGTCAATTAAGAAATACGGCACAATAGCTAGGGTTTTATTTATTAACCCAAAAGTACTAAATTATGTTTTTGGGTGAATTCTAAGAGTAAGTTATGTAATTCTTCCATCAGGCTTCTGTAGTAACCTTATATCACTTGTGTCAGTAAGCCAATCTCCATCAAACACATTGGGCCTTTGCAGTTTATTGTTTGTTTGTGCAGTCCCCTGAAAAAGCATTGTACTACGGTCGATCATTGTGGAGTTATTTTCTGATGCTTCAGTAGTATAACCAAAAGGTTTGGTAGGAGCAGGAACATATTTTGTTTCAATTTTGTCCCAATCGACTTCCATATCTGAGGGTTCTTCATTCTGTCCAACCGCATCTCTTTTGATCTTTCTTTTTTTAATCAAAAAGAAGATCAAAAAACTGATAATGATACCACCCTTGTACAAAATTTCTTGTCAAAAAAAGAAAGAAAAAAGCGTTTTTTTTTTTTTTTTTTTTTTTTTGTACTTACTAGGGCTGAGCCAACACCGACACCAATAATAGCTTCCTTGCTGAGAGTATGATTTTCTGAATAAGGTAATTTAGTCGTTGGGTCAACAGCTGGTACATTGGGATCGACAAAGCTATTAAGTAAAGTAATTCTGGATGTATCTGATACATTGAGAATTAACAACGAGAGTGTAGGCACATTGATAGGATCTTTTCCAAAAACAATAAACACCGTATCGTTGTTTACAGGAACAGCTAAAGTATAAAAAATTAGGAGATGTGAGGTTACATGTTTGAGCACATTATTTAAAACCTGAGTGTTGTGTTCGAATCAAAATTGGATTGTCTGGTCCTTGTAGTGATTGTTGCGTCCACTGATATGAATCAAGATTCAATGTGAAACAATAATCGAGATTAGCTATTAAGTCAACAACATGTTAGTCAAGTTCTTTTAATAAGCACGTATAATTTGCTTTTTTCTTATCGTTACGTAAAAAATTATTTGCTTCACTATGTCCGCCATACACCAATATATCTCGTTTATCGGGCCCAACTAGTGTAAATGCAAATCACAGTAATGAATTACTATCCCCCTTTTTTGAAAATTTTAAACTGTTATCCTCAGCTTACTCAATGTGGTCGAATGACCAGTTCTTGTAGTAGGACCTACTCCATTAAAATCTTGCGAACCCCATTCACCTTTTGTCATATCAAACGTGACTGAGTTTTTAAACGTATAGTAGATGACAATAAGAGATGGAGGGTCTTGGTATTTACCGCCAAAATAAAATATACGGTTGCTTTTGGCATCAAATACGGATGTTTGATACCTTCCTAAATAAGTTGGTGTATTCTTTTGGCTGGGATAAACTGACCATGGCTAACATAAACATGAAATGTGAGTAAATATTATTTAGCTCAACCCTAATGATGAGAATATAAAAAGTTTACATTGGATGGATTTCTGATATCCAAAAAAGTCAGACTTAGATACCCAAAGTTTCTTATGTCACTTTTATCATCTTGATATGCAGTTACATTTACACCAGGAATAGAAAAACTCTTATTGTAGTTACTACCAAAGAATACGGTTAATACCTTCTTCTTTTTTACATTATATACATGTATATATATATATGTCTCATCAGAATCCTACGTTTCTAGACCTCCATAGAAGGCAATTCCATGATCTGGAACATATGTAGAAGGTGCATGATAGCTTAAGTATTTACAACAAGTGTCAGCATAGATGCTTAAATCATTAACATGTTGTTGAACTCACATTTGTCGAACACCATACGGGACTTCATTGTAATTCCCATACTCTGCCCAAGACATAGATTTTGCATTGAAAGAGATTGCCTGACTATTCAACTTGTTGTTTCCAGGTGTAAACCCGCCGCTTATTATCATAGTTTCTCCATCAGGTAGTAATACACTTTGAGGACCGTCTCTTGGTCGAACATCTGCACCACGAGTATCTGTGGTGACGTATGTCCATTTGGTTTTTAACTCGTCTGCTGTGCTTTGGCTCAGGTTTAAGATGTCTAGTGTAATCATGCTAGTATCGGATTTTTTGACTTCGATACTGGTAGCACCCCCAAAGCAGTGTATTTTGTTTGCCAAGTAGCCGCAGGCTAATTTTTGCAAATAGTTCTTAATATCATATGCTAAAATTACTTGTTTAAAATATTTACATGCATCGTATCTAGCTTGGACATTTTGCGCTACTGCATATCCTGAGATTGTTAACAGAACAAGTGTTACTGTCTCAAAAGAAAATTTCTTCATTACGAAACCGAGATAAAAAAAAAACCCTTCTTTTTTTTTGTACACACTTTTTTCTCGGTTACCTGCTATTTATAATTAAATTTGGGTGTAACATGTGTACAGATTAGTGTACCGTATAAACCATATCTCGACAATACGAACAAACTAAATGAAAACTGATGGAATATAGTATCTTTGCCTTCATATTTTAACTGCTTTAATCAGTGATATCAGTTACAATTATTTTAGAAGTAAGCCGACAAAAACTATTTTGCGTATGGGTGGGGAAACAAAGAATTCTTTTTTTTTAGTGTGATACTCTAGACACATGATATATTTTGTTACGCTGGTCGATGTTCTTCTTTTTTTGTTCTATGCCTATTTAGATTTACAACGTTCTCTTGTAATGGCATCGTCCACTTGTACATCCCCATTCTTACTGTTATTTTATTGTCGCCAGATCTATTCCCTCCCCAATACATATACATCAAGCTTTTATGATCCATACTTCCTTACAGAGCCAATTGTCCACTCTACTTATGACGTCAATCATGAGAGCTTAAAAACAGAAAAAGGTTAGACAGACCGTAAAACTTGCTTCCTTAAGTGACACAAACAGGGTTATGTTAGAAATTTAAAATAGAAGAGCAAGTGTTATGGAAAATTATAAAAAAGTTGGAACGCATCACATCTGCGCATTTGAATATATTTTTTTCGAATCAGATTCTATGATTACGATAATTCTTGGGTTTTTTTTTCAAAATGATTTACAGGCATTCTTAATTTAGCATACTCAGCCCATTTTCATGGCCTTTCATTGCCATGTAGGACATCAAATCATTATGTATTTGGTATGTAAATATGACATAGCTAAAAATAGGTTCTGATAAATCCCACAATGAAAGCTCAATAATTTAGCAGAGGTTACACAGCCAGACAGTTGAGAGCAAGCCTGTGTTTTCTTGAACGTCTACCTGTAAAAAAGAGAAAAAAGAGAGGGGGAAAGGGGGCTCATGCCAATCATAGTTTTACAGTTTTATTTTAATTTTTTCTATATTGTAGCAAGTTTCTTATTAAGATATAATCTGCCAACAGATTTACAAACAAAGTCCACATAACCTGTGGTATGAATATCATGCCCAAAAATAAGCGTTGGCGGGCCTTCAAGTAAAGATTCCAAAAACTCCTTTTCAACACAGGTCAACATTTTCCATTCCTCTGCCCTTTCCATCTCGTTTACAATCTCATACTTTTGCATGAACCTCCATTGACCCACACATCCTTGCGCCACTACAGAAAAGAATCGAATTCGCCGTTCTGCATCATACGATTCCGTACGTAAACCATGTAGGGCAACGGTTTTAAATTTTTGATACGGCATGTGAATCTGTACCTTATGCCGTCGATCCTTTTGTAAATGGGCAAATAACGACAAGGATTCCAACTCTAAACACCGAGGTGACATGTAATCAAACACTCCGTTAAAGGAAGAACAATGACGCATCGTCAAGCTTTTTAGTGGATGCTGCTTCACTACACTGCAATCCATCGATACCCGCAAGACGATATGATCCAATTCTAAACTTTGTAGCCGTTGACACTGTTCCAAAATATGATTGATACGAAATGGGTTTGATAAGTTACATCTAGGTTCTGCAAGGCTCAAATGGACGAGTTGTGGACACGCTTGATGGATTGCCAATATCAGTTCATACGAGCTCATATCTTGTGGTACTGAGCCAAACCGTAGTTGAACGACATTTTGCAATATAGAATGGCAACTACCAAATAGGGAGGATGATAATAACCAGGACACTGAAATGGTATCGTAAATATCTAATTGTGTTAAACTTTGGTTTTTCATTTGATCCAATTGTTGAAAGTATTGGAAATCGGGTTCAATATTATGCCAACCCATATGTTTTATCAGGGGGCAACGTTGGATAAATTGACGGTAGATGTGTGCTGAACAAGGGGCAATCAAATCTTTTCCTTGACCAGCATGATGAAAATAGCATGAGACAAGTTTGGGATATTTCATACTGATGTAAGGTAACCAATCTTGATACCTGTCAGCACCAAATTGACACTTGAGCTTAAATGATCTGATGTCACTGGAGACGATAGGACCACCGGTCCATATGGCCTCTGCATGAATACCATCCAAAGAGATATTTTGTAGATACATACAGGCTGCTCCTATCGATTCTACAAGGTCAACAGTAATGACTTGATAAATTCCCATGATCGTGAGATTCCTTAAATTGGGTGTGTAACCTACCAACACTTCAATATCCATGTCTATCGAGAATAGGTCCAATGTAAGGCAAGACAGTTTACAAGAACCGTACACAGAAAGAAACTTTTGTTGCATGGAAATGTCAGTGATGGTCTCGTTGAGATAACTGTGCCAGATCCGACCATCGATATGGACAGATTGTACGTATGGACATAATTGTTGCACCTTTTCTAGTTCCTTTTGATCTAGTTTTTCCAGGAGGATCTGAAGGGTACGTGTGTATCCTCCCAGGGGAAAGGGAGAAGATGCACTGTTACTGAGTACATTGATGAGCTGTTTATACTCCTTGTTTGTTTGGATAGTGATGGATCGGTAAAGTAGAGTGATAAAGGTTCGGTAGAAGAGCCGATTGGCAAGGACCAATTGATATCTGTCAATGGAGCACAAGTGTCGGTCAATTTTTTCAATAAGTTCAAAGGGTAAACGAGACACCATATTAATTAATCAAAAAGCAAAAAGAAAAGAAAAAAGAACTAGTTAAAAAAAAAAAAGAACTAAAAAAGATTGACGGTTTGTGCTGTGGGGTGGGGGTGGGAGGACTTACTGTAACAATCTTGCGCAATTTTAAATATTTTTGCGTACTTTCAATTATCAAAACAATGAGCAATAGGGATTATGGCAATACTTTTTTTTTTTATGGGTGATAGTTATTCCTTTTTATTATTATTCTAAAATTGGTTTTTGATTGATGATCAGGTTTTCTATAGATTGACACATGATGTTGACAAAACCACTGTAATAAATGTTTTCCGGTGCCCAGGAAGCGGGATGAATGGTAGAGGTATAAGGCAGACGACTTTTCACAGCTTGTATATCCCAAGCCTTTAACGTCTCTGTCGTCACCAGCGAAGTCAATGCTTGTATATCTCGTTCATCCAGGGTATCAAATCGTTTAGCATACTCCATTTCCCGATACTTTTCAAAGCACTTTTTCTGTCCCACACCATGATGTCGAACTTCATAATCACTCATGTATTTCCATGAGCTATGATTATTTGTATTGACAGAGAAAAAGCGGATACGGCAACCAGCATAGTAACGCTTTGTACGGAGACCTTGAATTTTGAGCGTCTTGAGTTTCTGTCGATTCAGATCAACCACTACTTGATCTCTTCGATCCGTTTGAAAACAAGCTAATAATTCTACATGTTCCAAGTTCAAACATTGTTGTGAAATATGACTCAATACATCTTGCGTAAACGAAGCTCGTTTCATTACTAATCTCTTCAACGGATGCTGCCCTCCACTATTTTGTACTAGATCACTAACATTGACATGCACATCCTTCATATCTAAACTCAGCAATTGAGGGCAATGTATCAAGATATCATCCACAGCATACGAAGCTCCTTCTTGTACTTTCAAATGCGTTAAATTCTTGTAGCGTGATAAGGTTCCAATCACTTGACTTGGTGTGATATCTCCAGGTGGTTTTCCAATTGTCAGCCAAGTTAGTACCTCCAAAAAACCTGAGTGTCCCAATGGTGATCCCGGTAAAAGAGCAGTCGAGAAATTTTCATAACCTTCAATTCGAGTAGGGTTAAATTCAGCCTGAGAAAACAATGGAACATCTTCATGCATCTGTATCTTGTTCCAACGCATAGTCTTGATATGTTTGCAAGATCGTGCAAACATGGCATAAGCTCGTTCGGGTAATTGGTATCCATTAGCTTCTTTGCCTAGTCCGCTATGTTTGAACAGGACATGTTTCAGATAAGGGTATTTAATGGCGAAATAAGGTAATAACAATGGCCATTTAGAGGAACCAGATTTGGAAGACAGTGAAAAGGATTCAAGCAAAGTGGGTAAGAGGACAATAGGATCATCATTCTGGCTAAATTGAGGTAACAAGGCAGGACTAGGATCCGATCTGTTGCATTTGATTGTCAAGGAAACAAGTTGAGGACAGTATTGATGAATGGTTTCCAAGTAACCCAGAGTAATGACATGTTCACCATTTAAATTCAACAAACTCAGACTTTTGAGTCTAGGACAGAGAGATAGGATGGACCAGACATCTAAAGACCCATGATCCAATGTATTAAGTGTGAGATGTCTCAGGTTACGAGAGCCATAGTGTTGAAATACATGATGTATGGCGGGTGACAGACCTCGAGGAGGGTGAATGAACGATATGGGAGCTTCCGAATCAACATAGTCAGAAGAGTCCAAACAATAGAGTTTCCAAGACAGTCTATCAATATCCGAAAAGGCTTTAGTCAAGTTGTAAATGTCATGGTTAGATAGTTGCGGTACATCCAAAGCGAGTGAGCGAACGTTATGACCCATATCCACCACAGCAGGCAAGATACGTTGTAACTTTTCTCGGCTATCCATTGTCATGGATCGATAAAGAAAAGTAAGAAAGAAGTCATGCCATGATTTAGAGACATGAATGAGTTGTAGTAAATCATCTATGCTTGTATTTTGAGAGACCAGTTCAATGATTTCGAACGGTAATTGTTGTAACAGAAAAGGCATACAGAAAAAAAAGAGATGTAGATAGACAGATGGAAAAAAAAGGGGGAAAGAAAAGAAACTGCTTTATAGCTCTGATATTTGGTTAATTTGATTGGATTAGATCATTCATCATCTCTTATGGGTGATGTACCAGTTAGAATTAGATAACAAAGTCAACCATTGCCAATCAGAAAATTTTTTGGGATAAAATTTCTAGGTCGAAATTTTTCCATGGTCATTCTGTTTAAGGGCAACTGATACACACATTATTGTTGATCATGCAAGTCACGGGAGATGTCTGTTATCAATAAACACTTGGCCGATCGACCGGTTCATGCAGTTTTTTTTTTTTTTTTTTTTTTTTTTTTTTTTTTTTTTAATAGTTATCTGACAGACATTATGTTCTCTCAGGGCCTAAACAATATTCCGACTAAATAAGCCATAATCTATTAAAAAGGATGTCAATATGACGTGCCAGAGAGAGAGGGGTCGTATTTAGTAGGAGTTCAGAGACACTGTGAGATTTTTTTGTTTTTCGTTTTTACACAGCAAGGAGAAAAAAAAAACTTTTTTTTAATTAAATATTTATTGAGCTTTGACTTGCAAGTATGAATCATGATGAAGAAGAAACTTCTTACTTGACTGATTTTCAAGAGATTCTACAATCTGAAGTCTACGTAGACTTGGAACGGTTACGTATATTAGCACGACATGGCGTGCCTAGTCAATTACGTGGTGTAAGCGTCCTTTTCATTCTTAATAAGCTGTTTAGATTAACCTCTTCTTTGTAGGAGGTTTGGAAGTATTTGCTAGGCGTGCAACAAGCAGATCGTTGTAAGAACATTGAATCTTTAACCATTTGTTTATATACTTAAATCATGAAAAATAGCAAGAGAGTTAAGTTCTTGCAAGGCCAGAAGTGAGGAATATGACCAAATGGATAAAGAGAATAGCGATATTGCTAAACGCATTCGAGCAGAAGTCTCCAGATACCAACGCAGAGTACCCCAGCTTGAAGGCAAAGAAAACGTTCAAGTCTTTGTCAATATAATCCTGGCCTACCTCAACTCTAACCATGATGTCGAATACAGTGCCAGCTTAGTTGCTCTCTGTGCCCCATTCATTCATGTTCTCGACACCGAATGCGATGCTTACTTTTGCTTTGAGAAACTCATGCAAGCCATGGAAGAACATTTTCTAAATGTTAGTCTCAAGGAACAAGTGGCTCAGTTCATGACCCTGTTTCGGTGTGGATTACCGGAGCTGTAAGTTTTTTTTTTTATCTTTCTTGGCTGAGTTGCCTATTGTATTTACACCTTTTGACAGTTGTAGTTACTTTGACGATGAAGAGGTGGATATCAATGAATGGTCGACATCTTGGTTACAGAATCTGCTGGCTAAAGAGATGCGCTTTGAGAATCTTGTCCGCCTATGGGGTATATGACTGATGGCATATGTATTTCTATTTGATTTGTATATGAACATACCTTTCTTTATTAGATTCTTACTTTGCAATGACGGATCCTTTTGCATTTCATCCATTTGTGTGTCTCTGTAAGTTAGTGTGCTGTAAAAGAAGTGAATGAGATATTAAAACTTTTTCAGCCATCTTGTTGTGTGTGAAGGAGGCGCTTGAGGATTTAGAACAGTCAGAAATTAGAACAATGTTACTTCGATTACCTCTTTTGAACATGGAAATGGTAACGTTTGTGTGACAATTACAATTGCATTTTATTTATTTGTTTATCTCATTAGGTGATTGCGGATGCTTATAACTTTAGACACGAAACCATTGAAAGGCAAATGAGTGAAAATGGAGAATTATAACTACTAAATATAATAATTGTGTATAGATAAGTTTTTTTTTTTTTTTTTTTTTTTTTTTTTTTAATAAGAGGGAGAGGGAATTAAAGTTTTTATTCGCTTGATTGTGCTGGTTGTGCTGGCTGTGGTGATGAATCGCTCTTTGTCTGTTTAAAATAAATTCCGAATTAGTTATCTGAGCCCCATTCATTTTTTTTTTTTTTTTTTTTTTTTTTTACCTGTGTACCCACAATAGAACCTGATATAAAGTAAATAAAAAGGTTAATACGCAGTTATTTATCACAAGGAGATTGTCTATTACCAATAATGATACCAAGAATAACCAAGATAGTGACAGCAATAATAATCTTCCACTTTAAATCCTTCCACCACATTCTCTTTCTCACTTGATTAGCTCCACGACGAAAGTGACCTGCAGTAGCCTGTAAATCCTCTGTAGGATTAAAGAAAAAGGTCAGCACACATAGACTATTCACACGCCCTATTTTTTTTATTTGTTACCAGTTTTTCCTCGAAGATCGTCTAATCTTTCACCTCTTTGCATGACCTTGTCAATGTTTTCTTGCATGATGCCAACAACCTCATCTACTTGTTGTTGCACTCGAGTAGTCTTGTTGTTACCAGCAGCACCGGTTTCTCCGCGTTGTGCGTTGGGAATATATGGGTCATAAGGTTCAGACCTATCTTACGTTGTTAGTTTATTCTCTTCATTTACTTTTTATTATTAGTTACATTATAAGTTTTTTGTTTGTTTAAAGAAGAGAAAAAAGAGATAAAAAAAAAAAGAAAAGTTAAACTAAAAAATATAACGCCGAGATTTTTTTTTTTCTTTTTTTGTCTCGCTTTTTTTTTTTTTTTGTATGATGTCAAACTTTAACCCTTTTCCCGTAAGCCGTCTGTCTTTAAACGTTATTTATATACACAAAAAATAAAAAAAGGTAGAAAGAAATGGCTGATTTCTTATTGTTTGTTCTTTTTGCTTGCATTATTTTGCATTGGATATGCCCTCTTTATTATTTGAATCTGTCAGCTGCTCCGCCAAGCATTTGATAATAAAATGAAATCATCCATCACACACAAGAAACCACACTAACCCATCTGTACCACAACTGGTAAGAAAAAGCAAAAATTCCATTCGATGTGCCTGAGGTGCTTATTTCCACACCCTAACCCTAAACCCGCATAATCTCTCAATGACGATGGTCGTACCCAACTTATGACGTGCCTATATCTACATCAACTAATTAAAACATCGGCACACACACCCCCTTTCAGTTGGTTTTTTATTAATGAATTATTCTTATACACTGTGGTATTTAATATACTCTCCCTTCAGGGTCTATCATAAACACCTCCGTCTTTTTAAAACTCCAAAGGATCCACTTTGCCAGGCGTGGACCCACATCCAACCTTTTTAGGCCCACGATTAGCTAGTGAAGATAATCCTGCACTGGATGTTTCCTTCTTATCCTTACTGGGACCTGTCGCAGAAGGCGCTTCTGTACGGCGTGTCACCACACCTCCCTCCGGTGGCAAGTGGAATGTCTCAATCGCGAAACGTTTACGTCGGAGCTTAAATGCAAGATCATTACTACCGCCGGCTGATAACACGGATAATTTCGTGCTGGGTGGTAAGAGGGAGTTCAATACTGGTAGTTTATGCACATGGAAGAATCCATGATAATTTTGTGTATATGCTGCTTCACTATACACTGGGTCTCCTATTCAAATCCTCTGTGTTAATCATTGATTGCACTCCCTATTTTAGTTAATCTTTACCTGCAAATGATTCAATTTCAATTACGGCATCCACCATATGTTCAATACGTCGCATCACATGAGGAACTTCGTCATACAAGTAGGCTGGCACTGTAATCACAGCTGTACCAAATGAAAAACGAAGCAAACCACGAAGTGCATGACAGAATTTATATAAATCCTAGGTAGATTTACAAATTAAGTTCTCTTTCATTCTAAACACTTAAAAATAACTATATTTACATGAGGTGACTTGGATTGCCAGCTAGGTGATGCCAGTGAATGAATAGCTACTCTTAACGCATTACGTGGTGTTCCAGGTGCAACGGGTATAGCTGAACTAAATTGTCCATCCAGCACAACTTTACGAATTTGCTTCAACAAGGTTTCGTAATCATCCACTTCCTCTGTATCATCTTGCCATTGTAATATCTCGGTTTTGGCTTCCTCTAATACTGTAGCTGGTACTCGTTTCGTCAGATCAAATTGGCTGCAATAAGGCTTGGGTTCATCCACTGCTTGATCCTTTTGTTTCTGATCTGTACTGACAGGTACAGGTGATGCTAAACGAAAAAAAAAAATCCATGTTTAGTACACAACCTCTCACCAACACATATTGACAGTATGAAACTCACCAGGCTTTGACTTGACACCGGTTTCGAAACGCTTTAAATGATTGTATCTCCAAGCAATCTTTAAACGATCACTTTCGGCATCGGTTCTTGTATTCTTATTCTTATCAGTCTCGTCGTCGTCGTCTCTATCGGAAGTAGACAACCACATTAAAGTTTTCAACATTTCTTGAGGATCTTCATCGCGTGAGGTAACAGCCACATGATGGCCTGATGCCATACCTTGTGCAATAAAATACTTTAATAATAATTGCGCATATGTCGTGGCACGATCCTCTTTAATCAGCATAATAGTGCCCACAGGTTGTCCTCCTCCCAAAATATCATCCAACGAGGGTACACCGGTGGAAATCAAAAGCTGTCCATTATACGCACTGAGACGAGACCCAGAAGGTAATTTGGGTTGCTGATCTACGTTACGCTTCTTAAAACTCATTAGAAAGAAAAGGTGCTGTCAACTTTTTCTCTTTGCCTTGCAAAAAAAAAAGAGAGAAAAAAAGTGTGACGAAAAATGTCGAGTCACAATAGGCTTTCAGTTAATCTCCCGCCCTAAAAGATGAACGTAGTGCATGATATATATTCAGTGAGAGCAATTTAAGTCGAACTAAACTAGAGGTTCAAAACGTAACTATAATTCTTAAATTAACAAAGCGTAAATAATTGTTTTACACACAAGAGGAAAAATTACGGTTTATTTCGAGATTTCAAATGATACCCGCATATGGGCAATCGGGTAGTGTCTTGGTGATTCACTAAATCTCAGATTTTTTACACCGTGACATTGAATGAATACCCTGCGCATAGAGGAGCTGTAGTGTGTATGACAAGAAGACATCGGTACTTTTTCAAATCCTTTAGTAGATTCCTTACGATAGTGGGATATGAAATGGCAATGAACCATGTCGCTGCCTGGAAATTTGAATTGGACACCGAAAATATCGTTTTTAAAATTAGGCGTGTAGTTAATAACGATTGACACTCTTTGCAGGTCATTTAAACGTGTCAAGTCTAAAATGAGATTATCATGATTTCGGTCTTTTTCATAACCAATCAGTCTTTCAATGTTTAGATGTCCAATTCGAGGGACACAGGTCGAAATCAAATCAAATGTTTCTTGACTAGGACAAGGTCCAATCAAATCCATATCAAAAGTGGTAAATTTCGATTCCAATTTCAAAATGCTTTTTGGTGTTGTAGTATTGATGTCCACTGTCTTGATATTCGGGTAGTTGGTCATCATCAAATTTAATAAGCCAAGACTGAACTGTTCCCTGCTTTCATTCACACTAAAATGGACATGGTTTACTGTGTCTAGTCCATTTACGAGTACACTGGTATCAGGTATTAACCAATCGAGTTTGTCTTCCTCCAAGCTACAATTAATATCACACATATAAGACAGACTCTTCTGATCTGATATTCCCATTTTAGGTCCTCGGTAATTTGTATCATTAAATGATAAATTTTGACGTTTTATTAAACGCTTTCCCTTCAGTGCATTCATTACGGAGTAGACTTTTGTCATGCTGGCTTTGGTACATGGTGATGGATTACTATGAGCGCAATCATACGACCCTTTAAACATGATAGTCTTGACAGAATTCAGCTTTCTTGCAAACTCCATCAAAATTTCTTCGTCTTCTCTGTCTATCCACGTAAGAATATCTTCAGATGATAAAGCAATCTCGAGATTCTCTAGATTATCCGTCACAACACAGCGGAGTAAGTATCTTAGGCATGCGCTAGTAAGTTTCGGGATTTCTAGTTTCAAGCTTTTCAGTTTTGTAACCTTCCGGTTGATATCTTGGTCATAGACTGAATCAGGTACTTCACATTTGTGTTTCAAATGAAGTTCATGGAGAGTAGTGCAGGAATTCAATATGTTTACACAAGACACATCGCTATCAGGCTGCATATCTTCTATAACTAATTTGGACAACTTTGTGAAGTCCGACAGCAAGGAAGCACCTCGAATAGGCTTTTTTCCATTGACAAGATACTTGTAATCTATCTTCATGTATTTTAAGGAGTTCCGCAATTTATAGTAAATTCTAAACATGTCATGTTCCCCAAAATCAACATCATACCCTGTCAATCGTCCGGGAAATATAGCTTCAAATTCAGGTATGTCCTCCACTTCTGACTCGTCAATCCACTCCAGATATTGCTGGGCTTGATGAGATTCCGTAAGATCAAGCGTCTTCAAGTTGTTTAATTCATTTAATAGCTTAAAGAAAATTCGACAGTCTATAGTAAATTGGACTCTTTCGCCATCGGATTCGTATTCTGACTCTATGCCATATTGTGTAGAGAGATAGTTAAAATCGTCATGGATGATAAGTGTTCTAGTCCACCTCTCAAGTTTGGCAAACTGATCGGGCTTTTCGTAGTTTATTGTGAACTTTCGTCTGTTATTCTCACCCACTACTATTACTTCGTAAAAAAATTCGGTAGCAGGGCCTTGCCATGCTTTACAGACCCTCATGCAAACAAACAGTGTTCGTTTGTGTAGTTCTTGAAAAATCATACGCACAATCTCTGTTGGCAATTCTTGAATGAACATGTTGTTTTTTAAAATGATTATTAAAGTGAAAAACTAATATTTTTTTTTTACTGTCAAATCGCAGTTTAGTTTCTTGAGCTGTCCAAACATGGTTAGTTTTATACCGTGCTCATAAGCGACTATCACGGGCCAATGAATGACAAATCTATAAATTTGTCACTTGTGGCTGAAACGCAGGCCTTCTGAGGCTTTTACATACAGACCATTTACAAAGTCTTTACTTTATAGGAAGCCTTTGGTATTTGGTTACACTAAGAATTCACAATTCTAAAAAAAAACATACAGCTTGGAACATGATAAAGCCCTGACATAGAATAAATGGACTATCCCTTAAAAATCAGCCGTTACACAATGTTTGTTTTTTGTCAGAAAATGAACGAAAAATGTCGACTTTATTAAAGCCCAAGTGAGAAGATATGTTGCATTTTTTTTATCAAGAGGTGGAAACAGACTATTGTTCAGAACGTAATTCTCATCTTCAAAAAGTGCATCTGTGTAAAATGGGAACGATTGCAAAGACAAGGATAGAAAAATTTATTTTGAAATAATGAATGATAGTTTTAAGCGGGTGACCCACTTAGATTTATTCGAATAAACATACTGAGGTTTTACACGTACCTTCGCCTGTTTTAGCCCATTACATTGAATCAATACTCTACGCGCAGATGTACCGTAGTAATTATCACAGCCAGCCTCAGGTAATATATCTAACTTTTGTGTATATGCTTCACCAGGATTATAGCAGACGGAATAACAATGAACAGTATCATTGCCTGGGAATTTGAATACGGCACAGAACATACCTTTTACTTCCCGACCTTCAAAATCAATAATGATGATCACCTTTTTCATGTCACTTAAAGCAGTCAAGTCCAAAGAAAATTTACTATCGTCTTCATCATTTCTATTTTCACATGGTCTTTCAATTCTCAGATACTTCATTCGAGGGACATATGTCGAGATCGAACCAAATATTTTTGAATCGGGAAAAGGTCCAGTTAAAGTCATACCAAAAGTAGAACCTTTAGCTTCCAACTTTAAAGTGCTTCTTAGTGTTGCAGTCTTGCTCCTACCAGTCTTGATACACCCAGTCTTGATATTCGGGCAGTTGGCCATCATGAATTTTAACAAGTGGAGACCAAACGGCTCCTTGCTTTGCTTCACCTCAAAAATGATATGATTTAATTTCTCTGGCCCGATCACCGAAACACTAGTGTCAGGGACTAGCCAATCGAGTTTATTGTCCTCCAGGCAGCCACTAATAATATCAAAACTTGAGAAATTCTTATTGTCCATTATTGTGATCAAAGTGCTTCCATATAAACTATCGCTAAAAGATCCTTGGTATTCAACCCTACGTTTTCCATTGATTGCGTTCATTACCGAGTAAAGCTTGGTCATATTAACTGTCGGGATTGGACGCAATGTAGTAACCCCACTGTTAACTCTGAAAGAATCAAACCAAACAGCTTCTACAAAGCTTAACTTTCTAGAAAAGTCCAACAAAATATCTTCATCTTCTCTGTTTATCCATGATACGATGTCATCTGATGATAAAGTAATATTAAGCTTTTCCAGATTGTCAGATATAGCGCAGTGGATTAAATATTTGACGCATGCGCTAGAGAGTTGCGGGATATCCAAGTTCAAGCTTTTCAATTTTGTGAGCTTGCGGTTGCATTTTTTATCGAAGACCGAATCAGGTACTTGACATTGACGTTTCAAGAAAAGTGATTCGAGGGTAGGGCATGCATTCAAAATTTCTACACATGATACATCACTGTCAAGTGATGTGTCTTCTATATTTAATACAGTTAAGCAGCTAAATTTGGACAACAAATACGCGCCTCGCATAGTCTTTTCTTCATTGACAACGTGCCTGTACTTTATCTCCATAAATTTCAATGACTTCCGGAATTGATAGTAAAATCTGAACATAACCTTTTCCGAATAATCATAACGTTCATTCTCTGATAAAGGTCCGGGTAAAATAGCCTCAAATTGAGGCAACTCCCTATCTGCCTGGGCAATAAGCTCCAAATAATGTTCAGTTTGAGCAGAATTTACAAGATTAAGTGTCTTCAACTGGGGTAGTTTTGACAAAAGCTTGAAGAAAGTTTCACTGTTAAGAGTGTATTGTACTGCTTCAGCCTCGAAATCGTAGTCTGTGTCATCGCCATATTCGGATGAAACATAGTTATCGTCATATTGGATCGTAAGCAGTTTAGTCCACCTTTCAAGTTCGGGAAACTGAACGCGCTGGTTCAAGACCATTGTCAACTTGGGTATGTTGCTGGGAATCACAACCAATTCCTTGTAGAATGTTGCTGCTGCAGGCTCATGCCATGCTTTACAGACACGCATGCAATTTAACGCATCACGTTTTGGCAAATTTTGAATAATCTGTTGCACGATCTCGATTGGCAGATCTTGAATGAACATGTTTTTTAAAAAAATAAGAAAACAGGGAAAAAGTTAAAATAAGCTCAGCACGAAGTATTTAGAGAAGTTTTTTTGTTTTTTTTTAAAAAAAAAACAAAAAATAAAAAATACCCCCCACATTATATGGAACAAATATTATCAATATATATGTTTGAGCTGTTCCTCAATCTTCAACCTCATTTTGTTCATCCTGTTTAGTTTTGTACTAGTTTCGTGGTAAAAATCAAACTTTGCTGAAGTGAATTTGACAGCATGGCAGAATTGTTATGCCATTCTCCCGGGTGTAACTGTAAGCTGAAGTATCTAAGGCACCATAAATCTTGATAAATAATTTTAGCATAAGCTGTACACCAAAAGGACATCCAATTTTATTTCCTCCTCTCTTTGGTCTACGAGTACTCGTATTCCTATGATTTTGTCTTTTGTTCAACATTTTTTCCCAAGAGGATACACTGAACTTGGTCTGATTGATATGATGGGGGCGTTTTTAATTGTCATAATAGACACTATCACTTTCCATCTAATACATCAATATAACTCGGTATATCGCATTAACTCAATTTATTAATGGCTTTATGTGTGTACCTGAGTGAACTATTTATACCTAATTGATAAAAAAACATAACAAATGCGAAGGTAATATATGAGGGTATTATTTGTGCCGTATTTGACGCCTAAATAAATCGAATACAATTACTATTTAATCTGTCTTGAGTTATAATATACTTCATATATTATAACAGACACAGTACCAGTTCTCATAATCTTCTAACTGGAAATCATACCCTACATTGGACCCCGGTTGGCTGATTTACTGCGGTTCCTTCTAGCACCTACGATGAGTAATCAAGTAATCCAATAATCGCACGTATTACTAAATGGATAAATGATTTCTCTGCTAGAAATTCCGGACATACAACCATAGGCTTACATAACTATATTTTATAAGCTATGTTTCATGTCGTTACTGATTTATATTTCAAATCCAACAATTCCCAGTCTCTGGAAATGTTTATTCGATCTACGCAGAAATTAATTGAAGTAATAATTAAATATAAAAGGACCTCTATTTTTATCATGACAAACTCTCCAGCTTATAATAAAGGATTATAGAGTCTCATTTATTTACTTGCTGTGGTATTTGACAAAAATATTACAAAGAAAAAGTAATGAGAAAAAAGTATATCTTTATTCGAGGTAAAAATAGACTAAAAGAACTCTGCTGCGATGAAATAATTGATCCTTTTTATATTGAACAACTTCCCCTGGTAGTTGTGTTGAGTCAACCTTTCTGGTCTTGTAATAAATCTATACTCAGTTTCCCGCCTTACATTAAATGAATTCTACTCGTTAGAATTGATTTCAAATAACGTCGCCCTGAATCAACCGATCTGGGACACTCTTATTGTTCTGTTTAAAATACAGAATTCCAGTAAGGTATTGTGTAACGGTGGCTAGTTAAAAGATGCATAAGGTTTTTGTGTTTAATTGGCTGTGGTAGAACATGTAGTTATGTCTGATCATTTATCCATTCTGTTGATTATTTTTATCTAAGACATGGGTAAATATGTGATCCTAAATATAGAACATCTTATCGATGTTTGTATATTTAGTTGTAGAAAATAGGCATCCAAATATTCCATGCACTACTTCTCTTATACACTTACAGTCGTATAAGTTGGGTTTATCAATATATAAGTAAATGAACCATTTATATAAATAGCTGTTCTATTCTCTCTATGGGTAGCTAATCCATTGAGAGAACTATTAATATTAAGTTTCTCTTTCTTATATTTCTTGATTTGATCGGAGAAGCTTCTCTTCCCGACCGGTGATATCGTAACTCAGTGGTATAGAATTCTATATCCAACTGTCATTCGTATATCGATTTTAAGCCAATCATGCAATCTTTTTATATAGAAATATGTACTCATAGTAGGAGTCGTTGTGTAGCAGTATACAGGTGTATGCTGTTACTCAATATTAAAGGATGTTTTTATTCCATGTTTTTATTTTATTCGATTTATTTGTTTATTCTCAAATAAATCATACCCAAATACGACTGTGCTAAATCACACATATAGATTGTACATATAATAAATTCATATCTCATCATCACTGATAAATGATAGCTAAATCATGATCAGGCATAAAAAAGGAATCCGCTAAAGCCGGTCACTATTTTAAAGTGTCACGTATCGTAACACCAATGTCCAAACTTAAGACATGTTATTGTTATTATTTCTCTATTGACTATGCGTAGCACTAATTGTCCAATATAGATATTGTTATTGATAGCATACTCATATTGTTAAGAGTAGTATCCTCAGCCTCGTCTAGTGTTCGGAATGAAGATCGAAACTCTCGAGCGAGCTTCGATCGTGTTCCAGTCGAAGCTCGCTCGGATGCGTTTTTTTGCAGCTCGAGCTCGCTCGAAGTTTCTTAAGCTCGGCTCGGTTGCGAATACGATAGCTCGAACTCGCTCGCCCTTTTTATTACACAAAGTGCACGTCAAAGTGATGTTAATTACAGAAAATTATGATAATAAAATTGTTATTTATTGAAATAGAAGTTGGAAAAAGAAAAAGTTTTTTTTTTCACCAGCCTTAACACCAAATTCGGATAATTAAATCAAACTGTTACTGCATCTATAATTATAATACATTTGGATTTGTGAACATGAAAGTTTACATTAATTCTGCTACGTCATGTTACTATGGTTGCTGTAAAAAATTGGCTTAGTTGGGTATAGTGTGCAACACTGTTTCATTTTCTATGGTAAATGTGTTTGCTGGTTGTACAATTAAATAAAAGTCCAAAGCATTTTAATTGGAATTATTAGAGCATAAATAAAAAAAAATGGTAAAGGGAAGAAAAGATTAAAATCAAGGGGAAATGCCATCTGTAGTCTTTCAAGGACCTTAACTTTAAAGTGACTACTATCGACATTTTAGCCGAGCGAGCTTCGAGCGAGCATCGATCGAAGCTCGCTCGAACCCAAAAAAAGTGGCGCAAGCTCGAGTACAAAAACTCGGTTCGAGCTTCGTTCGAACTGGCGCAAGATCGGTGCAAGCTCGAAAAGTTCGAACACTAGCCTCGTCCATTCCATTTATTATAAATACTCTTTATTTTTCCTCTTCTTAAATCTTCAGTTAACTTTAACATCAATAAACTCTGACAAGAATTCTAATTGATCCTATTGTTTTTTTCTACCTTTTTTTCTGCAAAACTATCCTATTTAAGCCTACTTTTGCTACAACGACACTTGCTTTATTTTCCAATTAACATTTCCCTTTTTATTCTGAATTATTACAACTTGCACTATGGCTAAAAAATTGTTGACAATTCCAAAACATTTGTTGACAAATAGTTGTTTGAGAAATAGCTGGCATCGATTTGTTTACCACCGAATTTTTTTTCAAAATCAACAAATGTTGTTGGTTATTTAAACAAAGTTGTTTGATGTAACTTTGTTGCTTATGCAAACAACTTTGTTGATTTTACGAACAAGTCTTGTTGATCCTACAAACAATTCTTGTTGAACCTTTCAACTATTTTGTTTGTTTCATAAACAATACTTGTTGGAAAGTTCAACAACTTTTTTCGTGTTTCAAACCAGTGTTGTAGCGCTTTTCCATATCTTCATTTGTAAAACGGTATAAAACAACCAATGGTTTTGATTTCATTATCATTCATTCATCATTTTATATAAAACACGTGACAAACTATTAGTGTTCAAACTTTTCGAGTTTGCACCGATCTTGCGCCAGTTCGAACGAAGCTCAAACCGAGTTTTTGTACTCGAGCTTGCGGCACTTTTTTTGGGTTCGAGCGATTATCGATCGAAGCTCGCTCGGCTAAAATGTCGATAGTAGTCACTTTAAAGTTAAGGTCCTTGAAAGACTAGTGATGGCATTTCCCCTTGATTTTAATCTTTTCTTCCATTTACCATTTTTTTTTATTTATGCTCTAATAACTCCGACTAAAATGCTTTACTCTTTTATTTAATTGTACAACCAACAAACACATTTAACATAGAAAATGAGACAGTGTTGCACGCTAAACCCATCTAAGCCAAATTTTTACAGCAACCATAGTAACATGACATAGCAGAATTGATTTAAACTGTGCCAAACCACATAGCCTAGACGTAATAAAAGTAGATGTAATTGACATAAATGGGAAAAGTCTGTATCACAGATCTATCGGTAAATAAAGTAACAAGATCCAGTGACATTGAAAGGATCTAAGTATATCCATTCCGATATAAGAACAAACTTGACTTGTGTATTCAACAGTCAAAGAAGAAATTTATTGATGACTAATTACTGTCAAATATGAAATTAGTTTCTAGCTGTCATTTAGTGTAAATAGACCCCAAATTAACATCTTAACATCTTGGTCAATAAATTTATAAAGGATTTCTAAACGTACTTATGTACTTTGTTTTATTCTTTATTTTATTAAATCACACTACCGATTTATTACATAAACTTTCATGTTCACAAATCCAAATGTATTATATTTATAGATGCAGTAATAGTTTGATTTAAGTGTCCGAATTTGGTGTTAAGGCTGGTGAAAAAAAAAAGGTTTTTTTTTCTTTTTCCAACTTCTATTTCAATAAATAACAATCTTAATATCATAACTTTCTGTAATTAACATCACTTCGACGTGCACTTTGTGTAATAAAAAGGGCGAGCGAGTTCGAGCTATCGTATTTGCAACGGAGCCGAGCTTAAGAAACTTCGAGCGAGTTCGAGCTGCAAAAAAACGCATTCGAGCGATCTTCGACTGGAACACGATCGAAGCTGTTGAGGATGTCATAGATTATAATAAAAGAATCATCACATTTTACATAATAATGGATGATCATGTATAAATATTCATGGCTCACACTTCGCCCCATTTGTTATCATCAGAACCGTTGGTGTCTGTGCACAAGGTGATTCGCCTTGTGACGAGTAAAATATTATAATACCATAAAAGTATAATACAATCCCATAGGCGG